CATTGAACGCCAAACTTTCACACAAGGTGCTGTTGGCCAAGCCGAGCCCATTGCTCTAATAAAAACCCCGCGTTTCATTGTAAAGTTTGGAGATACAGGCACCTTTATGTTTGTAAGCGTGATGCTATATGAAGAGTGGTCTTTGTTCATTATCAAGTAGGTGGACCCTGGCAGAGCAAAAGATGCAGAGGAACCTCTTTGTGTAACTTAGCTACTGTGCATGGCTGCAAGGATGGAAGGATGATACTGTATACTGTTGACAATAGCCCATATACTGCCCGCTAGCAGCCATTTTTTCACAATCAGCGTTGTTGCAAAATCCACTTCATGTGAACGATTCTCCTGCTCCAGCCGAGCATTTCCATCATTCAAGTTTCTTGATCCGAGCCGATTTGACTGAGCTACGCTGGAACAGCGAACATGAAAATTGGTCGAATCGCAGACCCTGCGAATGTCTCCGTCTTTCAAACTTTTGGACGCTCCCATTCCAAATTTTCAAATGAAGCGTGAAGTTTTTATTAGAAAAAGTTGATCAGCATGCTCGAGAGTACCCTTCTGACCAATTTTCAAGTTGGAAGTGAGCAACTTCGGAGCGGTGGGCCGTCCGCTCTTTTGTTGCCCATCATCCACCGTTTGGGCCCTCCCGCATTCAAGACACCCTTAATGAAGTGTATGGTTTTTAAATGAATGAAGTTGATCAGCATGTTGCAGCGAATCTTCTGACAAAGTTTCAGGTTCGAAATGGGGAATCCCAAGATGCTACATAGTATTTCGATGAATCACGAATCCGGGGCTGACCTCCATTTCCGACTTACATAATAAACCCACATTGCACCCTCCCATTCAATATTTTCTAATGAACATGAGGTCTTTTTTAAGACCATGTTGATCAGCATGCCCAAGAGCATCTTGTGTGAAAGTTTTAGGTTCGAGAGGGACGATCTCACTATCAAGGATTGATGTACAGTGCTCATGCATTTATACAAGAGGTGCCCGACCTATTTAATTTCCACTTCTTCAACTCTCAGCTCTTCCCTTTTCCTCTCATTCCCAACTGTTGCCCCATTCAAGTACACAACTACCACCTGCGAACGATTGTCCTGCTTCAACTCATCATGTCCATCCTACGATTGTCTTGATCCGATTGTCTTTGACTGAATGGCAAGTGCATGGCGTGTGCACCCTACTACACCACTCGCGTTATTGATACTACATCCTTCTCTTGTGCACTCCTCTACCAACACCAAGCGTAACAGCATTCATTCCAGTGGCTGCAATTAGCAAGGTCTTTCTTCATTGACTCGTATGGTGTTCAAAGCCTTGACACTCTACTACAGCACACGCTCTTGCACACTCCTTTGCGCAACCAAACGTAACAGCATTCCTTCCAGCAGCTTCACTTCATTGTCTCCAACAGCATTCTTTACTTGCAGTAGCTTGTCTTACAGCCTTTTCACGTGAACAGCAAGTAGTCATTGTATAGAAGCATCCTTGTTTACGTGCAGCAACTTGCTTTCAATACAAACGAATGTCTATGGATATGGATCTGAATATTGCTTTGGTACATGGGATGGAAGGAATTGGGTATATACAATGCGTGAAGAGAGGGTCTTTGTTCTTATGTATTCATTGTCAACTTTACCTTGATGCTATCTTGCTGTACGGTTGGCACATCCAGTTATCGTACTTCACACGCTATTCAATGGTAGCTGCAACCATCATCCTTTGTGCAACCTGTCAACCATATACAACAACCGTCATCATCCAACAACTACATATTTTGACACGCCATGGATACATTTAGAACCTCACGCCCAAATGATAGCATTGCCCAAATCGATGTGCCTTCTCCATTGGAGCAATCCATTTGTACATCTCAGACTAGTGTCCATTCTTTCTTTTGTGAATGATGATGTTGGATTAAAAGGTTGCTTTATCAGATACGACATTGCGTTTGCCAACGATTTCAAAGTTTCTATTGTGTAAGAGACTTCCTTCTTCGTGAGTTAGATCTCGTGAGTTAGATCTCGTCTTGTATGTGCCATTTGATGTATTGTATTATCAAAGATCTATGCAGTATTGTAAAAGTATATCCACTAGTAAATGCTGCGATACAAGAAAAAGAGAGGAAGAGAAAGGGGTTGATTGATAGTAAGTCTCAATTGTGGTCAGATCTAGCAAGGTTAATATTGGTAGTTGATGATGCAATAGGTAAGGATGTGTCCATTGATATACTATGGGATAGTTGAATTTGATAGTTACTGGTGAGCTCTTGCCTCGTCAAAGAAACGGGTGGATGTAAATGGTAATCGATCATGCACGTCATTGACAATGTCAGCGGAGCGCGTGGGCCTTCCATTTTTCCTTTCACCCCGCTTCACTCACTCCTTCACTCACTCCTTCACTCACTCCATGAGCATCCACATTGGCGATCGCATCCAGATTGGCTCTGATTTGGCAACCGTTCGGTTCTATGGCCAAGTAGAAGGAACCAAAGGCGAATGGATTGGTGTCGAATGGGACGATCCTACACGCGGCAAGCATGATGGCTCTCATCAAGGCACACGTTATTTTACATCGACAAAGTAAGATACACACACTGCTTTATTCTTCGATCCACAACACTCGAACTCGAACTTACCATCATGGATATCTGTAGTGGCCCCACATCATGCTCGTTTATACGCCCACATCCAACCAAAGTTATCACAGGACGACCTTTTCTCGATGCATTGAAAGAAAAATACCTCGTGGATGAAGATCACAAAGAGGAAGACGTTGGACATGTATACTTTGGTGGCAATAAGGATTTGGTGGTTGAAACCGTTGGATTTGGCAAGATTGAGCGTGAACAAAGGTAACGCAAAGCGAGAGCAATGGGTGATATGAATCCTGACATGGTGATCCATGTGATAGAAACTTGAGCAATCTCAAGGTAGTTGGATTAGCAGATCAACAAATCAACACTGCTGGGGAACCTGGGATCATTGCTGAGCATCGTCTTTGTAAGTATACGTGATATCACTTCCAATTGTTGGGATGCTTACATGGAATACATAGCCATTCATGATCTCGATCTATCCAAGAATCTACTGAGCTCGTGGGATGCCTTGTCAGAAATTACAAAGCAGTTACCTGAATTGATGATATTGCGACTAAAGTAGGTGCGTCGTTACTGGTTGAAGATGAAAGGCGGATATCACCCAATACGCATGATGACTGATATTGTGTCTTCATACAGCCATTGTCGCCTTGAACCACCCAGCACATCTATTGATCATGCAGCATTCTCAAGTATCACAACCCTCGGTCTCAGCAGCACCAAAACGCCATGGTTGACGATCATGCAACTTGAGCCATTACTACCTGCATTGGAAGACTTACAGCTTGGCAAGAATGAGATCCAGCATTTGACCAAACCCGACAGCAATCAATTTCCACGCCTTAAATGCATCAATCTTGAAGACAATGAAATCAGCTCATGGGATGAGATTGCCAAATTGGGATGCTTGCAAAGGTATAAAAAGGGGAACTAGAGAACAATGAGTAGGCGGATATTGACTTGGATTCATTCAGCCTCGACATCCTTTATTTGAACGGCAACAAGATACCATCCATTCAGCCCATTGAAGCCAATACATTTCCAAAGCTCGAATTTTTGCGCGTGGACAATAATCAAATCAAGGATTGGGGAAGTTTGGATGTTTTGAATGCTTTGTCATCATTAAGACGATTACGGTGCAAGGGCAATCCCATTGTCGCACGTGAGTATTGGGTTTTAATGATATTGAAAGGTCATGTATTGATACAATTGCTCTGATAGCACTGTCTCGTGAACAAGCCATGTTGCAAATTGTGAGCAGGATCAAAAACTTGACCATAGTGGATGGCAACACGGTTAGTGTAACACAGCATGAATAGTAAAGGTATACAAAGTGCTAACCCACGCGATGTAGGTTACACCACGGGAGCGCGTAGATTTCGAGCGATACTATTTGAAGCTATGTACTAAGGATGGCAGCACACACCAAGAGATAGCAAGGCTTCATCCTCGTTTTAGTGAATTGTGTCAAAGTATGTTACGCGTATGCTTTCTTCTTGCGCAAATGACTCATATTTATCATTGCACACATAGTTCATGGCGAGCCTGACATGGGTGAAAAGAAGGCGGGGGCAACCACACTTAATGATCGCCTTATCCAGCTTACTTTCAGCTTACGGCCATCTATGGATGATGTATCCCCAGTACAAGAGAAAAGTCAATTACAGGCAGCGGAAAAATCAATCGAGAAACGCGTGCTTGGTACAATGAAGATACGCAACCTACGACAAGTGATTCAAAAACTACTTCGAGTTCCAGCTACACGCCAACGTCTTTATCTTATTCAGAATGGTGCTCAAGACCATGAAATGCTTGTCACAGAACTTGAAGATGATTTACGGGACCTTCATTTTTACAGTGCAGCTGCTGGAGATGATATTACCATTGTACAAGAGTAACCAATAGACTAGAAAACGATTCCCTATTCCAATGATGGACCAACCATAAAGACATACGCATTCCTCACATAAATCTTATTGACGATCATGATGACTGGCTGCTATACATACATGATCCATGACCATGGCATGTATCTTACTCATTGACTTCACCTTTAAGTTGACTTTTAGACTTGCCACTTGACATTGAATCGCTTAAGCAGTAGCCAATGTAAACCCACACAGCATAAATAAAACTGTTGTTTTCAAGCAGTACATTAGAAATACGGTAGTTTTTATTGGATGTAAGTTAATTGTGATTGATGATAATGAAAGTACAAGAAAATTAAATGACTTGAATAATGTACGATAGTTATTAATCATTGCAGCAGACGCTCTGCATGCCCATCATATCCCTGCTGTTATTCAAATGGCACTCTCGTCGAACGTTTTTAACAGAGAACTTCATGTCGCCTTTCACCATCTGCAATCCCATGTTGCCTTCAGCGGACATGTAGTAGGTATCGCATCCTGCAATACAACCTCCATAGGTTGCATCGTAATGACCAGTGATCTTCTCTACTCTTCCGGATCCATCTTGACACTTGGCTTTAAAGGTCACCTTTTGGTCAACGCACAAGTTGCCATGGCATTCCATGTTGCTATCAATGTCACAGCAGATGTCTTCTTCCCTACGAACGAGCTTGAAGGCCGAGGTATCTTGAGCATTTCCATTGGAGATTTCGCTTGATTCCACAGGGACGGCGAACACGGGGCTACTTCCAAGGAACAAGGTGGCGGCAGTTGCAAGACCCAACAAAGGACTGAGGAACTTCATGGAGAAAGAATATGAATAGAAGGGTAGAAGGGATTTGTATGATATTGGAAATGGAGGCATACGCTGTCAGGTATATATATACGCATTTTTTTTCTACATGCCGCTCTATGTTGTCACTGCAATGACTTGCAAGAACAAAATGCACCGCTTTTCTGCACGCCGCTCTTTGTGTGTCACTGCAATTTCTTGAAAGTACAAAATGTACCGCTTTTCTGCATGCCGCTTTGCCGCTCTGTGCGTGTGTTACTAAAATTTTCTGCCCATACAAAAAAGCATGGATGTTGTACAAGTCATCACTTACCTGGCACTCATTGGGACAAACTTCCTTTGTAAGGGGTCCATGCGCAAGCACACCTTAATAAGACATCCTCGGCAGAAATTTCAACTATAGTAGAACAAGGGCCTTTGGACATCAACCTCGAGAAATTCTTCCACTCCACAAAACCCGTATATGTAATTCTCCAATTGCAATTCGTTGTCCACCGTAATTCTTGCAAGAGTACTGCATTATTACATATGGCCCCACATTAAACATCTAAACAGTGGGCGCTGTCGTATTTCATTTGCCAATACAGGTAATAATCATCACCAAGAAGTACAAGATGACAAGTCAAGGTATCACAGCGATTACTTTATCCCACGAGATGGCACAATATGATCTTGCCATACACATACACAAAGTACATCACACAATAGTCCCACCCACACCTCAAAGTATCCATCATTTGGTGTATCAACTACATCCCATAGAGTGATACATAGTGCTAAGCACCGCTATTGACTTTGTGTCACTCTGATCTCGGTGCCTGGTTTCTTGCATGTTGGGCTTGATTTATGTGCTTCAGGCGTACCAATGAAACAATGTCTTGAAAGTCTAATCCATTACTTTGTTTATCCCCCCACATACTTTAAGGTGGCACCTGGTATTGAGCACCGATATTTACTTTGTATCACTTGATCTCGGTGCCTTGCTTCGCGCATGTACCAAGTGTCCAAACGAACCACTGCCTTGGATAAAATGACACCGACATCTTGAGCTTGATTATGTTCATCAGGCTTACCAATGAAGCAAGGGATTAAAAAGTAAAAGTACAGCGCAATGCTTTATTGCGTGTGACTCATAGCGACGAGCACACAATGACGGGGATAAGTAAAATCACACATTGTGGTACTTGTTGGTGCTTCGTTAGACAACTTGAATAATGCAAGGAATACAAGGTTCCCAATCGTTGCTATCTTTACGACCTTCCAACTATCTTAAAAGTGTTCCAGCCAATAAAGTATTCTACTCTCGGTACACGCCGAGTAGTAACAGAAACTCGGAACGAAGCACTTGATATGGTAGGCTGGTGTGCGACATCCCAAAACGTGAAGCTGTTCGAGGTCTCACTAAGAGTGGCGCGACTTGATTAATCCATGGCAGGCAGAACATTGACCAATTCTTGATTCCATTTCAGTATACAAAATGGTCGTGACATGTGCTGTTGGTGTGTGAATGCCATATACAAAGTAAGGAGTGTTGTTATTTCTTGCACCTTTGAATTTCTATAGCAAATCAACGTTCATGTCTCATCAAGCGTATTATTAAGTGGATGAATGTACCTCTGGTTCTTCAGCAAAACGTGTACCATGACCAGATGAAAATTATTAAGAGAGTGCGTAACATTGGTAAAAGTTCAAGAGAGAGACACGTGCCATTGACACCACTACCTCTTCCACAGCTGTCCATGGGATCGGGACCTGATTGGGGTCTGCTACCAGGATTCCTGGCATCATAGCCTTTTCCCACCTAATCGTCTCCCGTTGCCACCTTGCAACCTTTTCCAAAGCGTCGTTTGCCGAGTACAGGATGACGGTAACCGATACCTAGGTAAAAATAGAGTTCAATTGATGTTGAAAAGGAAATATAGCAAACCAATTACCTGAACCAATGATACCAATGACCCTGCCTTTACTAGTATTCTTAAGCTCGCTGTATACTCTTTCAGCCTGGGACATTGCATGGGGCCCCATAGCATTCATATCAGTACTACAACGGCGATCCAATAATTCGCTCATAGATTTGGGAACTAATTCAGGACTACGTACGAGGCGTACGGGAGAAACGGTGGATACCATGGATTTTTCTTGAAGCATTTCAATGACAGCTTTGACTATATCATCATCGGGCGTTGGCATGGAAACGACCACATTTCATCAATGGATGCAGCAGATCCAAAAGTGTCTTGCTCGTTGCTTGTATATTGGGACCCGCACACTCGACAATAAAACGACCTGGTACAATGTCCACCAACGAACGAGTTGGATCATATTAGGCTCTTGCTGCTTGTCATGGGCGGATACAATAGGCTCATTTGAAAGGCATACAGCTGCTGTAGTTGCTCCAAGACTCCAAAGTAGATTAAATAACTTCATCAACGTATGAGTTAAACAGACCAGTAGACAAGATGATGCTACTGTACCATCATGTACCATGTATAAGGGTGGATGGATTTGCTCTTTGGATCAATTGTTGACAGCTGCAAGTGGAAACGTAAACTTGCGATGAATCATATACATGGATCACCGTAATGTAATCCAGGTAGTGACCTGGATGCTTGCTAGCCTTGTCAAAGCAACGGGTGGATGTAATGGCAATCATGCGTACATTGACAAATGTCAGCCGAGCAATTTTCCCAAGTTCTTTCTCTTCCTCTCAACCCCTTCACTCTCCAACTCACTCCATGAGCATCCACGTTGGCAATCGTATCCAGGTTGGCGCTGTTTATGCAACAGTTCGGTTCTATGGCCATGTTGAAGGCATCAAAGGCGAATGGCTTCGTGTCGAATGAAGCAATCCCACACGTGGCAAACACGATTGCTCCCATCAAGACACACGTTATTCAGATCGACCAGGCAAGATGCACTGCTTCTATATCACTCGAACTCGAACTTACCATCGTGTATATCTGTAGTAGCCCCATATCATGCTCGTTTATCCGCCCACATCCAACCAAAGCTATTACAGGACGACCTTTTCTCGACGCATTGAAAGAAAAACATCACGTGGATGATGATGGTGATCACAAAGAAAAAGATGTTGGACATGTCTACTTTGGTGGCAATAAGGATTTGGTGGTTGAACTCTTAAAGGATTCGGCAAGATTGAGGATGGACAAAGGTAAAGCTAACAAGCGAGAGCAAAGGGTGATATGGATCCTGACATGATGATCCATGTGATAGAAGTTTGAGCAATCTCAAGGTAGTTGGATTAGCACTGCTGGGGATCCTGGGATCATTGCTAAGCGGCGTCTTTGTAAGTATACATGATATCACTTTCAATTGCTGGATGCTTACATGGAATACAGAGCCATTCATGATCTCGAACTATCCAAGAATCTACTGAGCTCGTAGGATACCTTGTCAGAACCACAGAGCAGCTAAGCGAGTTGATGATATTGAGACTAAAGTAAGTACGTCGTTACTGGTTGAAGATGAAGGTGGATATCCGAATACGCATGATGATTGATATTGTGTATACATACAGCCACTGTTGTCTTGAACCACCCGGTGCATCCATTGATCATGCAGCATTCTCAAGTATCACAACCCTCGGTCTCAGCAGCACCAAAACGCAATTGTGGACAATCAATGCAAATTGAGCCATTACTACCTGCTTTGAAGACTTGCAGCTCGGCAAGAACGACATCCAGCATTTGACCAACCCTGCAACGGACAATCAATTTCCACATCATAAATGCGTCAATCTTGAAGACAATGAAATCAGCTCATGGGATGAGATTGCCAAATTGGGATGCTTGCCAAGGTACAAAAAAAGGGGAACCAGAGAACAATGAGTAGGCGGGTATTGACTTGGATGCATTCAGCCTCGACATCCTTTATTTGAACGGCAACAAGATACCATTCATTCAGCCCATTGAAGCCAACACATTGCCAAAGCTCGAATTTTTGCGTGTGGACAATACCAAATCAAGGACTTGGAAGGCTTGAATGTTATGAATGCTTTGCCATCGTTAAGGCGATTACTGTGCAAGATCAATCCCATTGTCGCACGTGAGTATTGGTTGTATTGATACTGAAAGGCCATGTATTGATATAATTGCTCTGATAGCATTGTCTCGTGAAGAAGGCATGTTAAAGTGGCGAGCTGGATCGAAAACTTTGAACCATAGTGGATGGCGACACAGTTGATGCAGCACAGCATGAATATGAAAGCCTACAACAAAGCCTTAATTTGACGCTGGCAGCTCTTGACGACCCTGCTGGTTTTGGAACAACATGCGATCCTTTTCATACGTTCTTACAACTACATACAAACATCATCCATGATCATGACAAACCCATAAATAAACGTTGTTTTGCAGCAGTACATTAGAAAGGCAGTACTCTTTATTGGTATGTTAATAGTGATAGATGATAATAAAAGTACGTACGATATTTATCAATAGTTGCAGCAAACGCTTTGCATTCCAATCATATCCCTGCTGTTGTTCAAGTGACATTCTCGTCGAACGTTTTTAACAGAGAACTTCATGTCGCCTTTCACCATCTGCAATCCCATGTTGCCTTCAGCGGACATGTAGTAGGTGTCGCATCCTGCAATACAACCTCCATAGGTTTCATCATAGTGGCCAGTGATCTTCTCTACTCTTCCGGATCCATCTTGACAGTTGGCTTTAAAGGTCACCTTTTGGTCAACGCACAAGTTGCCATGGCATTCCATGTTGCTATCAATGTCACAGCAAATGTCTTCTTCCCTACGAACGAGCTTGTTGAAGGCCGTGGTATCTTGAACATTTCCATTAGAGATTTCGCTTGATTCCACAGGGACGGCGAACACGGGGCTACTTCCAAGGAACAAGGTGGCGGCAGTTGCAAGACCCAACAAAGGACTAAGGAACTTCATAGAGAAAGAATATGAATAAAAAGGTAGAAGCGATTTGTATGATATTAGAAATGGAGGCATATGCTGCCAGGTATATATATACGCATTCGTTTTTTCTACACACCGCTCGGTGTATTCATTGCAATTACTTGTATGTACAAAATGCACCGCCGCTCTACTATGTGGGTCATTGCAATTACTTGCAAGTACAAAATACTCAGCTTTTCTGCGCACCGCTCGGTGCGTGTGATACTAAAATTTTCTGCACGTACAAAGAAGCATGGAAGTTGTACAAGGTTATCGCTCACCTGGTACTCATTGGGACAAATTTCCTTTGTAAGGGATTCATGCTCAACCACACCTTAATAAGACATCCTCGGCAGACAATTTCAACCATAGCACAAGAGCACCTTGGGCATCGACCTCGGGAAAATCTTTCACTCCTCGAGATGCATGTGTATTCTCGAATTGCAAGTCGCTGTCCAGCGCAATTCTTCAAAGAGTGCTTTGTATATGCAGTGCACAATGTTCCATGTTTCCCCTCATTGAACATCTTAGCAATGATCACTCTCGTATTTCAAGTACTAATACAGGTAATAATCATCACCAAGAAGTAAAAGATGACAAGTTAAGGTATCACAGCGATTACTTTATCCCACAAGATGGCATCAATATGATCTTGCTGTTCACATACACAAAGTACATCACACAGCAGTCCCATCAACTCCTCAAAGTGTCCATCATTTCGTGTATCAACCACATCCCATAGAGTGACACATAGAGCTGAGCACCGCTATTGACTTTGTGTCACTTTGATCTCGTTGCCTGATTTCTTGTATGTTGAGCCTGATTATAACTTTCAGGAGTACCAATGAAACAACATCTTGAAAGTCTATCCATAACTTTGTTTATCCCCCACATCCTTCAAAGTGGCACATGGTATTGAGCACCGGTATTTACTTTGTATCACTTGATCTCGGTGCCTGGCATCGTGCATGTATCAAGTGCCAATTGAATCATTACCTTGAATAAATGTGCCACCAACGTCTTGATCTTAATTATGTACCTGCATCAGGCTTACCAATGAATCAAAGGATTAAAAAGTCAAAGTACAGCACAATGCTTTATTGTATGTGACCGACGACGACGAGCATTATCATGATGGGGATAAGTAAAGTAATTCTTGTGGTACTTGGTGTTTCGTTAGACAACTTGAATAATGCCTGACATACAAGATTCTCCATCATTGCTATCATTACGATCCTCTAACTATCATAAAAGCGTTCCGCCCAATAAGATATTCTCCTTTGGTACACGACGGGTAACAGGAACCTCGGATGAATCACTTGAAATAGTAGGGTGATATGTCCCATCCCAAAATAAGGAGCTGTAAGGCTCACTAAGAGTGACACGACCAAGGGAATCCATGCCAGGTTGAACATTGCCCAATCTTGAGTACCATCCTCCGTATACAATGGGGTCTTCACGTGTGCTGTTGGTGTCTGTAAGCCATACACAAAGTAAGAATGTTTCCGTTTCTTGTATCAAAGACGAAGGCATCATCACTCACCACAGGGGATCAAGGCATGAAGATGGGTATTTTGTGTTGTTCACCAACAATACCGAAATAGGGTACAGTGAGATCCTTGTTGCCTGGACTTTTCTCTTGAATTGAATATAGGCACCATACACGATGTGATCATAGGGATTGGTCTTTGGAGGCGTCAATGTCACTTCAATAGTAGCACTTTTGCCGGGAGCCAACTTGATTGTCTTTTGTGAAAAGCGGATGGACGCCTTGGCGTTGTCAATATAGGTCACAGGCTCACTAAAGATATAGCCATTCCTGCCATCGTAGGGTTGAATGGCTACGCTTGTATTGTTGGTGATTTGATACGAGGCCGTACGAAGCCGTTGAGTTGCCCATGTTGCGGATCTTCAATTGCTATGTCCTCCCAATGTTGGCAATGTCATTGAATGGAAGGGCGCCAGGGGTAATGTGGACATCTTGCATAATTGTATCATACACTGCCAAATATCATGCCATTAGCTCATGGAATCAAATGCATGTGCTCTTGTAACCTACCTTGGATAAGACCAGCACCTTGTGCAAGGGGTGAATCAATGCCAGTGGCATGTGAATTGGGTGCCTTGTAAGCATAATGTTGGAATTGCTCGGTGGTGAATTTGGGCTTGGTCGAAAGATCATGATCCTTGTGAGCCTGCTTGAGATACAATGAAACAGCACCAGCGACGTAAGGAGTAGCCATGAAGTCCCACTCATCATACCCCAACCGCCAAGATAACTGGGTAGAGTTGAATAGACGTTGCCTCCGAAACAAGCAATATCAGGCGGAGAGAACACTGTATCCATGGATACAGCGGATGTAACGCCATGACCACCACTAGGAGCACTCATTGTCATTGCACCTTGTTCTCCTTCGTTACCAACAGCACCAACGACTACATACAGTAGAGAGATGATGAATAATGATACAATAGAGATGAGAGTGTAGTTACCATTATTACCTGGCATGCCTTTTGCAGCAATACGTTGTGCCACCACTGCGTCTGGAGGACGCGGGCCAGCCACTACCAAAGCCGAGACTCATTGAAATGACATCGACACCACCTTCGTAGGCATCCAGCATAGCTTGAAAATGACGTCGTTGGAGGTCAACCCTTGGCAACCAAAAATTCAGGAACAACGCCTTTGAAATTGTACAACGTCAATACCAGTGTCTTGCAAGCGCGACATCTAGTGGATATATCTACCTTTGACTTTCCAGCAACAATGTCGGCGACATGGGTGCCATGTCCTTATGAAAGGATTGTGTAAGAGAGTGAGTGGATAACATTGGGAGAAAAAGGGAGACAACGACACTTACCATTTGGCACCGCTACTCTTCCAGGTTCTTTCTCTTCCTCTCATTCACTCACTCATTCCATGAGCATCCGCGTTGGCGATCGTATCCAAGTTGGCTATGTTTTGGTAATCGTTCGCTTCAGTGAGCAAGTTGAAGACACCAAAGGCGAATGGCTTCGTGTCGAATGAGACGATCCTAGACGTGGCAAACGCGGCGGCTCCCATCAAGACACACGTTATTCAGATCGACCAGGCAAGACCCATTGTTTCTATATCATTCTTACTCGAACTTACCATCATGGATATCTGTAGTGGCCCCATATCATGCTCGTTTATACGCCCACATCCAACCAAAGCTATCACAGGACGACTTTTTCTCGACGCATTGAAAGAAAAACATCACGTGGATGATGGTGGTGATCACAAAGAAGAAGATGTTGGACATGTCTACTTTGGTGGTTGAAACTGTTGGATTCGGCAAGATTGAGGGTGGACAAAGGTAAAGCTAACAAGCGAGAGCAAAGGGTGATATGGATCCTGACATGATGATCCATGTGATAGAAGTTTGAGCAATCTCAAGGTAGTTGGATTAGCACTGCTGGGGATCCTGGGATCATTGCTAAGCGGCGTCTTTGTAAGTATATGTGAGATATCACTTTCAGTTGTTGGGGTACTTACGTCGATCTATCCAAGAATCTACTGAGGTCGTGGGATGCCTTATCAGAACCACATAGCAGTTACACGAGTTGATGATATTGCGACCAAAGTAGGTACATCGTTACTGGTTGAAGATGAAGGTGGATATCCCAATACGCATGATGATTGATATTGTGTATACATACAGCCACTGTTGTCTTGAACCACCCAGTGCATCCATCGATCATGCAGCATTCTCAAGTATCACAACCCTCGGTCTCAGCAGCACCAAAACGCAATTGTGGACAATCAATGCAACTTGAGCCATTTCAACCAGCTTTGGAAGACTTACAGCTCCGCAAGAACGACATCCAGCATTTTGGCAAACCCCGCAACAAGGACATATGTCACCTACCAAAAATCACGTTTTAAGCAGCAGGTGGTTTTATCAGTGTCGATTTACCATTACTCCTCCAAGATGCTTGACCACTTTATCAGTTTGATCAATCACGACAACAATTCCCACGCCCACTCTCATATTTAAACAAGGCTCTTTGCACCAACACTATCATACGTCCTTCTTTCTACTTGTATTCACATCCTCATCAATGGCCTTTGGTAAGTTTCAAGGATATCCTTTATTACGTGATCCTTAAAATGAGGGCACTCATGATTCATCTTCTTTGTTTTCATCTATAGCTCACATCATTGCTTCACGCTGTGCTCCTTGATGAACCCTTTGGGGATGCCTAGACTGATGGGGAAACTGAGACTCCTTTGTCGGTGACACAAGTATATGCGTGAGTAGCACTTTTGGGTGAGTATATCCAACTAGCGGCTGACTTATGATGATAGGCCCTGGCGGGAAGATGATTACGCTACAAACAAAGAATGACCACATTGTTACCGGTTGTGTCGACCTCATGTACCTCCCTGCAAGTCTGAACGATCTTTTTGATTTCAAGCGGACGCTGGAGTTACTGGTTTTGTGGAAGGTTAGTAGGCTGAATTTCTCGGTCATTGCATCTCTTGCTGACATACAAGTCATAGGATCACCATTCACATCTTAAAAAGTTGGTAACAAAGGCTACAGCTCGCAAGAAGCGACTCGACAGGCAACAACGACGGCAGCAACAAGAAACCATTATCCATGAAAAAGGAACCCACGGGTTTTTTACACCAACGCACACTCAATACAGAAGCATGTCAACATTCTAAACCGCGTGTGGGATTTTATCATGCAAAACCTTGCGACTCATATGTCGTCCCTTCTTTGTACGACAACACATCACATTATATCATCGGTAGTGGGTCCTAGACTTGCCACTTGGCATTGAATCATTTAAAGTAGCCAATGTAAACCCACGTAATATAAATAAAACCTTGTTTTGCGGCGGTACATGAGAAATACGGTATTCTTTATTGTTGATGGGTGACTATAAAGTACAAGGAATACGATAACGACTTGAATAATGTACGATAGCTATTAATCATTGCAACAAACGCTCTGCGTTCCGATTTGCGTTCCGCTATTGTTCAGGTGGCATTCTCTTCTGTTATTTTTAACAGAAAACTTCATATCGCCTTTCACCATCTGTAATCCCATATTGCCTTCATCGGACATGTAGTAGGTGTCGCATCCTGCAATACAACCTCCATAGGTTTCATCCCAATGACCCTTGATCTTTTCTACCCTTCCGGATCCATCTTGACAATTGGCTTCAAAGGTCACTTTTTGGTCAACACACAAGTTGCCATGGCATTCCATTTTGTTCTTAATGTCACAACAGATGTCTTCTTCCCTACGAACGAGCTTGTTGAAGGCAGTAGTATCTTGAACATTTCCATTGGAGATTTCGCTTGATTCCACAGGGACGGCGAACACGGGGCTACTTCCAAGGAACAAGGTGGCGGCGGCTGCAAGACCCAACAAAGGACTAAGGAACTTCATAGCGAAAGAATATGAATAAAAAGGTAGAAGCGATTTGTATGATATTAGAAATGGAGGCATACGCTGACAGGTATATATATACGCATTCGTTTTTTCTACACGCCGCTCGGTGTATGTCATTTCAATCCTTGCAAGTACAAAATGCTCAGCTTTTTTCTGCACGTTGCTCTGTGCGTGTGTTACTTAAATTTCTGCAGGTACAAAAAAGCATGGATGTTGTACAAGTTCACCCCTCTCCTGGCACTCAATGGGACAAATTCGCTTTGTAAGGGATCCATGCTCAACTACATCTTAATAAGACATCCTTGACAGAAAATTTCAACTATAGCAGAATAGGACATCGATCTCGGGAAATCCTTTCACTCCTCAAGACCCATGTGTATTCTCAAATTGCAACTCGTTGACCAATGCAATTCTTGCATATTGTTTGAAGAGTGTATTGTATATGCAGTCGAAAGGCACATTGCTCCATAAATGTCCCCACATTGAACATCTAAACGATGATCACTGTCCTATTTCAAATGCCAATACAGGCAATGATCGTCACCAAGTACAAGGCGGCTGGTCAAGGTATCACAGCGACAAAGTTTATCCAAGCACCAGAAGATGACGCCGCCAATATGATCTTGCCATTCGCATACACAAAGTACATCGCACAACCGTCCCATCAACTCCTTAAAGTCTCTATCGCTTCTTGTGTGTATCAACCACATCCCATAGAGTGGCACATAGGGCTGAGCATCGCTATTTACTTTGTGTCACTCTGATCTCGTTGCCTGATTTTTTGCACCTTGAGCTGGATTAGTGCTTTAGGCGTACCAATAAAACAGCATCTTGAAAGTCGATCCATTATTTGTTGATCCCCCACATCCTATAAAGTGACACATAAAGTTGGGTGCGCTTTGTATCACTTGAGGTTGATACCTGGCATTATGCATATACCAAGTGGTCAAATGATCCATTATCTAGGAAAAAATCTCACCAACACCTTGGACTTCCTCATGTGCATCATGTTTACCAATGAAGTAAGGTATTAAAGATAGATGCTCAGCAAAATGATTTATTGCGTGTGACTAATGGCGAGGAGCATACCATGATGGGGGTAAGTAGAATAATATTGTGGTAATTGGTGTTTCGTTAGACAACTTGAATCGATCCTCTAACTATATTAAAAGCGGTCCATCCAATAAGGCATTCTCCTCTCGGTACACGCTGAGTAACAGAAACTCGTACGAACCACTTGAAGTAGGCTGGCAGGTGCAATCCCAAAATGTGGGGCTGTAAGCCTCATTACGAGGTGTGTCTTGTATGACCAAGGTGATCCATGCCAGGTTGAACATTGCCCAATTCTTGACGACCATCTTCCGTATACAACATGACCTTTACGTGTGCTGTTGGTGTCTGGAATCCATATACAAAGTAGGGGATGTTGCCGCTTCTTGTATCAAAGACGAAAACGTCATCCTTGTTCTTGTACCATCGAGAACCCGAGGCATCGCTCACCACCGGGGATCCAGGCATGAAGATGGGTAATTTGTGCTGTTCACCAACGATACCAAAATAGGGTACAGTGAGATCCTCGTTGTTTGGGACTTGGCTCTTGAATTGAATATAGGCACCATACACGATGTGATCATAGGGATTGGTCTTTGGAGGCGTCAATGTCACTTTAATAGTAGCACTTTTGCCGGGGGCCAACTTGATTGTCTTTTGTGAAAAGCAGATGGACGCCTTGGCGTTGTCAATATAGGTCACTGATCATAGCCGTTCTTGCCATCGTAGGGTTGAATGGCCACGCCTGCATTGTTGGTGATTTGATACGAGATCGTGGAGTCGCCGGAGTTGCGGATCTTCCATTGCTGGGTCCTCACAATGTTGGCAGTGTCATTGAATGAAAGGGCGCCAGGGGTAATGTGGACATCTTGCATAATTGTATCATAAACTGCCAAATAGCATGTCATTAGATCATGGGACCAAATACATATGCTCTTGTAACTTACCTTGTATAATACCAGCACCTTGTGCAAGGGGTGAATCAATACCAGTGGCATGTGAATTGGGTGCCTTGTAAGCATAATTTTGGAATTGCTCGGTGATGAATTTGGGCTTGGTCGAAAGATGAGTTGCCATGGAAGTCCCACTCGTCATACCCCAACCGCCAAGATAACTGGGTAGAGTTGAATAGCCGTTGCCACCGAAACCCGCAATATCAGGCTTGAAATCAATCTCACTGCGTGGGTCAATGCTGGAGAAAACGGAGACTTGCACTTTCTGTATCCATGGATGCACCCAATGTCATTGCATCATGTTCTCCTTCACTACCAGCAGCAGCAAAATTACAATATACAAGAACCAATGTGAGATGATGAATGGTACAACAGAGGTTAGAGTGTCTTCATTGTTACCTGGAATGCCTTTTGCAGCAATGCGTTGTGCCACCACAGCGTCTGAAGGATGAGGGCCAACCGCTACCAAAGCCAAGACTCAATGAAATGACATCGACACCAGCCTCGTAGGCATCCAGCATAGCTTGAACAAGGACGTCGTTGGAGGTCAACCCTTGGCAACCGAAACCTCGCCACATGCCCCATGTCGCATCAGGAGCAACGCCTTTGAAATTCTACAGCGGCAATGTCAGCGTCTTGCAATCGCGACACCAAGTGGATATGTCTACCTCTAACTTTCGAGCAACAATGCCGGCAACATGGGTGCCATGACCTTATGAAAGGGTTGTGTAAGAGAAAGAATGAATAAAATCGGGAGGAGAGCAAGAAGAGGTACCTACCATTGGCACAGCTACCTCTTTCACAAGAAGTGGGACCGACAACTTGCCACACCACAACCATCGAAGAGACCACGCTGATAGCATTCATAAGGTATTTATTCACAACAATACATGTCATGGCTATTCGTTTCTCATTGAAGATAAGATATTATGGTGATGCATTTTTTGAAGGGGTGACAAGTAGCTGCAAGTATCCAAAGACGAGGAAGAGGATGATGGATCAAGGAGCCGAGTTACTACAGGAATTCAACTTAGCTTTTGCTTTGCCGGAGGTAATTAGAGAACTATCAAATACAAGTAGACCTTTCTTTTGTAAGAGTACATTAGAATTACAATATTCTTTTATTGGTACACTAAACGTGGTAGATGGCAATAAAAGTACAAGAAATTAGACGACTTGAATAATGCATGAAGTCCACGATTCCCAGTCTTGGCTCTTGTTGGGGTTGCCAAGGAGCTTGAGTGCCTTCCAGCCAATGCGGTACTTGCCCTTGGGTGCTTGCAAAGAGATTGGGAATTCAAATTTGCCAATGGTAGGCTTGTAAGTGCCATCCCAAATAGTGGCAGTGTAAGGCTCGCTAAGGGTGTTGCGGCCAATTTCATAATCTGCAGACCACACAGTACCAAGAGCCTTGCCCTTTTCGGTGTACAAAGTGGCCTTAAGATGTGCGGTGGGGGTTTGGAAACCATAGATAAAGTAGGGGACGGTGGTTGCGTTCTTGGGGTCGAATACAAAAACATCATCCTTGCTATCGTACAACTTGCTTTGATTCTCATCCGTCACCACAGGCGAATCGGGCATGAACAATGGCAACTTGCGTTGATCACCAACAATGCCAAAATAGGGAACAGTGAGATCCTTGTGCTTGCTGTTTTGGCTCTTGAATTGGATGAAGCCGCCATACATGATATGATCATCAGGGCTGTTGTGCTTTGTAGGAGGGGTAATGGTAAATTTGATGGTAGCGCTCTTGCCAGGTCCCAACTTGATGGTCTTCTTGTTGAACTTGATGGAGGCTGCGGCATTTCTCTCATCATTGATGTATGTGGCAGGCTCGCTAAAGATGTAAGGATTTTGGTCGTAGGGTTGAATGGCAACGCTGACGTTGTTGCTGATTTGGTAGGACACGGTGGAGTGACCATTGTTCTTGATAGTCAACTTTTGAGTGCGGACAATGTTGGCAGTGTCGTTGAATGAGATAGCACCAGGGGTGATATGAACATTTTGCATGAGGGTATCATACACTATTTGCAAAATAGGATGAGTTTTCATTGTTACGAACAATGAAACACCAGCTCATTGATTTACGTACCTTGAATCAAACCAGCTCCTTGAGCAAGAGGAGAATCGATACCAACAACGTTGACGTTAGGGGCCTTGTAAGCATAGTGTTGGAATTGTTCGGTGATGAATTTGGGCTTGGTCGAAAGATCATGATCCTTTTGAGCCTGCTTAAGGTACAAAGCAACAGCACCAGCGACGTAAGGAGTTGCCATCGAAGTACCACTCATCATACCCCAACCACCGAGGTAACGGGGAAGAGTGGAATAGACATTGCCACCAATACCAGCAATCTCAGGCTTGAAGTCGTTTTCGTATGAAGGACCAACGCTGGAGAAAGATGAAACAGTCTTGCCGGTAGATACAGGAAGGGTGCTTTCTTGATGATCAAAGGAAGCCTTGACGGTCTTACCACCCTTGAGAAGATCAACCAATTTCAAACCAATTTCATTCGAGACACCAGCCACGGGGATCTTGGCTGTAGTTGTGGAAGGAGTAAAAACATCACCTTCAGCGTTGAATACCAAGGCACCAATAGCACCAGCCTTAGCAAGGTTGGCAGCCTTTTCATCAAAAGTACAAGAGCCACGACGAACAAGACCAATCTTGCCCTTCACTTCCTTGGGTACATTTTCAGCCTTACAAGCATCCGAAGAGCTGTCAACATTCTTGTCACCAAGAGCAAGCTCACCATCAGGAAGCTGACCAGAGGATTCGCTTGGGGAATAAACTATCCAGTTTACATGTTGGTTTACTATTTAGGCTTGGTGTACATGTACTCACTTTGCTTGCCATCCAAACCATCAGCAGAGAATTGCTTGGCGATAAAGTAGTTGTTGTCGAATGAAGCAACAGATACTGGGCCATGGCCAACACTAGGAGTACCAGCAGTAAAGGCACCACTAGCACCTTCATTACCAGCTGCAATGATAACTATAACGATGGTGACATGTAAGCATAAAGCAAAATCGTCGGGGCCATGTTACACTAATATACCTGGAACACCACTTTCGACAATGCGTTGAGCAACAACTGAATCGGCACTTTCAGGCCATCCAATCGAATCTCCAAGACTCATGGAGATGATATCGACACCAGCTTCATAGGCATCAAGCATAGCTTGGATGATGACATCGTTACTTGCGCTACCTTTACAGCCGAATACACGCCACATGCCCAAGGTGGCTTCAGGGGCAACACCCGTGAAGTTCTACAATCATCAAATTCAATGTCAGAGCCATCTAAGATTATTCACACAATGATTATCCCAAGGTAAAACTTACCTCAGACTTTCCAGCAATGATACCAGAGACATGGGTACCATGACCTTGAGAACGACATGATTATTATGACATGATACGAGGATGATAGATGAAAAAGTAATAATAATAGGCTTACCGCTTGCACCAGAATCTTTACCACAATCATCCAATGGATCATCATCAGGCTTGGGCGTGCTGCCTGGTACTTCAGCATTGTAATCATCACCAACAAGATCATAGCCAAAGGCTACCTTGCAGCCTTTGCCCAAACATCCACCCAATGCTTCATGCTTGTAGTCGACACCTATTGTGTTACATGCACTGAATTAATTATTACTGCTGGTGCAACAGCAATCACGATATTTACCCGAATCGATAACGCCGACCTTGATACCCTTTCCCTTGTTCTTGAGTTCTTTGTGAACACGATCAACTTGGGTCATGCCGTGGGGTTCAAGTAAACCAGTGTCGATGCCCTTTGCGCCACTGCTGAGAGGGGTGGCAGTCAATTGAGGACGAGGGATGATGCGTACAGGATAAACGTTGGTAACCAATGCTTCATCTTGCAAGGCTTTCATAACGGAGTCCAAAACGTTTTCATTCGAAGTGGACATGGATTCCACAACTTGGTCTTCATCATCGTCATTGGATTTGCTCTTGGATTTTTTGACGGTATCGATTTGAAGCGAGATACCACGCATGAATGAATGGTTCCAGGATCGAACAATGGAGACTTCGGTATCATCAAACTTGCCATTGAGCAATTGAGTAAGCTTTTTGCTGCTAGCATCAACATTGCCACCCGAAAATTCGACAATGTAACGACCAGGGACGACCTCGAATTCTTTTTTGGAGATTTGGCTTGGATGGACATTGGCAGCGAATACCGGGTTACTCTCCAACAGCAAGGTCGCTGCTGCTGCAAGACCCCATAAAGGACTGAAAAATTTCATGAATATAAAAATGAATGGAAGGGTGAAATGGGTTTTGTATGAAACTAGGAAAATACGGAGGCCAATGCCGTCAGGTATATATATGTTTGTTTTCTACACGCCGCTGCTGTGTGTGTATGTGTCACTGCAATTATTTGCAGGTACAAAATGCACGCACACGTTGCACACACGCATCGCTTATCAGGCACCCATTTGGAAAAAGTTCCTTTGTATGGGATTCATGCTCGACCATAGCTTAATGAGACATCCCTCGACAGGCAATTTCAACCATAGCAGATGAACAACATCGTGCACTTTTTTCGTCGTCGGGAAAATCTCTCTTCCCTCTTTACGACAATCACTTGAATCGGACCTCGTTGACCCAGCAGTGCAATTCGTGCATTATGTGTATTGTTTCAAGTTTGTTGTACATGCAGTTGAGAATGCACAGTGTTGCATACGTGTCCACATTAAACATCTAAACAATGATCACATTACCTACGCTGTCAGCCGCTGGGTGACTTTTTAACCGTACCAAAGTTCTCCTCTTCCTCGGATTCATGGTACATGTTGCTATTCTAAGGAAAGCATAGAGTTGGTGTGTGTGCTTGAACACAAGAACACGTTTCGTTACTCCATATCATGCAAAGCACTCCCCGCTTTTGGCGGTAGGACGATCTCGCCACAGCTAGATTTAGGCTATGTACAATCCATTGTACTGGCTACTTGCCATCAAATGCATACATTGTGGAAAAACAACCATCACTGAATGTTCTAGTGTGTCTGTAATTCACACGCACAGATCCTTGCCAACAATTCTCAAAGTGTCCCATTGACCCACTTTTATGATTCCAATTAAAGATGATGAGGGTACAAGGGCATGCGTGTGGAAGGTGAAAAATGGTTTGTTGCGGAGAGGTATTATGCTATCATTGACTCATCCCGTTATTAACTTTAAGGTCAACAACAAGCTCGCCATCGTGAATGATATGACATGCGCCCCGTAAAGTGACACATATTGAGCACCGATCATTGACTCGTGACACCTACTTAAAATGGAGAGATCTCGTTGCCTGGCTTTTTGCATGTGCTCATGTGATCCATTACCTTGGGTTGACGAATTTCACCGACATCTTCAGCTGAATAAGATTTGTATCAGCGTTACCAATGAACAAAGTTTTTAAAGTAAAAAGTACAGTGTAATCGTTTATTGCGTGATTGATGATAGAGGGTAGAATAATACAACGACGATGGTGATGGTGGTACTTGGTGTTTCGTTAGACAACTTGAATAATGCAAGACATCCAAGACTCCCAGTCGTTGCTGTTGTTACGGTCTCCTAGCAACCTCAGAGCCTTCCATCCAATGCGATATCTTCCCCTTGGTACACGACGGGTAACAGGAAACTCGGATGAACCACTTGCAGTAGGCTGGAAGGTGCCATCCCAAAATGTGGAGCTGTAAGGTTCAGTAAGAGTTGTACGACCAAGGTAATCCATGCCAGGTTGAACATTGCCCAATGCTTGACGACCATCCTCCGTATACAATGTGGCCTTTACATGTGCTGTTGGTGTCTGGAATCCATATACAAAGTATGGGATGTTGCCGCTTCTTGTATCAAAGACGAAAACGTCATCCTTGTTCTTGTACCATCGAGAACCAGAGGCATCGCTCACCACAGGGGATCCAGGCATGAAGATAGGTAATTTGTGCTGCTCACCAACGATACCAAAATAGGGTACAGTGAGATCCTTGTTGTTTGGGACTTGGCTCTTGAATTGAATATAGCCACCGTACATGATGTGATCATCGGGATTGGTCTTTGGGGGCGTCAATGTCACTTTGATGGTAGCACTTTTGCCGGGGGCCAACTTGATTGTCTTTTGTGAAAAGCGGATGGACGCCTTGGCGTTGTCAATATAGGTCACTGGTTCACTAAAGATATAGCCGTTCCTGCCATCGTAGGGTTGAATGGCCACGCTTGCATTGTTGGTGATTTGATATGAGACCGTTGAGTCGCCCGTGTTGCGGATCTTCAATTGCTGGGTCCTCACAATGTTGGCAGTGTCATTGAATGAAAGGGCGCCAGGGGTAATGTGGACATTTTGCATAATCGTATCATAAACTGCCAAATAGCATGCCATTAGATCATGGGACCAAATACATATGCTCTTGTAACTTACCTTGGATAAGACCAGCACCTTGTGCAAGGGGTGAATCAATACCATTGGCATGCGAATTGGGTGCCTTGTAAGCATAGTTTTGGAATTGCTCGGTGATAAACTTGGGATCGGTGACCATGTGTTGATTCTTTTCAGCTTGCTTGAGATACAAAGCAACAGCACCAGCAACGTAAGGAGTTGCCATTGAAGTACCACTCATCAAACCATATCCGCCAAGGTAACTGGGTAGAGTTGAATAGACGTTGCCACCGAAACCAGCAATATCAGGCTTGAAATCAATCTCACTGGATGGGCCAATGCTAGAGAAAACAGAGACTCTTGCACTTTCTGTATCCATGGATGCAACGGAAACAACGCCATGACCAACGCTAGGAGCACCCAATGTCATTGCACCTTGTTCTCCTTCATTACCAGCAGCAGCAATGACTACGTAGAAGAATCGATGTGAGATGATGTATGATACAACAGATGTAGTTATCACTCATTACCTGGAATGCCTTTTGCAGTAATACGTTGTGCCACGACGGCGTCTGGTGACGACGGCCAACCGCTACCAAAGCCAAGACTCATTGAAATGACATCGACACCAGCCTCGTAGGCATCCAGCATAGCCTGAATAATGACGTCGTTGGAGGTCAACCCTTGGCAACCGAAAACTCGCCACATGCCCAATGTCGCATCAGGAGCAACGCCTTTGAAATTCTACAACGTGAACGTGAGTGTCATGCAATCGCGCTATCTAGTGGATACACCTACCTCTGATTTCCCAGCAACAATGCCGGCAACATGGGTGCCATGACCTTATGAAAGGGTTGTGTAAGAAAAAGAGTGACAAATTTGGGAGAAAGAAGAGGTACTTACCATTGGCACCGCTGCCTCGTCCACAGCTATCCATGGGATCGGGGCCTGGTTGAGGTCTGCTACCAGGATTCCTGGCATCATAGGCGTTTCCCACCAAGTCGTATCCCATTGCCACCTTGCAGCCTTTTCCAAAGCAGTTGCCAAGAGCAGGATGACGATAATCGATACCTAGTGACAAGAATAGACAGTTCATAAATGATGTTGAAGAGGTAATTACAGCAAGTGAATGTACCTGAATCAATGATACCAACGACCATTCCTTTGCCAGTATTCTTGAGCTCGCGGTGTACTCTTTCAACTTGGGACATTGCATGAGGTTGCATGGCATTCATATTGATAGCATCACGGCGATCCAATTCACTCATAGGCTTGGGCACCAATTCAGGACGACGTACGAGGCGTACAGGGTACACGGTGGATACCATGGATTGTTTTTCAAGCATTTCAATGACTTCTTTGACGATGTCATCGTTGGGTGTTGACATGGATTCGACCACATTCTCATCGTCATCGTCATCGTCATCATCCTTTTTTTTGGTGCTATCAATTCGGAGTGTGACACCACGCATCAATGGATGATCGTACGATTGTGACACCGACACGTTGGTGCTGTCAAACTTCCCATGCAGCAAATCCAATAGCTTCTTGCTCGTTGCTTGCACATTGGGTTCAGCGTATTCGACAATGAAACGGCCTGGCACAATATCCACCAATTGAGTAGGATCGTATTTGGGTTGTTGTTGTTGTTGTTGCTTGTCATCCGCAGCGGATACGATGATGGTGGGGGCCGTGTTTAAAAGCCATACAGCTGCAAGACCCAAGATTGGATTGAACAACTTCATTGATAAACGAATGGAATGGGTGTGTTATGGATGTCCATGCTCAATGGCCGTTGGATCTCTTTTATATGTTTTCTTGTCATCATCCAGAACCTCACCTTTGTGAACACAATACCCAAATGTACGTCCCATGCAAATTACTTTTTGATTGCAAGTAATGGATGAATGCATTGTTTTTTCAGTTGCAGCCCATAGCTGACTTGAATCACAGTAGACATGTCGTTTTTCCAATATATCCATCATAAAATTTCATATATTACACAATCCATTGATGTGGTTCGGAATGAGCCATGGAAACAAAATGGGGGTTGACATATAATAAGAGTGACAAGCGGGGATTCAGATGAAGGGTGGAGTGAGAATACATGATGAGACAACAAGAAACAAAAAAGATACACACGCAAGCAAGTAAAAAAAGGGATTTGGATGTGGGGGGAGAAGGAAATGACATGAAACAATGTGGTGGTTGATGATAAAAGTACATATATGTGTGGTGAGAGAGTGAGAGAGCGAAGGGTGGGGTAAGGACCATCTACAAGTTGCAACCATTGTACCGTCTCAGGATAAAAAAAAAAAACAAGAAAGAGACATGTTATCGGTGAGACAATGGGTCCAATGAATTGACAAAGGTGAATGATGCTTGATGTTGATCATGACTGGAAGCTTGTGGTTGAGGCGTAGGTGGATCAAGTGATGAAGAATGATGCGTTGGTGGATGAGGTGAATGTGGCGAATGTGGCGAATAAAGAGAACTTGATTCATCATCCGAGATCAGGCTTGTTGGACTAGGACTTGGTGGTAAATGTGTACCGAATCGATTGCTCGAAGGTGGTGCTAAATCGGGTCGTGCATGTTGATGATGATGGTGATGAAGATTTTGTGTTTGGACGGACAAAGGTGAACGTGATACACCACCGAAAACGTCGTGCAACACGTCGTTTGTATTGTTGTTGTTTGTCTCTGGTGATGTGATAAATATAGAAGGTGGTCTTTCTTGTTTTGATCCATCAATGAATTGATCAATGTTAAACCCAGAAGGTAACTGGCCTATAAACCTCCTTGTCAATAACATCCCTTGACCCCTTAAATTAACTCGCATAATTACCTCCATTCTGTTGAGAAATGTATTGTGCCATGTTCTTCATCATTTGCTGCTGCGATGCTTGTTTGCGTCGTGTCTCTGCTAGCTCCTTGACAAGCTCATTGAAATTTTCAAACAGATGGCCGATTTGTTGCATCATATCTGATTGTGCGACCTGCATCATGGCTAAATGTGCATGTAGGTCACCCGTTTCCCTCCTTGCTGTATCAGACGATTCCATAGCCTTACGCTTGATATCATCAAGTAAATCAGGTCGATTCCTTAAGAACTTTGCATGTGAAAACTCCCAAATCTGATTCTCGGCTAATGTACGATGGCCACGAGGAGACTTGTTAACCTTATGGAAACCATACCTGCACACAAAATTCATGCATGTCAGTTGATTTGATCCGCAAAAAGAGGGGGATGAGATCCTTACATGTTGAGTTGCCGTACAAAGCTGGAAAAGTTGTTGTGCTTAAAGTGCTTTGGAAGTACATCACGAGAAAATTCCATAATGTTACAAACAATGAATGATGATCCGGTATAATTCCATGCGATCAAATGCTGATATTGATTGTCAACCACCATGCTACGATCGATCGATCATGTCAATAAGCTGCATTTCTCTTTCTCATGTTTCATGGGACATACTTGTATAGTTTATGCACAAAGGTATTCGCATGTGCTGGTTTTTGTGCTGTATTGCCTGTTGCATTCGTGGTAGCTGTGGTGGCAGGACCTGGTACAGCTTGTGGAGGTGTTGGTGGCTGTTGTACTGACAGCTGGTGTTGCCCAAAAGTATGCATAGGTTGTGGAGTTGTTGGGATAGAGGAGCGCACTGAAGGTGTTTCGAGGAGTGGGAATGCAGAGGTGGTTGCAGGATTGGAATTGGATCGTCGATGCAAATGCTCCATTGGGGGTTTGGTTGTAGTGAATGAGGACAAAGAGAGAGAAAAAGGAAGGTGTATGTGTGTATCCGTTTAGTCGACCTCTTTTTTACTTTGCGCGCAAATTGCGTGTCATTTCAAATCCAGTTGGGGTGGAATTTTAGGAAGACTTGAAACTTCACCATTCCGATACTTGACTTGCACATTTTAGCTGTGATGATGGTCGTGCGTACGTTTGTTTCGTGTGCCTGGGGGAGGGGCCAGGGCCACAGCGGCAGCTTATTCAGCATAATCGAGATCCAGATCCATACACTCCGCATTGTCATGGTAAATCATCCTCATTGTCCCTGTCAATTCTATTCACTGGTAATAGTTAAAAAGTGAATAACACATTGCCGGTCTCGAAATCCCACCTACTGGTTGTTTATGGCATGTGTCGTGACATGGCATATTTGGATTTTTTCCCTTAGTGCAAAACTTTGGGGTATGGTGACACAGCCTTTGTCCATTTTACCTTCTGCATTTAATCACAGCCAATTGTTATGCCAACGTGCGTGCACCTTTGCCCAATGAGAAATCGTAACACTCGAAACCGGCGAAACGGAATGCAGCATCAGCAGGGCATAGGCAGCTCTATACTGGCTATACTACTATCACGTATGTTAGCTGTGCCAGGTATCCGATGCCATGTACACACGCACGGTCTGCTGTACACACATTACACAACGCATAGAACATTCCCCAATTCCTTGATCTGTGCACCTTGAGTTATAATTTTTATTATCTCGTGCTATTTTTCTCCAAAAGGATGAGTACAATGGAACATTCGACTACTCTCATTAGCATATGAATGCATGAATCAATAGGCTTCATTGTTGATAAAGGGGGAGAATAATAACTATTATCGGAGGATCCATTTCCGAAACCAAAATGGGAAATCTAATATAATCTATTCGTCATCATCATCAAAGCTGCAACCAAATGCAAGCACATCAAAGATATTGGCACCCTTCGTTGCGGTTGGTCTTGATGAGGATGTCGGCCGATCGGTAGCCACCCGTTTCGTTTTTGCTCCTACTCCTCCTCCTCGTACACCAGCGGATGTCGCATGAGGACCATTATTGCCGCTCCGCTTTTTGACGTTCTTTTTAATCGACGACGACGACGATGATGATGATGTTGTGCCTTTGACAGTAGCCTCCTTTGACCACGTGGGCGGAATTTTGTAATCAAATATGGTCTCCACATTTTGCTCCATTTTTGCTATAACAGCCCGATATAGGTTCCAGAACAGCTGATGTTTGTCTCCTCCCAACTTTGATCCCAGCATGCGTTCAACACTGGCACCTCGTCTCGCCAATTGCAAATAATGATGCATCCGTATACCATCGTACATGTTGATCAACATTCTTTCTTGTCCCAAATGCTGCTGCTGTACACCCAATGCTTGCCCCAAAAGATGAGAACAAAAAATGATACTTTGGAATTGTGCCGTAAGATGCAATGCTCCTCGCTTGATGGTGGGTAGCTTGGTTAGTGCGCTTGGGCCATCCTCCTTGTGCAATAATGAGGCAAAGCCACCCGCCAAGAGGCCAATCACCTCGTGATCCTTGATCCGATTACTGTTATTGTTCCCATGATGATAAGCCAAATCGTAGATCAAACATCGTAAACATAAAACCAGTGGCCACCAATAGCGATCAAGCTCAGCAAGTAGACTTGGATCCGTATGATGTAACTGAGCCAAATGTGTGAAACCATCCCCGCTGCTGCACGTGACGTCGCATTCCACCATGTCTTCACTCAAATGGCGCTTTTCTCGAATGTATTCTCGTATGATTGGCAATGTATCGGATTTCAATAGTGCCGTATAAACGTGTTGTCGTAATCGTCGACTCACTAGCCAACTCGATGGCTGTTGTAAATCTTCCAAAAATATCGGTGCCCAAAAGGTGTGTGTCAAAGTGATGTCTGTAATAGCACGACTGGCGTGTTTCATATTCCCCTTGTTGTCATCATCGGCGGATCCAGAATCCTTCTCCAAGAGCACACTTTCTGCATCGTAACGTCGTACAGACTCGATAACAACATTGTGATCCACTCCATTTCCTTTGATCATGCCATTCAACTCCTTGAGAACCACATCGATGCTATTGCTATCAAGGTCTTGATGTCCAACGGTCTTACGCAAGAACTCTCCCACAATCTTGGGCCAAAAAAGGGTCTTGTTCTTGCATTGGAGTCCTCGTGAAGAGCACCATTCGGTAATGGGATCACGCACCAGCTTGGTGTCAAGATAATCATTGCCCAACAAAGTCCCGAAAAGAGGTAAAAGCTCAATCTTGAGATCAAGTAACGATGCAAGTGCCTTTGGATGATACGCTGTGGCAGAGACCATGTCATTGCGGATATTCAAGGAACCAAGGGGTATATAGCCTTTGCCAGCGCGAGGATACACATGCATGTCCGAATCCTTGGATACCATATAGCCATTGCGTAGTTGCGCCATTGTTGCTACTTGACCATCCGCTTCATCCGCACACACAATGGTTTCAACATTCATCTCACGTAATGCTTGTACGCATACATCCAACATCAATGGCGGAAGCAGGAAAAAGTCGCTTGGGATTGGCAAATCATCGCCCATTTTTGATTGACGTAGTGCGTTGTTGATATGATCAAGATGCGATAAAGTCATCGATGCTCGCTCGAGATAGGTTGCATATCGCTTGAGACGTGTTCGTTGCTTGTCATGCGGCACAGCTCCGTCAAACAACACTGTCAATTGGATCCCGGCTCGTTGTAGCACCAAGACATCATCTTGTATAGCCTTAGCAACCACACTGTATTGACCTTTGTATATCACACAATGAATACTTGTATTAGCCCATATCCTCCCACACTCTCGATAATAAATTGCATGGCTGCTGTTGCCTACCTCCATGAATCCAGTCAGCTCGTGATTGCATTGCATAGTGATAAGTGAATGCGTTGCCGTCGACAATGAAATGCTCGGCTGTTGGTTTTGCTGTATCACTCACGGTCCATGTCTTTTGGTCTCCTAGCGTAGAGTGCTCGTGTACAAATGCAGCCAATCCATAAATGCCCATCAAAAGTGTCCAAACGGTTCAACGATAAGGTAGCACCGAGAAGCAAGTGTCAGGCATGCAAAGCCACAATGGGAAATAGTAAATTTATCAAATGTCAAAAGAACAGTTTTGTACACTATGCAAAGGGGGGTTTGGGGTGAATGGATGATGGGAATACGTTATGCACATAAGAAGGTAAAGGAAAAACAAAGAGTGGGAGAGAGGGAGAGAGATTATATAATGTTTGGCAATGAGAAGAATAAGCGAAGGGTGGTGATCAATCATAATCGTAATAGTCATCTTCATCAGCATCATCGGCCCAGCCCATAGCTCGACGTCCTTCCATCATCAGCCGTTCATCGTCAGCCATATCCTCTGGATCCATATCCTCATCATCTTCATCCTCGTCTTCTTGATCTACAGCTTCTGTTGCCTTGCCATCATCACCCGTCTTTTGTTTCTTGGTTGCTAATGCATCACCAGATTCCTCCACAACCTCATAAGCAGAGTAATCGCCTGTGTTCTCATCAATACCAGCACTACGCATGACCTCCTTGAGCTTGTCAAGTTCCTTGATCTTTTCAATCGACTCGGGTGATTCAAACATGCCATCAAATACATCTTGGTTGATCTTCTTTGAAAACTTCCTGGTCTGTACAAGTTGCTTGGCAGCTTCGGCGGGACTCTCAGCAGCAGGCAGCTTTCGTTTCCGTGCATGTTTCTAAAAAGACGTGTTAATGATCCGTTATTCAACGAGAATAGAAAATAAAACTTACTCCTTTCTTTGAAATGACACCATTTTGTCGATCCATCGCCAACTTCTCTGCTCGTGCTTTCATCTCCGCAAGATATTCCTTGTTCTCGGTATACCAAATCATTGTCTTTAAACGGACTTCTTCAGGTGTCAAGAGCATAGCTTCAATTTCCTCATCATCCACATCAGATAATCTTGAATCCTCCTCCTCTTGTGCTATCTTTTCCTTCCTTTCAGTTGCTATAGAGGTGATAATGAGCAAAAGAAATGTCCACGATCTGCCTTCTTTATGCTTACCAAAGGCTTCTGAATTTTCCACAAAATCAGCCGTCTTCATCCAACCTTCGACCTCCTTCTCTAACTCCTCGACTTGTTCCTCTAATGACGGATTGACCATGGTTGCTTGTGTATCATCAGGCACTTGAGAATCCGGTACAAGGGTAGCTTGGGTATCTTCTGGTGCAGCCATAGGTGTAGTAGCGGTGGCTGCGGGAGGTGATGAGGTCATTGCTGGTGAGCCGGGTGCTGTCATGGGTGTCATGGGTGCTGTCATTGGGCTTGCAGCCACCACTGTAGGCTGTCGTCGTGGTATTTGTTGGTCCTCATCGTCTTCATCATTGTCCTCATAATCCGTTTCAATGTCATCCAACAAGATACCACCAAAGCGTTTCTTTTTCTTCTTTGGTGTCTCAGCTCGTGCTCGAATAAAGGATGGTGGATCGGCTTCTTTCTCTAGCCACATGGTTCGGAAATCACGCACGGACAGTCTGGCTGATTCGGTTTGAGCAAATTCTTTCAATCTAATATCATGTATACATGTTAGAGGATGGATTTTATAGAGGCATATCAACTCACCTGGCATGAATAGTAATCTCGGCCACTCGTACGACATAAATCATTTCCCTTGTTGTACGTCGAAAACCATTCATTCGTGCAGCAATCAGCAAGCAGGCACCACAAATACCGGAAGGACGACGACCCGTGCGAATCCAATCACGATCCATACGTTGTACAAGGCGTACCGCATCCTGTGCCACACGTTGTGTGTATTCACCAAAATCAAGTGCTGCGGCAAATCGAGAAATGTAGATGGATGGATCAATAAGTGGTAATCTGAGATTGAGCGTGCGGACAAGCTTTAGGAATGTTGAACCAAGGACAAAGACGTTGACCTATTCAATATTGTATGGTGAGTTATATAATCATGTTGCATAATAATATGTTGCATATGGACCTACCTGCAACACATCCGAAAAGTCAATCAACATTTGCGAGCTCTTTTCATCACGACAAACGATATATAAGCAAACGGCCGCCACATGTTCAGATCTTCTGCCTCGCGTAAATCGATTCACAACAGCAAGGTTGTAATAGCGTTGTGCTGCCTCACGGTAACGTTCGGGGAGGTTGATAGCGTGTGCCATATGAGCAATCTTGAGTCGACCTGTTATTGACAACTGTTAGCAACATGGCATATTGGATTGCTTTCAAACGTACCATTTTCCATAGCTTGTTCTTGGCCTTCTCTACCACGGCCGCGTCCAAATGGACCACTACTTGCAATGCGACCTATAGAAAAAAGTGTTTAGTAGATATGCTTGAAACTGGAATGGACAATAAAACAACGTACCAGATTCGCCTGCAAATGAGCCTGAAAGTACAGTTTTACCACCACTAAGCTCTTGGAAAGTAACCTCGGCAACGATCGTGTTCTCTTCCAACACCTAATGGACAAGAAGTATATGAATCAGCCCATTGTTTGGAGTGTATAGGTTTCCCATGAAGAGTAATGCAACTTACTTCACCGCATGCCACACAAAAGGTGGTACCCGAGGAAGCTTCGGTTTCAACTTTGCTTGATCCACAACGACATCGCATAGTGATAGGGGAAAGGGCGTGGTGTAAGGTGTAAAGGAGGGGGAGGAAAAACAAGGATTGGAGCGGGAAATGGGTTATCTGTTTAAGACCTACAATGACAGACACGCAGAACTTCCAATCAAACATCGATCCATGTGTGGAACATAGCCAGCTAGAATGAGGGATGTCACCTGTGTGGATACGGATACTATCATCCCCCCCGTAAACACCATATGCATTTGGCTGGTTGCCAACGTGAAATGTATAGGGGCTCAGCAATAAATATGAAGCTTGTAGGGAAGCAATTGATTGATACAACATGCAAGTTGATACAAAACGCATGACGACAAAAAGAGGATGATACCTATTTCATTGATTTGGTCTACTCGTTGGAGAAAGAAAGAATCACTAGGTCGCGTCGCATAGCAACAAAGAGCTTAATTCCATTTGCAAGTAGCAGCAATAGTTTTCCATTATTAGGCTATCTACTAACTTGGATTTAGCGATATCATGATGCAAACCATTCGATCAAGTCTTCATTACTATACCAGAGCCTGGAACACCATTGGTTGGTATGTTGGTCCCTGGTCTTCGTGTTTAGAATAACCTACTCATTCTCATTCTTTATAGTTGAACCTTGTTTTATGGGTGTATGGATACGCAGAAGATTTATGCAGAAAAGGTGTATGGTACATGTTCTTGTGTGATAGGTAGGGCGCCATATCCATGGTATTGTAAATATTCCCTTTGTAGCATGCATTATCCTTTTATCATGATTGGTTTCCATAGCAACTATATGTGAACAATATAAGAGTATCCTAATTGACTTGTTGTATGGGGGACTTTATTGTGCAGCGGGAGAGAAAACGAATGAGTGGCCAAGCACTGGTGTTTTGTGTGACCGGCGGGGCAGGAAGCAACCTCCAAAAATGCGAGCGGGCAGCTTCCTTGATACCCTCCTTTCCGAATCACTAGCCAACATGGAAGCTGTCCAGACTTTTGGTCGCAAGGTGCGTACATGAAACGATGATGAGAGTGAATGGATGAATGGATTAGAGATAGGGATGAAATGGATGGATTGAAAAAACAAAGAGATGGATGACATGACATTGTCAAGTGTGTGTATGATAACCTCATGGCTGACCCATTGGATTCCTCCCATTTCAATAGAAAACCGCCACTGCTGTTGCCCACTGCAAGCGTGGACGTGGTCTCATCCGCGTCAACGGTTCTCCTCTTGAGCTCTTGGAGCCCGAGATCTTGAAGTTCAAGGTTTACGAAGTCGTCCTTCTCCTTGGTGAGGAGCGTTTCGCCAACGTTGATATCCGTCTTCGTGTCAAGGGTGGTGGTGTTACCTCCCAAGTCTACGCTCTCCGTCAAGCTCTTGCTAAGGCCATCGTTGCCTTCTACCAAAAGTTTGTTGATGAAGCTTCCAAGAAGGAGATCAAGGAGACCCTTGTCCAATACGACCGTACCTTGCTCGTTGCTGATCCCCGTCGTTGCGAGCCCAAGAAGGTCAGTGTCTTTATTCTTCATTCAATGAATGCATTGTATATTAACTCTTTGTTTGTATCTAGTTCGCTGGTCCTGGTGCCCGTGCCCGTTACCAGAAGTCTTACCGTTAAAGCGGATATTGTATACTACATCTTTTCACTCTTTGTCTCTTTCTCTTTTGGCTGCGATAAAGGCATTCATCATCCTGCATAACGATCACGATACATTTGGGGGTTGTGTTATGGGAATTGACAAGAGGAGGATGAGCTATGGAATGTGTTTGGTGGATAAAAGGTGCTTGTGGTTATGGATGTGCTACCATACACAGAACTTGTAAAGGCTACGTCTTGTATTTAATCATCGTTTGCTGAAGCATGTCACTCGATCAGCCCTTAAAACAAGAATCATCGTACAAACCAAACACTAGCATTCTTTTTCGCATTGCTACTAAATGATAAAGAAACATTCTTGGTACGACAAACCATGGTATTGGTTTCCCCTCGTCCCTCTCGTCTTCCTTTTTTTAAACCACTCACAAACTTGATTCCTTATAAAAGCTACAATGATGCATTTTCTTTGTTCCATCCTCTCCTACCTTCGAGTGATGATAAGATAAGGTGAACTTGTCAATTTTAGGACTTGGATGACTACAACTTGGTTGAAAATGGCCATTGTCGTAGCCATATACTGATGTAATTCCTCTAATTGAATGATGGTCGATACACATACAACCTATATTTTATAACCCCCCCCCCCTTTACCTAGTGATTGGATTTAAGCGAGGGACCACTACTGTATCTGATTAACCACACCAAGATGAATGTCATTGCCAGAATTATCAATCAACTACAACACGTGATTACGTTGATAGCTCAACTTGAAGCACAAGAACCCTTACACAACTACGTCTACCAAATGGATGGATTTTTTGATGGAGGAAATCTAATTTAAAGCTCTACATAAACGACCAATAGATGTTTGTCTTCGTTCAAGGACAAGTGCAATGATCCTCATAATAAGATGATGTTTGAGGATGTTACCGCTTTCTTGAGATCCTTTACTGTAGCGGTTGTCTTTATGTCGAGAGGAACAACGAGTGATACCACCACCCATTGGATATCTAAGGCAAGGATCACCCATGCATCGATGTAGTATTCAACGTTTGGCATCCCCACCTCTCATGAGAGCTTACATATAAACGAGGGATAATAGAAGATGAGGCCTCCCCAAGAGTTCGATGGTGCATTGGTCCTTGTTTTGCGTAGATTCCAAGGGTCTAACTTTAGCTTTTCATCATCGTTTCTACTTTTAAGATGCTGTAGAGCAGTTGTTGCTAGGTAATAAACTCGGAAAATGGATAATCAAAGAATGGATCAATATCAAGAAAGGAGTAGTTTGGATTGACCTTTATTCATAAACACCCTCATTTTACATACATGCTATGAGCATCTTCCTATGTGTATTATCTTTTCCTTTGTACGTCTAAGCTAAGCAATCTTTCATGCAACTAAAAGTGTGTATCCCTATCAACCGTGACGGATGGATGGCAGCGGACATTGTATTTGGTGGCTGGAAGGGCGAAAGCCGGCATCATCGACCTAAGAGCATCCAGAGCTACTTGACGCTGTTTTTCTTGCTGTACATCACACTACAAACATGTCCACGATCGGTGTCCCCATCAAACTGCTTCATGAAGCACAAGGTCATATTATCACTTTGGAGTTGAAGACGGGTCAATTGTACCGTGGCAAGTTACTCGCTGGTAAGAGAACATCTTTTGAAACGTGTGGCAATCTGCAATGGAAGTCTAAAAGCTCATGGTGGTTTGTTGTATAGCCGAGGACAATATGAACATTCAACTTAGAGAAATCACGGTTACTGCACGCGATGGACGTGTTTCGCAGCTCGATCAAGTATACATTCGTGGATCTACTGTACGCTTCTTCATCGTGCCCGACATGCTCAAGAATGCACCCATGTTTAAGCAAGTTGGACCTGGTGCTCTCAAGGGTCGTGGTATTGGTTTGGGACGAGGGCGGGCAACGGTGGCTCGTGCCCAAGGTATGAATGAGAATACGCATATGGGATGTTGTTGGATATGGTTACTAATGTATAATATGGATCGCGCGTCTTCTTTTAGCACGAGGCAGAGGCCGTGGTGGTTTCCGTGGACGTCCACCCATTCGTCGTTAACTTGTACAGCAACCTTTCGTTTGAGTTTTATTCATCAACCCCTACTTTTTTCGATCACATTAAAGCAAATGGCTGCTCGCTCTCTTCCTTTGAAAATCATCCTCAGCTTGTCAATGACGTATGATGTGGATTCTTCTTTTTGATCGCACTATGATTCACAACGCGCGAGAAACGCTTTTAGAACACAGCTTGTATCCATCGACAATGTCTTGTGAGAGAACAACAATTGTGATGGCATGTAACATGGTCTATGGATGACTGGTGGCCAAGCAAAACTATGGGTTGGGATATAAGCACATATTTACTTCTGGTTTTATTGGGATGACAATGGTGGTTTATGGAAGGATGATCGGTTTTGATGGGGTTGGATTTATAGGTGTACAGGTTATAGGTGTTTGATTCTAGTAGGAATAAAGATACAAATCTATAGACTAACTTTACCATCCAAGATGGCTTGATAATCCTCTCGCTTGAATGGGACATAAGTGTCGCCTCGCAACCAAAAGACAGGATCTTCGATCTTATCAAGGTCGATGCCTTGGTTTCGGAATTGAACTTTTTGTTGCTTAAAGGTACCAGTGAGTTCCATGGAAGGTACAAATCGAATGAACAATGGGATAGCGTATTTAGGAAGCTTGCGTTTCAAGTAAGCGTAAAAGTCCTTGAAATCAAGGGTCTCGCCCTCCTTGACTACCACAGCAGCCATACCAGCACGACCATCATGGTGTGGAACCAAGGTACCATAAACATTGGCTTCAGCGAGTACAGGGTAAAGACCCACTGCATGGGCTACTTCGGTTGTAGCAACATTTTCAGACTATGGAAATACACATGTCAATCAACAGGTTTTGTTGTCTTTTGATATGCATTACCTTCCAGCGGAAAGTGTCACCAACACGATCACCGAAAAAGTAGAAACCATCCCGATCCATTTGGAGGAGATCACCACTGCGGAAATAGGCATCACCCTTTTCCAAAACATTGGTAAGGATCTTCTTTTTCGTGGCACCTTCGTTTTTATAGTAGCCATCAAAGCCCAAAGCATCAGCATTATCAATGCGCACAAGTAATTCTCCTTGTTCACCATAGTCGCTCTAAGAAAAAAGTGAATAAAGTTAACATCGTTGTCGTTTATGAATGGATGTTGACATGAACACCTACCACAACACAAAAGCCATCGGGTCCACGAACAGGTTCTTCAGAGATGGGATCAATCTTGATCAACTTGAGCTCACGACGAATGGCACGGAAGAGATAGCCTCGATGACCAACCGATCCAGAACCAAAATGGCCCTTGTTGGGATTAAACAAGGTCGTAGGTGCTACAAGGATGCATGCTATTAGTAAACAATGCATGTCAACTAAATGTAAATGTTAACAAGTACCTTCAGTGGCGGCATAAAATTCACAAATCTCGGGGATACCAAATCTGTAAAAAGAAGGATGATTGATAAGCAACCCTTATCAATGTATGCTTTGGATAATCAAATCACCTGTCTCTGAACCGGTTCCACACATCAGGGCGCATGCCATTGCCATAGACAAGACGCACCTTGTGGTTTCTTTCATGTGGATGTGGAGGTTGGCTAAGCAAGTAGCGGCAGAATTCACCAATGTACTAAAAATAAGCATTCCTGTTAACATTGAAATCGACATAGGTACGTCATTGATGATCGACATACGGTAAACGCCGTGACATTGTATTTGGTACAATCATCCCAGAAGCGACTGGCAGAGAATTTACGACCCAAGACAATGGTAGCACCTGCCTGCAAAGCAACAGCTGTCGTAACGATAACTATTTGGATGGGTAAGTAAAAAAAACCTCGTCTCATTATTGAACGATAATCAACTTACTGCCTGAGCTATGATACAGGGGAAGGACACAATACACGCGATCATCAGCCCTGAGACCAGTAACGCCCGAATACATCAAACCGCCAACTAGTGGATGAAAGCATTTAACGAACATGATAACACACGTAACTTTCCCTTCTCTACTTACAGTCAACACGTGCATGTTGGCTTACAGCTGCCTTGGGCATACCCGTTGTACCACTAATGCATTAAATGAGCATCTCTTTTTCCATGATCTTATCCCATCACACGGTTTACCTGGTATAAATCAACATGGCAGGATCGGAATTACCGATACCTTTGAGCAAAGCTTCATCGGTATCACGATCACTGTGCTGAGCAAGAACGCTTGGTGTAAGAGTGGGTGCAATGGCCAAAGGTGGCAACTCGTCATTCTCGGTGGATTCGCCATAAGCCCAAAGGGAGACACCACCTTGAGCTAATTTATCGGAGATGGTAGCAACTTGTTTCTCGTAGACAGGGTCGAACAAAAGCATGGATGAATCGGCCACCTTGATACAATGCAAAAGGGAATCCTCAGCCAAGTTGGTGTTGATCAATGCTGGGGTTGCGCCAATCTTCAAAATTGCCAACCATGTGATATAAAAAGTGGGGTGGTTCTGGTGCATCATGCAAACAATATCTATAATAGATGCATGTTTAGTTTTCCTTGCGTCAATACATGGATGCAATCTTTCTCCTTTACCTTTCCGCTTGACATTGTGAGCCAACAACCAGTGACTCTGGAGGAGTAGGTGGGGTTGGTTATCAGTCAAAGGAAATGTCAAATCACATCAGGGCAATTTAATCTTACCAAACGGTTGGATGCTAAAAGCGGGGTTTTTAGTAACACACACATCATTTGAAATGTAATGTTGTCGTCGTTGTCATACCTTTTTCGAGTTGCTTGTATGTGTAAGGCTTGCCTTCAAACACGACAAAGACGCGGTTGGGATGGGCCTTTGCCTTAGCTTGGAAACGATAATAGAGATGCAATTTATCTTGCCATGTCCATAAACGATGACTATATGATCATTGTGTGTGAGTTTGCTGGTGGGTTGATATAAGAGAATATGACATAAGATGATGCTTACTAAATTTGTGCAGCGGCACCGGACCGAATTTGATGAAAATCTCTGCCGAGTAAAAGACGTGAATCCAAGTACATGCTGCCAAGAAGGCCGCCAAGACCGGCACTAGCGATTGTGAGGAGGGAATCTATCAGGAGAACATGGCATGTTAGATATGAGAATGTTCATATGCATGGATAAGGTATGTGTACCTGGGTCCATTGGAGTTGGTTGGGGGTGTTAAAGTGGGGAAGAGGAATGGAGAAATGAGCGGTCCCGGCGTTTTTATATTGCTGCAACAAATCACATGTGCCCCCACTCATTCAGTATCCGAAGCAAGCACTTTGAAAGCTAGGTTATGTAAAGCTCAATCTCCCAGAATGGATTAAAAGAAGATGACCGATGGACCATGTCCAATGCCATTTCACGTGTGAGTTCCTTCCACAACACACATACACGCACTCCCACTCACTCAACTCACTCACTTCACAACACTTTTGTTATATATTTGTAATAAGATATGAAGTTCATTTGGGTAAAGAGTGATCAAACAAAAAGAAAAGAAAAAGGAAAACGAATCAAAGAGGAAGGTTGTGGGGGGAGGAAAAACTGTTGAGTGCGAGTAAAGAGAGAGAGAGAGAGAGAGAGAGAGAGATATGCATGATAGAAGAAGAAGAGAGGAGTGCGAGAAAAGTATAAAACAAAGAAATGTGTGGGATGATGGGTGATGGTGGTGGTGACTTATTGTACTGAAACGGATGATGTCTTATTATAAGAAGGAGTTGTTGTAGGTGCCTTGGTCTTGGATTTCATTGCATAGCTGTCATTCACCCATTGCCTGATTTGATTTAACAATAAACGATGACGTTCAGCTGTTGGAAGGGAATTGCTGCTAGGATAAAGCGTTGATGATGATGACGATGACGATGCTGCTTTTCGACTTGGCTCCTCAATAGGTTTACTCTTTTCCTTGATATCCAATTCAGACAAGTCGCTCACCAGTAAGTCGACTACATCCTTCTTGACAGGGGAAGAAGCCTTGTTCTTTTCCTCATCCTCCTCCTTCTTGGCATTCTCTGATGATGATGATGCATCCTTGGTGGATTCTTGCTCCTTCAAAGAACTACTACTCTTGACTGGTTTGCTAGTAGTGGTAGTAGTACTTGGTTTGCCTGGTTCACCAATACTCGTAAAGACATTGAACAACGTTGCCACATTCTTCTTGTCCTCATAGGTAACAGCCTTAGCTTTGGTAGGCTTGACATTCTCCTTGGTCTCATCCTTTTCCACTTGAGCACCATCGGATGGCGTCTTGGCAGCATTACGCTTGGATTTGCTATTGGCACTTGTAAAGTTGGTAGCTGTGCGAATATCAGGAGTAAAGCCATTCATGGTGACATCAGGAACAGCGGTATAATGGTGTCGGAATCCTGTAGTCATGCCAATGTTGCCGGCAGCTGCATCCATAGGCGATGATGATGGATAGCCAAGAGGCATTCCTTGTGCTCCATAATCCATTGACATCATATTGTCGAATCCTCCATTCATGTAAGCAACATCATCCATGGGAGATACTGAATTTGATTGCTGAGGAATAGGATGCGATCGAACATACAAGTCTTGCTCTGCTGATGGATACAACATGTTGGCATCTTGTAAAGGTTGTTGTTGTTGTGGCTGTGGTTGATGCATGGGTTGTGCCGTGGGATCAGTGAAAGATTGGAGCATCATACTTGGGTCATAGGATGAAGTTTGTTGATAGGTTGTTGGTGTGGATGCAAATGATGATGCTGTTGTGGGTGGATTGCCGTACATTGAATCATACATCATCTTTTGTTGATCTTGTACGACTGGCTGCTGCTGTTGTTGTTGCACATAATTGTCGGGGATACTACCAGTCAATCGTGCGAGCCATGCATTGACATTGGCAAGCTCTTGTTCATTGGCAATGTTGATATTCATATCCTGGGGGCTGACGGATCCAGTATTGAGTGCATTCTCCAACATACATAAACGATTGGCAAAGTCTATAAATGCTCAAATGAGATACTTTTTTACTATGATTCATGCAATTATCCTTGTTACCTTGATTGTACTCTGCCTTCATCTCAGTGTCTTCGGGGAAGATAAGATCGGTGATCATTTGATCGGGTGTAGCAAATGTGGGCTGTTGTTGCTTAATATTGGGGCCAAAGTTGTCGTAGGCATCAGTGTAAGGAGAAGGATGTAAGCCGCTGTCTATTGTTACAGAAATAGATATCACATATCAGTATAAATGTTGATACAAATATCACTGCGCCCAACACCAGTTACCTTCAGAATATGTGCTCTGGGGCGGTGATGCGGGTGTGCGTGATGCTGGTGAATGATGTAACTGTGGCTCGGATGAAGACGAAGCTGGTGAAAGAGCCAAATCCATGCCTGGTTGACGAGGTGGTGTAAGTGGTTGTGCAATGTTGCCTCGTGTCTGATGACTTCGTAATGAGGCCATGTGTTCCTCGCTGTGGATCTTTTCGTGCTTCTTGAGATCTTGTGGACGCTTGAACGACTTTGGACAAAACTACAAGGAGAGCATCATGGGTTAGCTATTGCATCTAATACCGCCAATGGTGATAGTTACGTTGCAATGGTGTGGCTTTAGAGGAACATGGACTCGAAGATGGCTCGTAATGTGGTCTCGCTTGATTACTGTAACGTCGCAGTTCTCCCAGTGGCAAGTCAAGCAAAGGTTGCCAGTCGACTTTCGTCCAACATGGTCGTTTGTCAAATGGCTGTAAAGTAGTTCTGGGTCCAGGTATGTCTTGTCACAGTTTTGCCAACGGCAAGTAAGTACTTCGGTTTCCATGGTATTCTGCAGGAAAGAGAGAAAAAGACCCAAGTATTGCGAAAAGCGACAAGGAGACTCATCCTCAGTTCTTGGCAAAAGCATCACTACTCCGCCCGCCGACCAAGCCAGCTTGGTCTTGGTTGGGAGAAACGCACGCACGCACACCACGCACCCACTCAATACCTTTTCCGACTGGATACCCCACCCTTCGGGATTCCTTGGCTTACCCCGTTATGCTTTATCTTGTTTCGGATCGCACAATAGCATTATTATAATTGGATCTTTCCATTGAAACAATCGATGCTTCCTTTGTTCTTATTGGAAGAATAAAAAAAGTGTGTCTCATTTCCCCTCCTTTTGATGCAACATACAGCATGATCATGATCACAATGATTGATGATGGGTACAACAACAACATCAACATTGGCATACATATCCCCTGTCATTCTGCTCCAATAATAGCAGGGCTGCTGCTACTATTCATATGTATACATACCCTTCTCCTGATATACAGGAGCGTGATGATTATGGATGCCAACTCAAAAGTACTACTCACTTTCAAGATACCCACCCGCTTCTTGCTTCTTTCATCAGCTGCGTGTGTGGATTGGATCGTTAAAACAATGAATCAATGGGTTATGATGAAAAATGCATGTATAGTCAGAATTCAACAAAATCTGCAGCCTGGTTTCGGTGAAGAGCCGGCATCTTTTTATGCATGAAATGCGTCACAATCCTTGTCATGGTATTTTAAGAACATTGCACGTGGTGGTGCTCACGTACATAGCGGGATGTGGTATTACCTTTATCCATTTGTATATGCTCTTGACAAAAGAGCGCACTCTTAATCTAGGATATGGGTTGGGCTTACGTAAAGTGATTGCACTGTGGCGGTAGAAGTGATTTTACACTCGAAGATATGGACATAGAGGGTCGATTGTCGATAAAATTGGCATGTAAACTGCTGCTTGATACATGCTCTCTTCATGGTTGGGTCGAACACAGAGCATCATGTAGGCTTTTTGGTACCTCAAGACATGATGTTAGCTTTGCAGCTATTATCCAGGGAGGTGTCGTAGGTGTTCAGGACTTACAATCATGTTAACCTCAAGGTGGTGAGTGATTTCTCTATCATCGTATAAGCAAATACTGGGTATGTTGCTAGCATGTTGCAGACCGTGTGATACTAAAGGAAAGTACCTTAAAACAACGTGGTGGATAGAGACCCTGAATTAGCCACTGGCTAAGTTTCACAAGAATAGAGAATCACATCATTTCCCAAAAGTGCAATCATAATCAACAGCAAGTGGTACGTTCAATATCCAAAGTCATGGTAAGATGATATAAGCAAGCCATGGCGTATTTATGCAAAAGCGATTGTTGTTGGTGCGTGCGCAGAATTACAATTCACTCATGTGAAATCAAATGCTCTCACCCAATCAAAATTACCCGCAGATTACAAGTTTTTCCCGGTAGAGAGAAAGAGAGAGACGGCATGTAATCATCCGAAGATGACAAAAAGAAGCGCATATATGATTTACCTTGGACGCCACGATGGCGTAGGTGACGTATGCAATAGACTGGTTATGGACCTTCAGTTTAAACAAATCCTGAACAAGTAAAAGCATGTGCAACCATCATCTTAGAAACAATTCACCAACCGCAGCCATCCATCTCCCTTGATTATCAATCATGCATCACATGTCGATATAAATAACACAACTTGTATTAAAAGAAAAGAGTGAAGCCATCTATGCTCCAAAGTGGGATATGATTGAGCGAGTAAAAAAGTCAATGAAATGAGGGGAAGAAAATATACAATAAGCAAGGTAAAATGTAGTTGTTTGGATCCTACGATCATCATCCACAGGCGGGGAAAAGAGGATTTCGTCTCCTGTTGCTGCTCAGATTCAAACGCCCATCTCCCTTTGATGCAATGGGGTTATGTTTGTAATGATGTCGATGATGATGATGAGGGATGCTGCTCTGCTCTCCTTGTAGTCGTTTAGTCAATGGGTGGATGAAGTAAAATGTTGTTGTTGTATGATGTCGAATTCTTCCAAACGTCCGTTCTAGATCTTGGGTCGTTTGTGGCTGTAATCATCATCCGATGAGTCAGTTGACGATTCCCTTTTTTCAGGGGTCTTGAGTCGATAATGATGAGGATCACTACTCGTCGTTGTCATTGTCGTCTTGTGTATTGATGATGGGCAAATGCGGAATACTTCATTATGTTCACCACCAAATACAGGCTGTTCTCTCTCCTTATCTGCAAAGAACGAATCAAAATCGCCGCCTTGATACATAGGCAATCCATGATCATAGTGACTTTGGAAAGGTGGAAAGCGAACAAAAGGTCGTCGTATCGTTGTCATGGAAGCCGTTGAAGAGCTGACCGATTCCAATGGCAACGTCGGGTTGTGGTATATGAGTCCGTGATCAAGAGCAAGTGTCGTTGTCGTAGTAGTGCAACCTTGACTATTGGGCATGAGCAGATCAGGAGAAGCCCGTTCATTTGTTCCTGGCGAATTGGTAAATGGGTGTCCACCACTATGTACATCAAAGAGAAAGTGACCGCGTCGCCAGACCGATTGCGTTTCCATGATCACCGAGAAGCCAATATGAAAAAAAGTGCGGGGAAGAAAGAAGAGAGAGTAGAGAGAGAGAGAGAGAGAGAGAGAGGAAGAGGGGTTGGATCTGAGTAAATGATAAAGCAAAAGAGAATTGTAAAAAGAGAGATAAGTGTTAATTGGATCCAGGCGAATGGATTTGGTGGAACAAATATGTCCTTGTAACTGGTTACAAGACTACAACAAAGACGTATGTATAATGTGTAATAAACTATCGTTTTAGCCTGAAATGTTTTACAGGAGGTGACTCATTGTGATAGGTCAAGGATGGTTCTTCTTGCTCCATAATAAGGCTATATGATACCATAACCGAGGAGGATTGGCTCCTTGGATTGGTTCACTATAACATGCCTTTCATGCATCATCAACATGCTATAGGGTTTGCGTCTGCATAACTTAAAGATGTCGGTCCTCATCGAATTGCTTTTTAGAGAAGATGGTTTCATGTTTGTCTTTGTGCACCTTGGCTGCAATGTGTAAGATGTATGATCACGTGCGTTGATTGTCTATGGACTGGTACCTGAATACACTGAGTAGGATCTTGTAGTTGCATTGAATTATCATATGTTCATTTGAATGAAGGTTGAAACAAGGAATTGACATGGGAAAAAAGACAATAATAACTTATCATCTAGCCAAATGTGCTTCATTTCGAATAATACAAAGCATGATGCATTGAATCGCTCTATGTAGTGTGATGCTTTACAAGAGTCGTTCAAGCATTAACGTATCTTCTATTTCGGCCCTTGTTATGCGGTGATGAAAGAAAACATTTGGACACCCATTACCCAGCAACTTGCCTTTCTCCACTCCTCTAACATGTACCGATCAGTCAATCGACACCCAATCGCTCGTTGGGTTGCATCAGCACGTCGCTCTTCCCCCAATGTCAGCGCTCATCGACGCACCTTGTCTGCTACAAGAACAATGACAACTCACATTCGCCACAAAGCTGCTACCACTGCTCCTAGTGTTGTCAACTCCAACTTGGCTCGTGTTGGTGCCATGCAATGGCTTCCTCGATCGCGTTCTCTTGCCACAGTGACTCAAGACATCAAGCCATACAAAAAGTCTCCCTTCGTGCAGTGGAAGTTGTTTCCAGATTTTGAGACCTTGCTCACCCAGTGCAAGCCCGAGGTGGCCGTACCTGCTTTTGAACAACTTATCAACTCGGTGCGTGATGAATTCCTTCAACTCGAGAAACAATTTGAACCTACATGGGATGGAACGATTGGAAAGTGTAAAGTATCATGTCGTCATGTGTATATTATATGAGGGTATTCATTGTTGAGTCATTTAGTATCTGCCCTTGAGGATGAATTGGGACGGGCTTATGGCATTCTCTCGCATTTGAATGGTGTCAAAAACTCCCCTGAATTGCGTGAATCTCTTGAAAAGATCCAGGTAGGCTGATCCTCATATCATCCACGTGGCCATCAATATACTCATCGATGCTCTTTAGCCCCAAGTGGTGAAACTTGGTCTTTTGATGAATCAATCCGTACCAAAGTACAATGCCCTTAACGCCTTGAGAGAATCGGATGAATGGAACAAGCTTGACAAGGTCCAGCAGCGTATTGTCGACAAGGCGATTCGTAGTATGAAGAATGCCGGCATTGGTTTTCCAGAGAATTCTCCCGAGAAGAAGCAATTCAATGAGATCTCAGAGCGTCTGTCACAACTTTCACTCAAGTTCAACAACAATGTGCTCGATGGTACCAAGGCTTACAAGCGTGTGGTCAAAGACAAGGCTGAATTGGAAGGATGCTCCGATGCATTTTTGGCTACTCTTAAAGCCAATGGTGAACGACTTGGCGAAGATGGCTACTGTATTACATTGGATTATCCCATTTATGGTCCGTTCATGATGAATTGCAGCAACCGTGCTCTACGTGAGGAGGTAACAAAGGGACAAAGGAGAGAGAGAAAGAAAGAAAAAAAAAACAAACAAACAAGGAAACTAACTCATGATGATTGCTTAGGTGTATCGAGCCAACATCACCAAGGCCTCGACTGCAGAGATGAACAATGAGCCCGTTATCAATGAGATTCTTGATTTGAGACAAAAGAAGGCCGAGTTGTTAGGTTACAAGTCGCATGCGGATCTATCCCTTTCAGTCAAGATGGCAGAGAGCGTGTCAACAGCCGAACAACTCTTGGACAATTTGTTTACGTCGTCTATTGCACGTGCACGCGATGAAGTCAAGGCATTGGAACAATTTGCTGCTGAGACTTTGCAACAACAAGGACCTCTTGCACCATGGGATACGGGCTATGTCTCTGAACAATATCGCAAGGCTTTATTCAAGTTTGACGAAGAGACCATTTCCGAGTACTTTGCATTCCCCAAGGTGTTACAAGGATTATTCGACGTGGCAAATGAGGTGCTGGGTATTCAAGTACAGGAACTGGCCCCTGATGAGATGACCAATTTGGGAATCACCCGTTGGCATGAGGATGTCAAGGTTTTCAAGGTATCCGAAAACGGGGAGGTGAAGGCCTACTTTTATGGCGACTTTTATTCCAGACCTTCGGAAAAGAGAAGCGGTGCATGGATGGACACTGTCACTACGCGAACCAAACACTCGAATGGCGAGGTCACTTTACCTGTTGGTAACGTATTTTCTTTGTTCCTTGTACCCTTTGAATTCGTTTATTGACACATTCATGGTTTCCTCGTGGTTTTAGCATACTTGATCTGTAATCAGCCGTCGCCCCGTTCCCCACAAGAACCTTCCTTGATGAAATTCCGAGATGTGGAGACCTTGTTCCATGAATTTGGTCATTGTCTACAACATGTGAGCTTATCATTGATACACTCCCCTTTTATTTGGATCATTGACTTACCCTTGTTATCAAGATGATGACCCGTGTAGACTACCCCGATGCATCTGGTGTCAATGGTATCGAGTGGGATTTTGTCGAGGTAGGAGGAAGACAAGTGAAAAATGATCATTCTCTCACACGTACGTTGTCTTAGGTGGCATCACAGTTTATGGAGAACTTTTGCAGCGAACCTGAATGGCTTGAGCGTTTGTCGGGTCATTACAAAACAGGCAACCCTATGCCAAAAGATATGATTGATGCACTTGTCAAGAATCGTGAGTTCCTAAGTGGTATGGCGATGTTGCGTCAGGTAAGGATAGGATGATTTGCATTGCACATCAGCTCTCTCACACACACACCCACGTTTATCTGTTGATGATTGTGATGATAGCTTCATTTCTCCAAAGTGGACATGACCCTGCATTCGAGCTTCAAGCCGCCTCAGTCTGCTGATGAGCCTACTGTGTTTGACATTGATGCCGATATTGCACGCGAAACTACCTTGATTCCACGTTTGCCCGAAGATCGATTCCTTTGCAGTTTTATGCATATCTTTGGAGGTGCTTATAGTGCTGGTTACTACAGGTAGGTTTATCAACGGAGATAGGCGATGTGAATGGGGAAAAAAGGGAACGCAGGAGAAAAAGGTCTATATGCTTACAATTAATGTGCTCTTGTTTATAGCTACAAGTGGTCGGAAACATACTCTGCCGATGCATACGCAGCATTTGAGGAGGCTGGTGCAAAGGGTGGCAAGCAAGCTATTGCTGAAATTGGATCACGCTATCGTGACACTGTATTGGCGCTTGGAGGCGGTACTCCCCCTAAAGAAGTGTGGAAGCAGTTTAGAGGTCGTGAAGATGTAGATGTCCGTGCTTTACTACGCCATACTGGCTTGTTAACTGTATAAACTTGACATTTGAGGAATAACAATAATATTAAGAACGTGTGTGTGCGATCCGATCGATCATCATGATGAAACTTGTACTGAAATGATTATGTTTATCGAGACGACTACAGGCCTCGGGATGGAAATCCAAATGAAGGAATGTAGTCAAACAATGCCTGAGAAGGAGGGTTGTGTACGTTGCTGTCATATGCTAGGTCCCTTTTCCTTACCCCTGACCACACACACATACACGCAAACACGCACTCATTGTAGCTTTTGATGTTGTGTGGGAGCAATATCATCAAAGACCACCCATCATCAGCTCACCATCAAAATTCATTAGCGTGTTCAACCATTTGTGCGTACGGTCATCTCACGTGTCTTTGTATATATAAATCGAACATACATTCTAGGTTTAGTGAAATGGCATTATTTCTGCATGGCTCTGAGCTTATTGGACCTTGGTATCTTTTCAGATATGCTTGTATGTGATTTGCATGGATCTCGTAATATATAAACCACCGCCTCTTTCATTCTCTCACTTTTGCCTCCGCCCACAGCTTTATCCACGCCTTTCTTTTCTCTCTTGTGCTCTTTCAATTTCTGTCGTGTCAACAAAAGTTATTTGCTTATCAATATGGTTGATGCTCCTACTCCTTTTCAATCAGCACATCAACAACACCCATCCTCTTCTCTACGATGGAGCCATCACCATACCATTGTTTCTGATATGGATCAGCCATTGCCTTTATCAACATCGATTTACTCTATGGCATCGGACCCATCTTATGACATGACCACAAAAATGCCTCAACAAATGCCAAACGTGTCTACACGATGGCTTGACCCCCAAACGCCAGATACAATGACAGCCTTATGGTCATCCTGTGGTGCTGAAAAGATGCACGTCAATGATGATGATGATACCAAATTCCACATGATCGATGCCCCCTTCCCCACGAGCAGTTGCAGTTACACCGCGCATGATGATGATAGCCCTGCTGGCATGATGATGTCTACTACTACTCGTATAAGCAAGAGCGAGACGACATTGACATTAGGAAAGCAAAAACACGGTGCTGATGACTACTTTACCCATCGACGCTTCACATCTCCATCCTTGTTGTCATCCATTGATGCAAGCAATACGAGTGACAAGTGCAATGCAAAACGACCACATTTACGACGTCACTCCACAAGCAGCAGCGGTAGCAGCAGCAGCAACAGCAGCACTACTACTAGTGGCGGCGGGGGCGTAAAGTCCCATGAATGTGGCTATTGCTTACGTACATTTGCACGACGCCATGACTTGGAGCGCCATACACGCGTACATACAGGTATCAAGCCCTATGTATGTCCATGCTGTCTCAGGGCATTCATCCGTTCTGATGCACGAGGACGTCACTTTCGCAGCGAAAAAGCTTGTCGTGGGGGACCAGAGATTTTAGCCTTTATCAAGCGCAACATCCGTAACACCCTTTAGCCTGCATACACACACAACACGCAACACACATTCATGTATACAGCAATTCGCCTATTTTTGGTGGGAGAGAAATACACGCAATACTCAACAACACTGACACTCGTTTCCATGCGCAGAAAAAGTGATAGGAACAACAACAATGATTTTGCTTCACAACAACTTTAGTAGTACGTCACTTTTATATTTGCATTATTGCCACCTCGCGTCCTTGCTCTTTTCAACCATTCCATTCTTTGCATCCACTGCCGATTTTCATATGTCAATACTGTATGTTTAATATCAGGGTCACCATAATTATGCACCGCACAACAATTTTCCGTTCACGGTTCATCCAATAAATACAAGATCGATCTGCTTCCCAGCAATATGAGTATGTAAAATGTGAGTCGTTTAAGCCATTGATTGCATCATGCATGCTTTGAAAGGAGGGAAAGAAGCTTAAATTATCCTTTTAAAGCAAGAACGGCAAATACAAAGATGCAGCTTTTACCTTTTAGATACGCCCACAATGCTTACTTTTGCTTCCAACGCTATAGTGTAGTAGTAATAGGCTCCTTTCAATGTGTTAGATGACATGACAGCAGGAAGGATGTGTCAAACGTCAATGTAAATGGCTGAGCGTGATGTGCGTGTGAGCGTGTACATCATGTTGAAACAGTTGTACGCTTATGAAACTGACTTTTGGGAGCTTACAATGTGATCATCCTCTCGTTGAAACTTAAAAGGAAAAACACACAGCAAACACAGTGGTAGTGTAGTAGTGAAGCATACATACATAGCATGTCAGTGTTGCAGCCCTGATACTATGCTCACCATGAAAGGCTACATATCCTCCCCGCTGGTTCGGGCGGAGCACCTTATTTAGTCAAAGTGATGATGGATCGATCCGCCTTTGGGTTATGTTTATATCAAACAAGCGGAACAGCAGAGAGCAAAGCTTGCCGTAACCCGTTTCTTTGGACCAAATAGAATGAGTTTAATGCAGATCGATTGGTTAAATCGATGCTCACTTTTATTTCCTTTCCCATGTTGCATTCCCTATTCATGCACACACACACACAACTCCTTGACGCCCAAAAGCGTGTGCGTGTGTGTGGGTGATTTATGTCTATCGGATCCAAAAAGTAATAATGACAGCCGCACGTAGAGTGATCCAAGTGCCTTCATGCATATACCAAATACAGCGTGTTTGAAGATCTAGAAGCGAGGGGGGAAATTCTGAAAGAGACTAAACAAGGGGGGAAGAGGCTTCTCGAAACAGGGTACACGCGCATGTTGTTGTTCAAGGTTGCTTTTCGAGAACACTCTCTATGTAGTTAGAGGCCCGTGCGTTTTCTTTTTCCCTAGCGCTCCTCTCTCACCCCTTTTCACTTTACTATACCTCATCGTTTTGTTAGGTACAACATGCATTGATGGGCTTTCATCGTATCATATGCTGCATGATAATCTGACGAGTACAGTGATGTCCGAAATTGTATTACCTATGCATCCCAACAAAGCCATCCGATATTGAGATACACTTGCATGATACCTATAATACACTACACATGCAACTTGGTCAAGGAGAAAGTGAAAAGTACAATCCTTTTGCTCTCAAGATGAAATCGGATGCATGCATGAAGGCTTTGCTATCGCGCGATTAAAGGCAAAGTGACGCCGAACCATACATGAGTATGTACAATGGTGGGCTGTAGTATGTATACGTAAACCTGACGAAATCATGTACGCATACCATCATGTATCGTAAATGCACACGAGGTCGTTCCATCTGCCTATATCAATCATCAATCCTAATAAAAGTTGTTGTTGTTTTGCTGGTTGTCAGGTTTATTATTCGCACGCGTGGTCGAAACGAATCCATTCACATGGGTGAAATCGTACATTTTGTGCTTGCATTGCTTTGATGGATCATACCTGGATGATCCTCTTAAGACATTCTTGCCTTAATCAATTGACAGAAAAGAGAGGTCATTGAAAAGGGAGACATCTTCATGCATAGATTGTGGAGACACAAGCACTGCCGCTTCTTTTAGCGCCCACACGTCATAAACAAATGGCTCCCTTCCGAGGACCTGGTTCGGCTCCTTTCCGTAGCCGCATAATGAAAAAGAAGGAGCACATGTCTTTCGGCGTTTTCCTTTCATTCCTTGTTGTCGATCGGGTTTTTGAAGACTATTTGTTCCTTGCAGCACATGAACTTTGGATAAAGTTGCCACATGATATTAGCGGTATGGTGTCGTTAGTAGTATCCGTTGATCAACGGTGCAAATCTTATTCAATCCTCGATGAAAGCAAAGTATCATAACATACAACCTACGTATCCATGGCAACTTCAATTATGGGATGGTTCTATATCCATTCTACAAGCCTCATCCTGTGAGACTTCATTGTTTATTGAATGTAGACATGAGATGAAATAAGATTGGCGGAATATAGGAAGAGCGATATGCAAGGTACGGGAGAAGGAGGAGGAGGGGGGATAAAGCAGTCTATTTCTTCTTGCCAGAGGCAGTGACGTTGAACTTGAAGTAGATGATGTCGCCATCCTCAACAACATACTCCTTACCCTTTTGCATGTACTTGCCATTAGCCTTGACAGCGGATTCACTGCCTAATTCCTTCAAGTCGTTGTACTTCATGACTTCAGCCATAATGAAACCACGTTCGAAATCGGAGTGAATGACACCTGCAGCTTGTGGAGCCTTAGTCAAGCGACGAATAGTCCAGGCACGTACTTCATCAGGACCACCGGTGAAGTAGTAGATGAGTTGCAAAGCGCTGTAACCGGCGACAATGATCTTGGGCAACATGGAGCGAGCACCAAGTTCCTTGAGGGTCTTTTCCTTTTCCTCCTCAGTTTCAATGAGCGACATGTTCAACTCGAAGGCACCAGAGTAAGCAATCATGAGATCACCAGGGGAGTGCTCATCGATCCAGGCCTTGATCTTGGGCAACCACTTGTTCTTCTTACGCAAGTAATCCTTTTCACTGACGTTGGCAAGGTAAATGACGGGCTTGGCAGTGATGAGATGAAGGGTGTTGATGATTTCAATTTCCTTGTTGGTCCAAGTGCCGTGACGAACTTCCTTGCCACTCTTGACAAATTCGTAGACCTTTTCAATGACGGCAAATTCTTCCTTCTTGGCCTTATCAGCAGCATTACCACCATGGCCCAAACGCTTGACGCTACCAGAAAGTTCATTGACGTTCTTTGCCAAGAATTCTTCATCCTTCAAACGCAATTCTTCGTGGATAATCTCCATATCACGAACGGGATCAAGATCACCTTCAACGTGAGTGACATCAGGTTCATCGAAAGCACGAACGACGTGGTAGATGGCATCGACAGCCTTGATGTGAGACAAGAAAGCATTACCAAGACCAGCACCGCTAGCAGCACCCTTGACCAAACCAGCAATATCAATGACAGTCAACTAAAACAATAAAGTGTGTTAGATGATGATGATGATGATCTTTTTCAATGTTCCTATCAATAAACACCTACAAAGGCAGGGATTTCCTTGGCAGGCTTGTAGTGTTGACATAACCAGTCAAAGCGTTCATCAGGCACGGCGACACGTGACTCTTCGGGATCTATGATGCCAAATCCAAATCGATAGTGTCGGTGAGTGATTCAATGTTGGCTACTCGGATCGCAAATGATGCCGAGTGAGTTGTGAGTGAATAGAGTGCTGTCATACCGATGGTACAGAAAGGATAGTTCTCTGCAGCTGCTGAGGACTTTGTCAAGGCGTTGAAAAAGGTCGACTTGCCAACGTTTGGAAGGCCGACGACACCGATCTTCAAGTTGTTGGAAGGACGACCAAGCAAGAGCTTTTCTTCTTTGACGGCTTTCTTTGGTGGCATGACTATGAACTACATGTCAACAGAGATGTCTCTAATGGAGTCGATCGTATGTCAACAATGGGCGTACCTCAAGTGAATGACTAGGAGGAAAGGAAAAAAAAGAGTGTCGTTCCCTATATCCGCCAACAGAAAAACATCAAATTTTAGCGAGTCGGTCTTGTGACGGCAACCTTTTTCTGTGTCTCGCTCTCTCTCCCCTCCCCTTCTCTTTTTTGTCACCGCCTGTTTCCGATTGCAACATATACACAACCATGCTCGTCAAGCAAATCACTGAAATCAAGGTCGCATTGGCACCATTCAACAAGGCTTCCAAAGCTTCAAGGTGTGTATCATCCCTCTAAAAGCATAGTGCTGGTGATATCATAATGCAACACACAGCCTGACCTTGATATTATTGTAGGCTATTCTTGAACCGTGTCAACACAGATGAGACCCGTAAAATCAACCCGGCAATAAAGATCAGCACACAATTCCTTCAGGATGCAAAGGCACCTTCACGTATCGATGTCGTCTATCGTAATGTATCATACAAGCAAAAACAAGTTTAATCCAAAGGGGGATACGCTAACATTTGTTATCTATCTATATATATATATATGTGTGTGTGTATAGGTGATGGCAAGAAGATGGGCTTGGAAACAGACAAGATGAATATCGACAGTCTTATGGAACTCGTCAATAAGCACGCAAAGAAACTGGATGAAGTCGAACAAGCAAATTCGTGGTAGAGAAAGAGAGAGAGTGAGAGTCGCCGGCTAGGGGTTATATACACATAATATCATTGCTCGGTGGTGCCATGCAGGCTGTATAGCATAGTGTCGTTATCACACAATCAGCATACATTGTTCACAAGCAATTTCCGTTCTAGAATACATTTTCCTTCTTTGTACTTGTTTTCAACGCTGTGTGCTCGAATCTACCCCAAAATGATGATGCGTTATTTATCAAGGAGGAGAAACCGGGGAATAGGAAGGAAGGAAGAAACAAGGGGTGGTGCGGGTGATCCGAGAAAATGACGATGATGATGATAATGGCGGAGAACAACTTGTGTGTGTGTGTGTGTGTGTATACATGGTTGTGTGAACGGAACTTACATAAATCCAACCCAGCGTAGTATTGCACCTGATGCATGATATATCCTTGACGGTGTGAATACCCGTTACCATCTCTCGTTCTTCGGCTACACCTTCGTTAATGTTCACCCTTCATTGCATATGAGCCTCTTTCTTTTCTTTGCATATCCATGTGTGTATATTACTTACACACGGTCAAAGAGATAGGCTTGCCCATGTTGCCCTTGAAATTGCTATGGAAAAGAGACATGGGTTAGAGTTAATAAGATGCTGATGATGATGAGGATGATGGTTGAGGTTGAGGTTGTGGTTGTAGTTGTACCCTTGAAAGTATAGCGTCGCTTGTGGAAAGGTGTGTTTTACAATTAATGCAACCATAGATGGTATTGCCTTCAAGAAACAATCTGTATTTGAGACCCATAAGAGGATATATATAGATATAAAAGCAAGGACTTGGACAAAGAGTGAGAAAAAAAAAGACTGCTACGATAAGAGAAAAGGGGGAGGAGGAAAGAAGAAAGAATCAGGCAGGACATGGCCGAAAACATTCATTTGCCAACCCAATGAGCACCCGCATCTCCCAGAAAGGAAAGGTCATTCTCCTGCTAAACAATCTTACTTTCCCTTTCTCTCCATTGTACCTGTGAGAAGTTGTCTGTGTCTGTGTCTGCGTCTGCTTAAAAGTATCCGCATTCATTATTCAATATGAAGGTCAGCTTTCAAACACCTCCCAATCCACGCGTAAGTTGATATCATAAACCTCCTCCTTTTATATAGACATATATATATATGTGGGTGTATGGGTATACGTGGTGTGTGTGTGTATGTATGTGTGTGTGATGTGTGATGTGTGTGTGTGTGTGGGTGTGTATATGCGCGTGTGATTCTATTTAGGCTCACAACCTTTTCTCTCCCATTCTACTGGTCCTTGTTCCTCGTATACACACATACAACAGTCAACAGCAATGGACCTTGATGCACTCCTTGCCCAAGAAATTGAAGAGCTGAATCGTGACACTGAAGAGGATCGACGAGTCAAAGAAGCTGTCATTGTCGCTAAACGAGACCCCAACAAGATTAGTGGTGACGACGATGATTCATCCGACGACGACTTGGTAGAGGCTGGCATGTATCCACATTACTCGGACGACGACGACTATTATGAGGACGACTTGGAGTTACGCGACCCTGAGTTGTTTCGTATTACTGAACGCAACCGACAAATCCTGCTAGACGACGACCAACACATGCCAGCTCGCAAAAAGTCCATATCAGCTGCTGCACGTCCTCCAGAACTCGTCTTTTCAGATCCACCCATGACAGTGACAGAACCCGATCGCATCGTCGTCAATTTTAGTTATGGCACTTCACCGAATCGACCCGTAACCAAGTCCAGAAAGTATCTGATGGCGTGCGACTTTGGCGAAGAAAGCACTTATGCAATGAATTGGGCCATGGGAACCATGCTACGGGATGGTGATGAGATTCATGTCGCAGCTGTGGTCAACATTGAAGATGATGTGGATGATATGGATGAAGATGAGAAATATCGTCTTTGGCAAGAGGTAAATCATGATGGCAATGTACACAACGCATGGCTAATACCTTTGGAATACACATAGCTTGATCGTAAATCCAAGGCTCTGATATCTCAAGTGCGCACCAAACTTGGAGAGATGTTATTATTCAATATCAAGATCACAATCTATTCCATTGCAGGACAAACAAAAGAGACCTTGTTGGATTTGGTATGTGCTTTTATCATCCTATTCGTCGCAAGCTTATTCACACCAATGACTTGTTTCAGATTTGCAATACACCGCTGACCATGGTTGTCTGTGGCTCAAGAGAGAAGGGTGCCTTTAAAGGGTAAGATAGGATGGATCCATTATTATCGCTTGTAGCTAATCTTTTTTTTTCCTTGTACAAGGTTATTGATGGGTAGTGTTTCAACGTTCCTTGTGCATAATGCGCCTGTTCCTGTGTCTGTGGTGCGTCCTCAAAAGAAGGCCAAGATCAGCAAACGGAAAATGACAGCTGCACAAAAGCTGAGTCAAAGCGTTCGAAGTGGACAACTCAAAGTCGACGAAGTTGCAGGTGCTGCTCCTAATAGCCATACTTGAATGATATCCCGCCATCATCATCAATGCACTCGCCTCACATAATATCCTTTCCTTTCTCTCTCTTTGATAACGTGCCTCCTTTGCATCCTAGTTGTAGTTTTTTTTTCTCTCACACCCTTCTTCTTCCTCTTCTCCTATATATGATTGTCCATTCTATACTGATAAAGCAACTATTATCCCAGGCAATGTATCTTCAAGCCCCTCCAACATGGTCGAATGAAGATAATTGGTAACACACACGATGGTGGTTGAAAAAGGAAAAGTGTGGGTTTATTCTTTTCATATACTCATGCGACGAGTAATAGGATAATGATGATGACTATCGCCACGACAACCCAGTCGCAAGGCATCACTACTGCTACTACTACTTCCCAAGCTTTGACGAATGTTACGTCGACGAGGATGTTGAGGAGGAGGAGGAGTATCCTGTGTAGGATCAAGTTGTTGAGCCATCTTAAACAATGCGTTTGCAGTATCCGTTTGTTTAGAAAACTAGTGGTAGAAGTAGTAGTGTTGAATACAATGAGCCATTCAATATACATAACTTGCTTGTATGTATCAATGTAAACTTACTTGACCCCCACCAGCTCGGAAAAGAATACCCAATGCTTGCATCGCCATGGCAACCTTGGCACGCATGATAGTACTCGTGGAGGTGAGACACTTGATGTCGACATGATATTCAATGGCTTGCTGCACATACTTTACACCACGTGGCATACATGCTTCACACCCCTGTGTATATGCCCCCAAAAAAGAAATGCATGATCAGCCTACATGGTATAGAGAGTGCATGATTTGTCTCTTTTTTACATACCCATCCGTGATACAATGCTAAGCCATATAATAACATTCCCACAGGTACTTGGCTGTCAGAAGCATGCTTAAATGCTGTAGTCGCATGGATCATGTCTCGCTTTTCGAAATAATCCAAGCCCTCTTGCAAGTCGCCTTGGTGATGGGAGACCAATTCAATAGACGCTGTTGATGGTTGTACATGAATTGTGGCTTGATGGATCTCTACACGAGAATCTGCTCGCTGAATTCGACTTGATGGTGGTAAAAGCATTGATGATGGCTCCACGTGGTAAGGACCGTTGTTGTTTTGATGCTCCACCACTTTTGTTCTTTCCTGATGTGTGCCATCATGTTTATATAGCTTGGTCGTACAAGTACCAGGTTTCTGGGAAGATGGATCGGTTGGTAATGGAGGTCGTTTGCCACGCATCGATGCGTTCTTTGCTCGATTATAGTATTGGGCCATTGAATTCCTTGAAAAGATCTTTGGCAATGTTTGGCCTAATCATCATCATCAAGTCAACATTGAGCATGCTAACATCCTATTTGCTGTTAAATCGACACGTACTTAGCTTATGCACAGATGATGCCTTTTTAGATTTTCCTTCATCTTGCTTTTCACACTATAAAGGTATACCTCTTGTAAGCCATGATGACGATGATGATGACATACCCACCAACGTGGATGATGATATACTTGCCTGTTCACGCTGGCGATCTAGATCGGAGAGTAATGTCTATTGGATAATAGAGATATTTTTAGTGCTGATCTATAAATGTGCATTATCATCATTGACAATGAGCATGCTTCTATCAAGCTTACATCAAGGCTCTTTGCAGAATGGGTGCGTAGTAAGGTCCATCCAGGGCGAACATCATGATGGGTGCTGGGTACTTGAAGCGTGGCGGATGATAGTTGCTGTTGATGGTGTTTAATATGTAAGGATGTTGAACGATTGGGTATGACCAATGTTGCTCCAGCACTTGCTTTGGATGATGATGATGACGACATTTTTTAATAAGAAATGGAAGAAAAAAAAGAGAGAAAGAGAAGAAAGAAAGAGAGAGAGAGAAAAAGGGCAGCTACAATGTATGTGTAGTAGAGCAATGAATGATGCACTAAAGTGAAGGAGATAGCAATGATGAATGATATATTGAGCAGGAACCATGGGGAGCGGGTGTAACATGATATCATTCGAAACATACTTCTTCTTACCCACTCGTTTGACGCTGGATTCCAGACACGGGTCGATCAACATCCGATCTAGTCCTTTACTGCAAATGATCCAGAACTACAACAATGAATATTTTTAGAGAAAGAATACAGAAAACATATACCTTGTGTAATTGAATTGCATGCTGAGAGGAAGAGTGTGGCGTTGCTTGTACGTACCTGAAATGCGAGATCCTTTCATTTGGAGCATAATAATATTGCAGCTGACAAGCTGTCCAGAAATGTGTATTCATGCAATGATCCTTGTGTGTGCTCTTGTTGCAGGGTGGTACATTCCAGGGAGATCGCCAATGCTCGTATTTCTTTCACAGCTACAGCAGCAGCCTGAGCTTTCCTTCTCGCCTCTCCACCATGTCTCTAACGCAATACACCCACGATCCAGCTGATGCAAAGTACATGTCAATTGCCATTGAGCAAGCCAATCGGTCTATTCCAGTGGAGAAAGCATACTGTGTTGGTGCAGCTCTTGTCGACAGCAATGGTCAACTATTGACGACGGGTTTTTCGCGTGAGATTCCCGGCAACACCCATGCAGAAGAATGCGCACTCTTGAAGCTTGACGATCCCAGTGTAGCCAAGGGAGCTACTATGTATACAACCATGGAGCCTTGTTCGACGCGTTTATCAGGCAATCGTCCTTGTACAGACCGATTGATCGAAGCACAGGTGGCACGTGTTGTTATGGGCGTACGTGAACCACCCAATTTGGTCCAATGCACTGGCATCCAACAACTCAAGGACAATGGTATCCAAGTGCTCGTAGTACCCGATGTAGAAGAAGCATGCTTAGAACCAAATCGTCATATTGTCAACAAGTAAAACGGTGTTCTGCCATTATTCAATTGTTGGTTTAATGATGGATGAGTGGTAATCTTCGTGGGATGAAGGACAAAGAGTTGAATAAGCTATAGTTTAAATGGTCTTCGATGGTGTAATGAATTCACATGATGTCTTCTTGTTGTTGGCCATGCTAAAGTCGCTCAAGGCCTTACGCTTCAAATTCATGCATCCGCTTTCCCCCCTTGCTGCTCTCAAAATGGTTCACAGGCCTACATCAGCCATCACAATTTCATTGTCACTCATATCCATTATAGTCCTATCATAACATTTGAGCCACTGTATCCTCTTCCTTGACCTTTGGAAAAACACCTTGCATTTCTCGTTATCCATATATCTTCGAGTAGCAACCAAACTATGATGCAGTGATTTAGCGTATACTACCTTGTGACACTGAAAGCATAAGGCAACACTGGATATGAGTGAAGGAAGCAAAGACGACATTCCTTGTTGTTAGTCCCAGAGATACATATCCCATTTTTGGGTGTTTGTTGAAGTTTTTATTTACAAAAGCCTCAAAAAGGCGAATGTAGCCCTCTGCGTGTTCTGCAATAATGGTCATAAAGGACACTGAGCATTTCATTGTAGTGTTCTGTGGTTATAAAATACTGCTTTGGCACCATTTCTTTCATCATTATTCGACTCTCTACCCCATTATCGGCACGATGGCAGCGTGTACACCCCAAATACTACCAGGTATGTAAAACTCCTCATGGTAAGCAGCGTACATCATGAAATAACGAGAACCTTTACATAGCTCCCAATTTACAGGGGGAAGACGATCTTTTGTACGACAATGAAATGTTATTGGAGGAGGATGACGCTGATGAAGACATGATCAGCGAACAAGATGTCTCCAACAGTGATGAAGATATGGTCTGTGATGATGTCGTTTCCTTCAAAACCAGTGAAGAAGATGAAGACATGGTCAGCGAATATGTCCACAACAGCGATGAAGATATGATCAGCGACGAAGAATACATCGACACCAGCAAGAAGGATGATAAGAAGAAAGTGGATAAGAAGCCTCTTCGCATGCCACAGATAGCCTTGATTACAGCTAGGAATCGTCACAAGCCCTCCCTGACAACAAAACCACCCACTACAAGTACCCCGCCATTCGCACCCCAACAAGAGGGCAAGCAAATGATGCACACCACAGTGCAAATGGCATCCAGCGACTCCCTCACATTGATCGGTATATTGAAGAACAAGGAAAGCGTGCATCGATCATGTTTCTTGGGCTTCTTTTGTGGCGGTGGTTACAACTACAAGGAAAAGCAAGCCATTGTACAGCGTTCCACCGAGTTTCATTGGTTAAGCCGCTTCATCAAAGCATTCAAATGCACAAGCGTGGATCTCAAGTATGTATACTTTTATTAATGCGATGTCGTGAATCCATCAAATCATTGACTAATCATTGCTTTATATAGCTTCCATGCGTACCCAACTGGAAATCATGCAAAGGACATTGGCGATTACGGTGCTGTTATGGTCATGTTTTCATCACGTGAATTGAGCGAGCAATTGGAGTCAATGGGTTGTTCGTTATCCAAAGGGACGACCGATGCTTACCTTCTCGCTCAAATTTACCTCGCCGACTTGCCGAATCGGGGGGTCCATCTCATCCTCTTTATCCTGGCGTATTATGCAGCCAATGGGTGTTTGCTTTATGGACCTGAACAATTGCTACTTGGAGGAGTCAATCTAGTAGCCAAAGACAAGACAATCCTTACGTGGATGCAGACCGAATTGGCAACACTGAATATCATGTCCAACATTGTCGGCCAAGAGACTGATCCAGTTTACAACCTCACCATTGGAAAGAAGGAGCTGATGCGAAACAAGGCCCTATTTCTCTCTGCAATGGACTACATTCGTATGGCTCAAATCCCATTGCACCACAAGCTTGTTGATCTCGAGACCTTGCTGACGACTGGGATGACTCCATATGGTGACACTCCTGCAGCAACTAACGTCCCATTCTATGACTATTTGGGCGTGGATGGATTGGCAGACCCACTTACAAGGGTGATTGGACAGTAAGTATATCCATTGCTTTATCGTATCATCAATGCTAATGCCTTCCTTGCATAGGGATACGTGTGTAATGCGATTGGCAGCGTTGAATCAGTTCCTATTGGGTCTTGGTATGGCATCGGTGAAGGACACCCGCGAATGTCGCCCCATCGAGATAGCAGCCCATTTACGATCCATGGACCCCACAAAGAATGACTTAGCCAAAAAGTATCATGACATGTGCATGAAGAGGATTCGTGAGACGATGCCCAACAATGTTGTCAATGGAACGGTAAGGCAGTGAGCTGTTGTATCCAAATACCAAGAGATTCATGCTGTACCTTTTATTCAGGAGGGGTTCCATCCCTGTGACCTGTGCCCGAAATCATACCCTACACGCGACATGTTGACAGCACACAAAGTGGAGGATCACGAGGTAAGCAATCAGGGATTATACACCTGAATTGAAACTAATCCACCCTATCTCGTTGCTAGGAGAAGGTAATGTTTCAACACCCAAGGATCTTTGTGATGATGCTGACTTGAATTAGGGTGAGAGGGAGTGCAAGTGCGATCAGTGTGGCATGGTGTTATCAACAAGAACTACGTTGCGATTACACAAATTCAACCTTCATGTAAGTGTTATTTTCGGTGATGTTAATTATCCAAGTGCTAACAGCTTTTTACGTAGCCTTATGAACAAACTTGTGGATCGTGTAATGCAACCTTCGAGAACTTCCACGCTTACTACGCCCATAAGGTCTTCATGCATCAAGTAAGTATATCCCAATCAGCTTGCAACATAAACTAAATCGCATGGGTATATTTCTAGTATGAATGGAAGGATTGTGATGCCACCTTTTACAGCCAACAGCTGGAACCTATCCATGATCAACGTATGGACGAAGTAAGTACTTAGATGAGCCATCGGAAGATATGTTACTAATGACATTGCAATAGGATGAAAAGCAACAACACCATTCACCTCATCCAGGTTGTGAAGCATCGTTTGGCAATCGTACAAACCCGGATCTTTCGGATGTTTTGGTCGACGAGGAGGCTTCAAGCAAAGACTTGCAAGAGCTTGTGGATCAATTGGTTAGCGGCGGTTCGAAAAGCGGGAAAAGATCAGCAACAGCAGCCGGGTTGTCATCTCCTACCAATGCTGTCAAGAAGAAAATTGGCGCCATGGATCAACTCCTGACACGGTCTCATGCTGGTGCTGATAACATACCAAGGATTGTATTCTCCAATGTACCGGTGGTAAGGTTACTGTGGATATACATGGATATCATTATGTCTAATGATTGCCTTTTTCTTTTTCACAGCATGACCAGCTTGTATTTGTTGAGTTGATCAAGAACTCCCCATTGCATGCCACCGTAATTCTTGACAAATCCAACATCGAGGAAGCAACGCACGTGATCAGCTATGTCGGGGATCCATCAACAATGCGTACGCCATCATACCTTTACGCCATCAACGATAGCAGGATGCACATTATGAGCGCCAAATGTAGGTAGTGACCTGATGGAGGAAATTGGCTGTGTATTGATTTATGACATCAATGTTACAGGGGTTGCTGATAGCATCACCAATTGCAAGTGGATGGATGAAGAATACTACAAGGTAGCAATACCACGCAAAGATGTAAGTATCAATGCAAGAGAAAAGGATGATCATGCACTTCGGCTAATACATCTATCTTCAAGGTTTTACAAGGCATCCAATTGACCTTTATTGGTAATCCGTACCCTTTACGGCATGCGATTGAGCGAGCATCAAAGGTTTCTGGAGCGCACATCTTAGGCCAAAACCTGGCACCGCATGATGGAATGGACACATCCAAGATAACCCAAGACTTGACGAGCAACAACATTGATCCCAACATTCCCATTTGTATTGTCACTGACGAGGAGGCGTTTGTCCAGGAGTCCAAAAATGTCCAAGTTCGCACGATCAAGTGGCTGATTGAAGTTCTTGCTCATCAACGGGAGATCATTAGAGTTTGATTGCATTACATTGGATTGGATATGGGATATTAGAGAGTACTAGCAATAAAAGACGTTACCCTTATTCCTTCATGATGCTTTGCGTGCGAGCATACTTATCGCGTTTCTCACAACTCACTTTCTCCGCTAAGTAGCCCCATCGGTTGACAAAAAGGATCGGCTCCGCACATCTGGATTTGGTGTCGTCACACGAAAAAGGGCTCCACAAGTACAACCTACCTCTCAACAAAAGCGTGCGATAGCAAATCCCTTAAAATGGCTCCTTGTACGCTGTCAGACAACCATTAGTCCTTTCCAGATCAGTGCATTGTTTCTCTTTTTCTCTACTTGTACTCATTACACACGTTCACACCAATCACATTCAAAGGCAAAAGGTGCCACCAAGCCAACAACCACAGATTAGGTTTTGTATATCGTCAATCTTGTAACCACGAGTGAAGCCACGCGCTCGCAAATAGTGCAGCTTGGATGGGTGACAACAGCAACAGCAGTAATAGTTACCAGCAGCCGTAAAACAGAATTCGAGGGACGCGATGATAAGGAGGCCACGTAATACCAGTCTTATCGCATACACCACCCACCATGATAATCAACCCGCTATCGCTTGTCAAAGATTGCTATCGGTTACTATTCCGAGATATCTATAGCTTTTGCTACAATCAGATTTATTTCACATGTGGCAGTGTAGTTACGATTCTCGAGATCCAGAACCAAAAAACCACGAGGACACTTGTTGGGATGAGCACGAGAGCATGTTGTTGCATATAGCCGAGAAGGAATGCATGATTGAGAACTTTGGAGCATACGCTGTTTTCACATTTTTCGATAATAAAGATGATCCCTTTTTATCTCAAGCCCTCATTTTTTCTGCCATGGATCATTATGTCATGCCATCCTTTTTCGTGGGTGCACGCGTTTTCCCGGGAGCATTTTAAAAGTCCACGTATGCAGAAACAAATGTGGAGAGGTCGGGATGGCTTAATAGTAGCCGCGGAAAGGGTCCCAAGATGAATGCTACATACACCCCTTTTACCTCATCATGTGGATGTGTTTGGGACGTTGTACGAGTGTGAAAGAATATAGAAACATTTGAACCTATTGAACCAGTGAGAATCGAGATGAATAGTATACAAAAGGAACGTGTTGGATTGTGTTGCATTCCTTGTATGTGGGGGTGAATCTCATCGGCCACAGGTCCAACGCTGTAAGTTTCAGATCGGAAACTCTAATTCACTCGTTAAGCGAGATCCCGCTGCCCGTAATCGGCCGACACGCTATAGATCTCAGCAACTCTATTCCCATAAAGTTTCGATCCGAGATCGTTTGATTGGTCCACAAGCATTGCTAACACAAACGGGCTTTGGTTTTTTGTTTGACAGCCTTCTTTCGATTTCCCTCCCCCATCCCTTTTAACATATAAAAGGACCATCCCATTACCCTCCTCAACTTTTTTTTTCTTTTTCATAATCAACATTACAGCAATGGCTTACACTCAAACTCCCTCGCTCGCTCACTTCAAGCTCCCTGTTATCGAAAACGAGCCTATGGTATGTATCTCAGGGCATGTGTTGTATATACACGCGCGAATGTATATACACGTAATGCATGTTTGTTTACTCAGCATGACACTCATTCCAATTTTTTCTCTTGTAGCTCAACTATGCTCCTGGTTCCCCTGAGCGCCAAAAGCTTGAAGCTGCCCTCGAGGAGATGCGTGCTCAAGGTCCCTATGAGGTCCCTGTTGTGATCAACGGTGAAAAGATCTACACCGGCAAGACCAACAAGCAACTCAACCCCTCTGACAAGAGTGTTCTTTGCACCTACCACGAAGCTGATGCTGCTTTGACCCAAAAGGCTATTGATGGTACCCTTGCTGCTAAGGCTGCTTGGGAAGCTCTTCCTTTCAACGACCGTATTGCTGTCTTCCTTAAGGCTGCCGATTTGCTTTCTTCCAAGTACAGGTATGTATTGAAAAAAAAGAATGATAAAGGATGGGATAATGGAATGGCATATACTTATATACGTCTTGGTTATAGATACAAGATGATGGCTGCTACCATGTTGGGTCAAGGCAAGAACGCTTGGCAAGCTGAGATTGATGCTGCTGCCGAGTTGTGCGATTTCTTCCGTTTCAACTGCAAGTACGCTGAAGAGTTGTACCAACAACAACCTCCCAAGAATGCTCCTGGTGTTTGGAACCGTGTTGAGTTCCGTGCCCTTCCTGGTTATACTTTGGCTATCACTCCCTTCAACTTCACTGCCATTGCTGGTAACTTGCCTGGTGCTCCCGCTTTGATGGGCAACGTTGTTGTGTGGAAGCCATCTCCTTCTGCTGTCTACTCCAACTATCTTGTTTACCAATTGCTTGAGGAAGCTGGTCTCCCCGCTGGTGTCATTCAATTCGTTCCAGGTCCTGCTGAGGAAATTTGTGCTACCGCTCTTGCTAGCCCCGATTTCTCTTCTCTTCACTTCACTGGTTCTACTCACGTTTTCCGTAAGTTGTGGAAGGATATCGGTAACAACATCGACAACTACAAGAGCTATCCTCGTATCGTTGGCGAAACTGGCGGCAAGAATTACCATTTGCTGGGTACTGATCTCGATGCCTCTGGTGTTCGTCATGCCGCCCTTCAAACCATTCGTGGTGCATTCGAATTCCAAGGTCAAAAGTGCTCCGCTACCTCCCGTTGCTATGTCCCCAAGAGCAAGTTTGAAGAGTTCAAGGGTCACCTTCTTGCTGAGCATGCTAAGATCACTCAAGGTCCTGTTCAAGAATTCCAACACTTTATGGGCCCTGTGATCAACCAATTTGCCTTTGATAAGATCAAGTCCTACATTGATTATGCTGCCAACGATGCTGAGTGCGAAATCCTTGCTGGTGGCAAGTACGATGACTCCAAGGGTTACTACATCGAACCTACCATCATCCTTACCAAGAACAAGTTCACCAAGACCATGGTTGAGGAGATCTTCGGTCCTGTTATCACCATTTATGTTTACGAGGATGCTGAATTTGAGGAGACTTGCAAGTTGATTGGTGAGACTACCCAATATGCCCTTACTGGTGCCGTCTTTGCCAAGGAACGCCACAACGTTGTCAAGGCCTCCAACTTGCTTCGCAACACTGCTGGTAACTTCTATATCAATGACAAGTCTACTGGTGCCGTTGTTGGTCAACAACCCTTCGGTGGTGCTCATGCCTCTGGTACCAACGACAAGGCTGGTAGCTTTGCTTTGCTCACTCGCTTCGTCTCCATGCGCTCTATCAAGGAAAACTTTGTTCCTATTGAAGGCTTTGCTTACCCCTCCAACCAGTAAATATCCGCATCCATCATGCTTTAGTAGAATGACAAAGAAACAGCTTTATCCCATATGATTGTATATAGAAAATCAAATTAAAACCCCATTAGCATTCATCATCTATACTTGTCATGTTCGTTATGTTGTTTATAGGATGTCGAAAAAGTGGATCCAGCCGATGGCATGTATTACTTTGCAAAATGATTTGTGGATTAAATGCGAACGAGTTGTAACAACTTTTATTGCTATTCTCTTATATTTCCTATTCAATGCTATGTAAGGCAATCAAGTTCGGTTGATCTCTCGTTGGTGAGCAAGTACTGCAATCAGCCATCTCATTGTGCGGACTTGGGCGTTTTTGAGCTTGGGTTTCTTGTGGACGTACGTCTTTTCATCCGTGACAATACAAATGGTGATGTTGGGATCAATTTCGTTGCTCGTCAAATCGTGTACGATCTTGGATTTGTCTAGTCTACTTTGCCATGAAGGTCTTTTCCCCCAGATATGCGCTCCAGAAACCTTTGATGCTCGCTCAATCGCATGCCGTAAAGGGTACGGATTACCAATAAAGGTCAATTGGATGCCTTGTAAAACCTTGAAGATAGATGTATGAGCCAAGAGTGTTTGGTAACCATTCCATCATTGATACTTACATCTTTGCGTGGTATTGCTACCTTATAGTATTCTTCATCCATCCACTTGCAATTGGTGATGCTATCAGCAATCCCTGTAACATTGAGGTCATAAATCAATACACAGCCAATTTCCTCCATCAGGTCACTACTTACATTTGGCACTCATAATGTGCATCCTGCTATCGTTGATGGCGTAAAGGTATGATGGTGTACGCATTGTTGATGGGTCCTCGACATAGCTGATCACGTGCGTTGCTTCCTCGATGTTGGATTTGTCAAGAATTACGGTGGCATGCAATGGGGAGTTCTTGATCAACTCAACAAATACAAGCTGGTCATGCTGTGAAAAAGAAAAAGGCAATCATTAGACATAATGATATCCATGTATATCCACAGTAACCTTACCACCGGTACATTGGAGAATACAATCCTTGGTATGTTATCAGCACCAGCATGAGACTGTGTCAGGAGTTGATCCATGGCGCCAATTTTCTTCTTGACAGCATTGGTAGGAGATGACAACCCGGCTGCTGTTGCTGATCTTTTCCCACTTGTCGAACCGCCGCTAACCAATTGGTCCACAAGCTCTTGCAAGTCTTTGCTTGAAGCCTCCTCCTCGACCAAAACATCCGAAAGATCCGGGTTTTCATGGTTGCACAAGACGTGTCGTTGTAAATCTGAAGGCTTGCCAAAAGATGCCTCACAACCAGGATGAGTACAATGATGTCGTCGCTATTCATCATATCCTATCTTAGTAACAAGTCATTGGATGGTTGGATCTCAAGTACTTACTACATGCATACGTTGATAGTGGGTGTATTCTTGCTGTTGGCTGTAAAAAGTGGCATCACAGTCGTCGACGCGACAAGCTATTGGTTGTCTCTACGTGCACCACACCAATAAGAAAGAAAGCCATGGCACGCATCCTTGTAAAAACATACCTTATGTATGCTGTCAACATGATTCCTTAGATGATCGTGACGAAGAAATAGACGTGTACATCCTTCGAATGGGCATTCTAGCTTGTTCTCAGCCTAGGAATAAAGCTATGTAAGCAAACAGTGCCAAGAGATAGAAGAGGTACTTACGCAATTGTGATTGTGAACATGGCGGTAAAATCTTTTCTTTGTGGTAAACATTTCATAGCAATGCTCCCAAGGACACTGGATTTCTTCACACTAGGAATAGCCACAATTTAGTTCATGGTCGAACCTGATTGGGATACATACTTACTTGATGCATGATGACTTTGTGCGAGTAGTATGCGCGGTAGCTATCGAACGTTTTGTTGCATTGCTCACAAGGTATTTCGCCGGACTACATAAAAGCTGTTAGAACATGCATCAATGCCATCACCGAAAATACCACTTACATGAAGATTGAACTTGTGTGCTCGCAACATTGTCTTTGTCGATAACACCATGTCACATTCATCGCATTTCCACTCCTCCCCCTAACAGCAATCAGTATCATCATATAGATCCTTGGATGTTGTATCATTACCTTGTGCTGATGAAGATATGATAAGTTAGTTGCGATACAGACATAGACGAGCTGGCTACTTACCCCGTGTTCTCTCACTTTGTGCGCTACCAGCATGTCGGGTATGTGATATGACTTGGTGCAGAGATCACAGCGATGCAGCCGTCCCTAAAAACATTGGCAGGTGAATACCCTAGCACTTGTATAAATCGTTTGGATGGCTTACCCTTTCATTGACAACATTGTTGGGCATCGTCTCACGAATCCTCTTCATGCACATGTCATGGTACTTTTTGGCCAAGTCATTCTTTGTGGGGTCCATGGATCGCAAATAGGCTGCTATGTCGGTTGGATGACATTCGCGGGTGTCCTTGACCGATGCCATACCAAGACCCAATAGGAACTGATTCAATGCCGTCAATCGCAATACGCACGTATCCCTATGCAAGGCAAGCATTAGCCTCGATGATACGATAAAGCAATGGATATACTTACTGTCCAATCACTCTTGCAAGTGGGTCTGCCAATCCATCCACGCCCAAATAGTCATAGAATGAAACGTCGCTTGCTGCAGGAGTGTCGCAATATGGGAGAATACCAGTTGTCAGCATGGTCTCGAGATCAACAAGCTTGTGGTGCAATGTAATTTGAACCACACGAGTCTGTGCCATTGCATTGAGAAATAGGTCCTTGTTTCGCACCAGCTCCCTCTTTCCAATGTTGAGGTTGTAGACTGGATCAGACTCTCGGCCGACGATGTTGGACATGACATTCAGTTTCGCCAATTCGGTCTGCATCCACGTAAGGATTGTCTTGTCTTTGGCTGCTAGATTGACTCCTGCCAGCAGTCGCCCTGGGTTCTCGACATCATGTTCAGGTCGCCAAAGCAAACATCCATCAGCTGCATAATACCACAAGGTGAAGAGGATGATATGAAGGCTCCGATTTGACAAGTCGTCGGGAAATGTTTCGGCGAGAAGGCCAAGGTGGGCGTTCTTAACACGCGATACATAACAACCCGTCATATCCAATAGCTCGCCCAGTTCACGTGATGAAAACATGGCCATAACAACACCATAATCACCAGCAGCGAAGCGTTCCTTTTCATTCTTGCGAGGTGGACTAACGTAGAAGCTATAAACAATGACTAGCAATTAATGATATGAAGGATTCATGAAATAGTATAAAATACATACTTGAGACCCACGCTTGTACATTTGAATGATTTAATGAAGAGGTTTAACCAATAAAACTCGGTGGAACGCTCTACAATGGTTTGCTTTTCCTTATTGTTGTAACCATCGCCACAAAAAAAGCCTAAGAAACATGATCGATGCACGCTTTCCTTGTCCTTCAATATACCGATCAATGTGAGGGAATCACTGGATGCCCTTTGCACCGTGGTGTGTATCACTTGCGGGTCATTTTGGGATGCGTATAGTGGGGTAGTACTTGAGATGGGTGGTTTTGTTGTCAGGTATGATCTTCTTGGACGACATCTTGTCACCACAATCGGGGTTAAGTGAGGTGTGCGAAAGGCATTATAACCTCCACCGTTATCAATTTCTTTATCATGGGCGTCTCCGGGTTCTTCGTCGAAACTCATATCCTCATCATTATTATCGATGTGTTGGTCATCACAGCTCATGTCATCATCATCGGCATCGATGAATTCGTCATAACAGGACATGTCTTCATCACCATCGTCGATGAATGTGTTGCCATAGGCCATATCTTCATCATTGGTATCGATGAATACGCCATCACATGATGCTTCTTCATATAACATCGTCTGCTCAGCATCATCGTCCTCCTTCTCCACATGCACAGCTAGTGTCTCGAGCTCATATTCATCGTACATAGCGTTTTCGTAGTCTGATCCATCATCCTCCAGCAATACTTCATCGTAGTCGAGAGGATCATCTTTGTTTCGTATGTTGGAACCTATACAACGCTTATCATTTCATTATTCATGCACGTTGCAATCATGATGGATTTTACATACAAGAAGGTGATTTTTGGGTAGTACTACACCATTCCATCTTGTCAATAATGGAGTTGAGAGTCGAAAAAAAGATGAAGGGAATGGTGATGTGGTGATATTTTATCTCTACCACGGTACAATTAACATCCATCTTGTGATCATATCAATGACCATTGTCACCATTGTAGAATACATAGAAGGGGTCTATTCATCTTTTTGGTTGAATCTGTAAAACAAAGAGCCTTTGGTACTAATGACAAAGAAGGACCCTGCTGCTTCCATTCAGACTGACGTTGCTTTTTATTTGACGGCCCCAAAACGCATGTTATAAATTAACTACAGATTGGCAACTACACAAACGCATACATGTAAAGAAGATTGGAAGGTGTGATCCAAGGGCAGATAATAGCATAAGAAAGAAGAGGGTATAAAATGCAAAAGGCAGGTGTGTTATGCAAACGCGATCCTCATGTGCTTTTAATGGTTGATTGAGCAAGATAAAACGTTTGTTGAGTATGTTTGTGCGAGTGTTCATTCCAAAAAGAAAAATTGAAAGTCGTTGGCATCTTCATTGTTGGTATGACATAGTGCACGCTTGTAGCTATGATACGGTAGGCATGACAATGAGCACGTTCAAGCGCCGCTTGAACGTAAATAAAATGAACGCGTATCCCCATCAGCATCTTTTTCTTCCTTTGTCCTCGCAGGCTCGCTGAACCCTGTTGTGGATATGTTGGTACCCTTTTTCGAAGATGCCCGTCGCGACTTGTAGTTACGCACCCAGGAAATTCACTGTCAGCTTTTTTGTAATCCCAGCAGTCCAATAAAAAGCACTTACCACGTATTTAATCGCGAGGACACTGTCAAACCCGAAAGCTGATGGTCCCCGCTGATTTAGCCCTCAGCCAGAAATTGAATGAATCCTCGATTGCTGTCCCAATCTCCTCAGACAAAATGAGCTTCAGCGGACTCGCGCCGTGCCGGCCATTACCGCCACACCTAAGACAGAGGCATAACGGCAATTCATATGGTAAATGGCCCTAAAAATAAATGTTGTCAAAACCAAAATACCATTGACCATAATGCTTCATAACTTACCTTGAAGGTACCAAAGAAAGGAATCCACAAGGCTCTCCGCAAGCTGTAAAAGTGGATCTACAAGCTCCTGACCAAGCTCTTCCCAACAATCATAGTGCATCTAAGAACCCCGTGTTGTCAGCCCACATGGAGATGGTCAGCTCAACATGGGCAAAAGAAAACTAGATATAGAAGAAATGAAATCCTTTGTAACATGCTCCCATGAAATAAAATGTACTTCTCTTCATTGATGCGTAGTGTGTGATAAACCCACTTCATGAGCATGGTGTGTAGCCTTCAATTCCAAGAGGAGAAACTTGATAAGCCATATGCGCCAACAACTGTGTCAAAACGTAGGGACCAGACGACATCTTTTCCTATGCAGTATTGTCAGTGGTTGATGCTACAGTGCCCATATACACCAACGCACACGTACCTTGCGGGGAAATCAAAAAGCTTATCGTGCCATTGGAAAGGCTTGCGTGTGTGTGAATAAAGAAGATGAAAGCAAAGAAAGAAAGATACTGTGGAAGAGTATAACCGATTGGTATCTTTTTAATCCATGACGGAGTCATTCCCCCCTTATCGTGTTGATGAAGGTAAAAGGGTGTGAATATCTGATTGCTCGCCTTGGCGTAAACAATGTTTCACCTTGGAGAAAATGGGGTGGTTGGGGCGCGCCTCTCTCTTAAGATATGCATCAACAACATGACGCTTATTATGATCATGCAATACATTAAGGGCACCTCACTCTTGCTTGTACATCACCTATGCCTGGTCGTAATGAACAACGGCTTTGGCTTATGATTTTTTATGTTATACACGGAGCACCGTGTCAATCATTGGACATACGGGTACTCTTTTTCTCCTGAGCTATGCATGAAAACTATGTCATTGTGATGGTGGTAGAGGATGTGAATACCTGATTTCTCGCCTTGTGCGTAAACAATGTTTCACCCAGGACGATGAGGAAGATGAGGCGCCTCTCTCTTAAGATATGCATCAACAACATGACTGCGTATAATGGCTGGCTACGCATCATAACGAAACGCCATTTTCTTTTATGCGTCATGTCGCAAACAATACACGATAGCCATAAACCATGCGTTCCTAGACCTTGTACGTATGTTTTATGTACCCGTGTCACACTGTATCATAGCTCACTCTTTCTTAAACGTTATGATTTAGGCTTTCAATGGATCGAGCATTTGGACGAAGCACCATTATTGGATATCATTGCTGTGAGTTTATTATTATAGTTGAAAATACAAGCATCTATTTAAACCTGTATACAATCCTCCTTATCGTCTATCGGCATATGAACAAGGAAGCTTTAACGTATGTAATGTGATAAAAGCAACAAAAACGTCTCGATACGATGATGTAATGATCCAATCTCTCTTTCCGATCTTCGAATTTCGATCCTCCCTTTCATTCCAGAAACCAACCACGTGGATCACATAGAATCAGTGGGCCCAATTGTGTCATTGTATCCTTGGTTGCTGCCGTCGTAAACATCTTCATCCATGATTGCAAGCTAGTTGCTACGTGTGCCTTGACTCCAATATCCAATGTCATCCATGGGGTCAAAGCGCCTTTCGCCAAAGATATGTAATCCCTCTCATCCACGCCATCCAATCCATCACCATCCTCAGCCGTATCCACGTGACATGTTCCATCCTTCCTACTGATGACGAGCCGAATAATCAAAGCAATCTTCCAAATCACTGCATTTGAATCCATCCATCCATCCATAACCATTTCAAGTCCAATAAGAAAGAGCATCTCAACCAGGTGAAGGTCGCTTCTATTGCGGTGCATCTGATAGGTGACATAGCGTCATCCATAGGAGTTCGTACCCATCAAAGCAAGTTGCTGCACATAAACAAAGCTGCTTCTATACAATGGCTACTTGCTGTCCACGTGAAAAGTCCGTAAGACAAGTTGCTGCAAGTAAAGAATGATGTTTGAGACAACGCGTTAAAGGCCTTGCTACTGGCAACTGCTGGAATGAATGCTGTTGCGTTTGGTCGTAGCAGAGGAGAGAGCAAAAGCGTGTGTTGTAGTAGTGGTAGAGTGACAAGGCTTTGAACGCTATACGAGTCAATGGAGAAAAGACCTTGCTCATTGCAACCACTGGAATGAATGCTGTTACGCTGGTCGTAGTAGAGGAATGTACAAGAGAAGGTGTAGTGTCAAGAAAAGGTATGTTGTAGTGGGGTGCACAGGCCATGGACTTGCCATTCAGTCAAAGGCAATCGGATCAAGGCAATTGTAGGATTGACATGACGGGTTGAAAGAGGACAATCGTTCGCAGGTGATAGTTGTACTTGAATGGACCAACAGTTGAGAGTGGGAGGAAGAGGCAAGAAGCTGAGAGTGGAAGAGTTGCAAATTAACTTGAATGTTCTGATACTTGGATAATACTTCTCTGTTTGAGTGTTGTCCAGTCAAATCCTCTCGGATCAAGAAAGTTGAAGGATGGGCATGCTAGGCTGGAGCAGGACAATCGTTCACATGCATTGGATTGGGAAACAAAGATGATTGGGAGGAATGGGCTATCAAGTGGCAGTTTACAAATAACTTACCAATTTGATCCTTCTGATATTGGATGATGTTTCTGTGTTTGAGCGTTTCTCAGTCAAATCTCATCGGATCAAGAAAGTTGAATGATGGGCATGCTGGGCTGGAGCAGTACAATCGTTCGTATGCATTGGATTGGACAACAATGGAGAATGGAAGGACTAAGGTTATTAGCTGGCATTTTGAACTATTCCTAAATAGTGTACAAGAATCATGCATCGCCTGTGCTGAATGACTCAAGTTACACAAACACGTCCTCTGCATCTTTTGCTCTGTCAGGGTCCACATACTTGACAATGAACATTGTCAAGTAGCTGGACCCTGGCAGAGCAAAAGATGCAGAGGGTCGTGTTGTGTAACACAGCTACGTTTGCATGAATGAAAGGGTCAATGTATAATTACTTTATGGATCATCTAGGAACAGGCATGTATTTCTAGCTAACGGCTACTTTTATCCAATCATCATTGTTGCGAGATCCACTGCATGGGAACAATGCCCCTGCTCTAGACATTCATTTCCATGATTAAAGTAGGTTGATCCGAGCTGATTTGACTGAGCTACGGTCAAAGAGAGATTACATCACTCTGGACATAAAGCACGCTCGATGTAGCTCAACCGATATAATCTTGTGTGAGCGTAACTCAACCAAATCAGCCTGGATCAACCTACTTTAATCATGGAAATGAATGTCTAGAGCAGGAGCATCGTCCACCTACAATAGAATGCACAAAAGTTGGGAATGCACAAAAGTGGCTATTAGCTGCCAATGTATGACATAAAAGTGAGGGTTGCGTACCTGTCATGCATTGTCCCTGAAGTCCTGACTTTTTAGCTGAGTTACCCAAAGAGGTCTTTCTGCATCTTTTGCTCTCCAGGGTCCACCTACTTGGCAATGAACAAAGACCACTTCTCATATAGCATCACGCTTACAAACATAAAGGTGCCTGTATCTCCGAACTTTACAATGAAACGTGGGGTCTTTGATAGAACAATGTGCTCGGCTTGGCCAACTGCACCTTGGGTGTAAGTTTCACGATCAAGCTTGCCAATCCCAGATTTCGCAATGTCACTACCAGCCAAACTGGATCTGGGGGTCGACCTCTTCGACGACGACGACCAAAAAAATATTTTTTGGGCTAGTTGCGACATTGAACGTGAAACTTTCACACAAGGTGCTGTTGGCCAAGCCGAGCCCATTGCTCTATTCAAAACCCCACGTTTCATTGTAAAGTTTGGAGATACAGGCACCTTTATGTTTGTAAGCGTGATGCTATATGAGAAGTGGCCTTTGTTCATTGTGAAGTAGGTGGACCCTGGCAGAGCAAAAGATGCAGAGGAACCTCTTTGTGTAACTCAACTACTTTGCATGGCTGCAAGGATGGAAGGATGATACTGTATACTGTTGACAATAGCCCATATACTGCCCGCTAGCAGCCATTTCTTCACAATCAGTGTCATTGCAAAATCCATTTCATGTGAACGATTCTCCTACTCCAGCTGAGCGTTTCCATCACTCAAGTTTCTTGATCCGAGCCGATTTGACTGACCTACACTGGAACAGCGAACATGTAAATTAATGAATCGCAGACCCTGCGAATGTCTCCGTCTTTCAAACTTTTGGACGCTCCCATTCCAAATTTTCAAATGAAGCGTGAAGTCTTTATTAGAAAAAGTTGGTCAGCATGCTCGAGAGCACCCTTCTGACCAATTTTCACTTTGGAGGTGGGCAACTTCGGGGCGCTGGGCCGTCCTCTCTTTTGTTCCCATCATCCACCATTTGGATCGCCCGCATTTTTAATTTTCACAATGAAGCATGAGGTCTTTTTGAGGACAACGTGATCAGCATGTCCAAGAGCATCTTGTGTGAAAGTTTCAGGTTCGAGAGGGGCAATCTCAATATCAAGGTTTGATGTACAACAGCGTCATGCATTTATACAAGAGGTGTCCGACCTACTTAATTTCCTCCCCTTCCACTCTCAGCTTCTTCCCTTTTCCTCTCATTCTCAACTGTTGGTCCATTCAAGTATACAACTACCGCCTGCGAACGATTGTCCTGCTTCAACTCATCATGTCAATCCTACAATTGCCTTGATTCGACGGCCTTTGACTGAATGGCAAGTCCATGGCCTGTGCACCCCACTACAACATACCTTTTCTTGACACTACACCTTCTCTTGTACATTCCTCTACTACGACCAGCGTAACAGCATTCATTCCAGTGGTTGCAATGAGCAAGGTCTTTTCTCCATTGACTCGTATAGTGTTCAAAGCCTTGTCACTCTACCACTACTACAACACACGCTTTTGCTCTCTCCTCTGCTACGACCAAACGCAACAGCATTCATTCCAGCAGTTGCCATTAGCAAGGCCTTTAACGCGTTGTCTCAAACATCATTCTTTACTTGCAGCAACTTGTCTTACGGACTTTTCACGTGGACAGCAAGTAGCCATTGTATAGAAGCAGCTTTGTTTACGTGCAACAACTTGCTTTGATGGATACGATCTCCAATGGATGATGCCATATCACCTATCAGATGCACCGCAATACAAGTATTGAGCTGCAATGACAGAGGCTCTTTCTTAATGGATTTGAAATGGTTACGATGGATGGATGCAATCAAGTGCAGTGATGGGGAACCCTGGGATGCAGCTTTGGTTGCATAGTGCGTCGTCAGCAGGAAAGGATGGATCATATTATGGATACGGCTGAGGATGATGATGGATTGGATGGCATTGACGAGCTGTTTTTTTACAGTCATGGATGATATTGCAGGACTCGATTCAATGCATGCAGCAGCTATGTTGCAATCATGGATGAAGGATGTTTACATGACGGCAGCAACCAAGAACACAACGACACAATTACCCCCATTGCCTCTATGTGATTCACCTGTATCTTATTCAATTTGCAATGCTCTTCCCTTATCATATTTACCTCATAAATGTCTACTACTACCATATGCTATTCTTCGACTTTCTTATTGAGTGAAAACTGGATTCAACATAGTATATTGAATGCCGTACTATCAGCTTACATGTGCAAGATGTGGATCACTTGGTTGGCTTCCGGATTGAAAGGGGGATTAATCTCGATATTGCAGGGCGTATACTTCTATTTGTGTCCAGAGAAGCTGTCGACCAGGAGTAAGATATTACGTTTCTCAAAAAGCTATTGTGCAGTATTCTCGAAAGATAATTCTTGTCTCCAGGGAGGAAACCAAAAGTGACATTTACATGATAGTCATATGTATGAATAGCAATTTGGCGTGAAAGTAAGACTCGGCACGCTCATTCATTTTGTGATTCATCCTCCTCCTCCCTTTGGATGATGTGTGCTGGCACAGAGATGGAGCCTATATAGCTGAGCAACATGACCATGATGAAGCAAATGGTGTAGATTCCCCACATAGCAGTATATGGCTTCTGTGCAAATGGCTTGGAATGTCATGATTCCCATGTTGGGCGTATGGAGATGGCCATGCATAGATTTAATTGGAATGGCATATCAGACTTTGCTCTTTTTCGTTGTAGAGAAAGAACACACTTTCAATAAACATCACCACAAGAAATGCAATGCTAATTTTGTATGATCGAGTGTACAATAAACCACCATGCCCTGGAGTATTTCATTGTTTTTATCTTTATGTCCACGCCACCCCTTTTTTCTTCATGCATGACCACACATATCCTTTTAACCGCTCACTAAAAAGGGAACCCTTGTATTGGCTCTCTCTTTGTTGGGAGAGTACACATCCAACATTAACACCTGATACATACGAGCAAACGTAAGGAGGAGCAGGTTAACAGTTGGCCTCCGGATAAATAGTATAGGAGGTCCGTTGCTATGGTATCCAAGTGGATTCACTTGCAAAGCTTACCTGGAGTACATAGCATACACAAATACAGGAATTGATGGCTTCTTGAGAATGGCACTTTCAGCACGCAAATACGATTAGTTCTCCGTAACCATGTTTATGTGGGGATGATTTAGGCGGTTGCCACGAAGCATAAGGGGGGTAACTATGGTGGATGCGGGGGTGATAAAAAAAAGTTCTAAACGCCAAAATGTACTGCGCATGTGCTGCAATGGCTATGATGAAAGAACGATTCGAACCCCTTGAAGCCTCCTACATGTCTTATAATGGGACACCTCCCGTACTACAACAGCATAACACGACGATCCACTTTATCCTCCAGCTCTTTTCTTTCTCCATCATTTTGGCTCCATGCTATTCTGTGAGTACCCTATTGCGATGTTTTTCTCGACAATGTATTGATGTTGTCCATCTTTTCAGTATACCTTTTCTTGCTGGTGCTCATTTCTGTTGCCCATGGCCAAGTGCGATACAGCGTCATATCTCCTGGAAATATGGGTGTCGTGATTGACGGCAACGATCCATTGCCTCTCACCCCAACATCTTCATCCATTTTGCATAGCGGTACAGGACCCAAAGCAACAAAGGGATATTACTATGTCAAGATGAATGATGGTGACGAAATTACTGACCGAGAATCATTCGAGCGAAAGCCAACCGAGGAATCAATGAACGAGTTTTTCAACATCACATGGAATACTAAACGTGTACGTCAATTGCCTCAGCTTTATTCACCTATGCCCTATATCCATCGCATCCAAAGTGATCTACATCCTATCGACCAAATCCCCACTTTTCATTTTACCGGTGATCAAAATGAACTTGACAACATGCATGAGAATGTCAAAGAAGAAATCACTGTGTCGACCAATCTGACTTATATTAGGTATGATTGTTTCATGGTATAATCGGCAAAGCTAATGCGATATGATTACAGGGTGGATGGTACAAAGACATTTAGTCAAGTGAGGATCAAGATTGGCGGTCGAAATGCTCGGAGATACCCTAAGCTCTCCTATAACCTAAAGTTGAACCAGGGGGATCTTTATGGGTTTACAAGACTCAAGTTGAGAGCACTTGGCTCCACTGATCCTGCATACATCCGTGAAGACCTAGCATACAAAACCTTGGTATCAATGGGAGTCGCCACCACTTATTCATCCTTTGCAAGGTGAGAAGGATACACAAAAATATACAGGCACTGCGTGTGCATGCATATCTCAACTCCTATATACATACAGAGTATTCTTCAACGACAAGCCTTTGGGTATCTATGGATTGATTGAGCATTACAAGCCATCTTGGTTGAGTGAAGAGTTTGCTGATGGCAACAAGCAATATCAACATGGTTCTTTGTACCAAGGAGCTCGCCGTACACCTCAATCGGATGAGCATGATGAACACAAATCTGATCTCAGCTACTACGATGGGAATGATGCCATGTATGAGGATGGCCAATACCGTATCAAGGAAGAGCCTCTCGGTCAAAAATTGGGATATGGACCTCTCATTGATTTCACCAAGTTTATACATGATGCACCAAACGATGCAAAGTTATGGGTCAAGCGTTTTGATGTAGAAGGATTTATTCGCAAGTAAGTGAGCTATAGCTACTACTACAAATGACACTTGAGCAGTACTCAACCAATCCTTTATCATGGTACATAGCATGGTGGCCGAATTCTACCTTGGGTTTTCGGATGGCTTTTGGGTCAATGTTAACAATTACTTTTTGTATCAAGAACCCGAAACAAAGAGGATGATCTATATTCCTTCAGATACCAATCGGGCATTAGGGAACACCCAATACAAGATGGAAAAGATGTTGACAGGCAACATGACCGAATTTGCCACCATGGCAGACAAGTCCCCATTGTCGTATCGCTTGTTTGGTATCCCTGAATTTGAGAAACGTTTCCAAGAAGTGTCTCGGGATGTGGTGAACAAGATTTTCAACATGAAAGCCATGGGTCCCGTAATTGATGATACCGTTGCCATGATACAAGAGGACGTAGCATGGGACCAAACATTGGAATTTCCTGGCAAATTGAACATGCCGCGTGAACGCAAAGAAGGAGAACCCATCAATGTACGAAACACTGACACCGCTTATGATTGCTGGGTGGTGGCACGTGATGGCATCCCATTCAAAAAAGCTGTATATGGTCCTGTCACAGGTCATTTATCTACCATTGGTGTGGTGGAGTGGATCAGGAAAAAGGTTCAGGCTGTCAAGGCTTTCTAATGTTTACACACCATCCAAAAAACGAAAATGAAATATGTACAAGTTCTTTGCACCCTCAATTTAATAAATTTAATCTCGTTGTTCTCGTTTCCTACATATAGCTCATAGTAGTGTATGATGATACAATGAATGGATGATGATGCAGGCAAGGGTTGGGCGCAAGAGCTTCTGTCAATGTATGTAGATAAGCGAGGATGGCAGCTCGCCGATAATCTTGGTTCAAAAGATACGTTTTACGATTTCCAGCACCATAATGTGGCATAAAAGCGATAGTCCTTGTCATCGAGGAGATGCATGGAAGGCTTATTGTTGCACCCCGCAGCAGCTCTATCAATGCATGAAATCGCTTCTGTGGGGCGTTCTTTACTCTTTCACATACCATGAGCACCGCTGATCGACCACCCATTACGTCCAATACCACTGAAAGCACGATAACAGATCAAAGCCGAGACATGCAAGTACCGGATGCAACCATGCAAGGCTCAACATGGCAGGCGCCCATTGTCACAACCAGCAACACAGCTCTCCAAAGCGATCACGATGCAACCCATCACAACAACAGCAACAAGTCGTATGATACCACTAGCTCTTTATCTACACCACAAAATACAACCGATTTATCGACGCCGAGACGACCTATGGAAGACTTCTCAACTTGGTCAACACGCGACGAGCAACTTCTCCACTCTGTGATACAGCATATACCATTTGCTTTGACGGCTGCTGGTGACGGTGATCAGTGGGCTCTTGTAGCTCGTACATGCAATAAGGAGCTTGGACAACTCGTCAACACACCATCACCATCTTTTGATTCTGGAGCCGAGGCTAAGGAGCGATTCAAGATATTGATGGCAGCCCATGCCGCCCTTGTTCACAACCATGTGCACCGTATCGACTTTTTACCCATTTATGAACAATATGGAAGGATCAGATCCATGATGGAATATTGTTATTCTCTGGTAAGAGCTATTGGTAGCTATTCAATCCATGTGCTGACATGTGTGTTGTGTATAGTATGTCAAATCTGGGAATAAGCCTGATGAGTTGCTTCGAAAACGTAAAAGAGACCAAGATGAGGAGTGGGGGATTCCAAATGAGGAAGACGGTTCTAAGGGGGAAAGACAAGGCGAGCGTATGAATGGATCAATTGATACTTTAAAGCACCAGCTTCGTGAATCACAGGTAATTTGGCTGAAAACGGGATTGTTGATTAGGTGTACTTATCAGTAATATGTTCATAGGATCACGCCGAAAGAAGTCTCAAGGAAATGGAATGGAAGCAAGGACAACATTTCGAGAATATGAATCGTCAATTGTCAGATATGGTCGAATTGGATCAGAGAGCTGCTGCCATCTGCCGTGATAACGATGACCAACTTGAAGAGGTGATGAAAACGCACAGCAGAAGAATGCGGACCATGTTAAACAAATCCAACGATCGTATCCGGTTTATTCTCGACAAGTACAGCGAATCAATGAGGGGTTGGTCTGAAGTACAGCAGCGAGAACAGACGAGGTGGAATATCATGCATGATGGTTGGATGAAGATGCGGAAAAGCTTTCTGGAATTGCAAGTGCAAATGTTTGAACACCATCAAAGATTGGAGCGTGTGAGAATGGATACGATGCGACAGCTGATGAAGGATTCTTGATTCATGTCATGTCAAATACGTAGCAAATACTGTATGTAATGTGAAATTTGTTGTATAAAGTATTCCGAATTATCCCTTCTCTCATGCGTGTACTTACGAGACTTACCAAAGGTCATTGATGATGATACATATGCATAAGGGTGGATGATGGTGCTGGTGGCAAAGAGCCTTGTTTGGCGTGGGAATTGTTTGTATGATGGATCGGATTGATAAAGTGATCAAGCATCTTGGAGTACTGAGTCAAGATGATGGAAAGCAACAACTGATGAATCCACCTGCGGCTTAAGAAGTTGTAGGTGACATAAGTATGTCCCTTCTCCCATATGCTTGTCATGTGATTATCATCTTTGAGAAAATATCAAATGTCAATAATGTCTCGGAAGGATAACCAAAAGGCTTAACGTCAACACTAGCATAAAATGGTAATGAGTTTATTGATCTTTGAATTACAAAAGATGTAGGGGATAATAGCAAAATGATGAGGATCATCCTAAGCAGTAGTAGTTACCCAGCTCGACCATTTTCGGCAAGATTGCCATGACAGCTGGGGAAGTGTGGAAAAAGCTTGGCCAATCAAGCGTCGTCCTAACAACCATCCGATTTTATGTGATGTAGTTCCATTATCAGCTCACTCTTGCCTTTCTTTCTCCCTCTTTACGCACCTTCACACATCTTGTCTCTCTCTATCATGGATTCTCTTGGTGGCTATCTCCCCTACGCCGTTTCAGGCCTTATTGCTGCTGGCTCCGCATACTTCTTCCTTAACCGCAAGAGTAACGTATCGATAAAAGGCGTTGGATATCGTGCAGGACAACCCACTCAAACATGGCTTCTCTACTGTAGAACCTATTCTCGACCCCAAGGCTTACAAGAACTTTAAGCTTGTTGAAAAAATCGTCATTTCGCACAACACTGCAGTGTAAGTATACATACAATGGTGACATTGACAGAATCGGGGTACGACTGATCGTTCATAGATACCGTTTCGCGTTGCCTCGCAAGGACGACATTCTTGGATTGCCAATCGGTCAACACATTTCCGTCATGGCCGAGATCAACGGCAAGGAGATCTCGCGTAGCTACACACCCACCAGCTCGGACGAGGATTTGGGTCACTTTGACCTCTTGATCAAGGTAGAGGGGTCTTTTACAGGGGGATGCTATGATTCCTTTACTGATTCCTTGTACGTAGTCTTATCCCACTGGCAACATCTCCAAGTTGTTTGGTGAGCTCAAGCTCGGTGATTCGGTTGCTGTGCGTGGTCCCAAGGGAAACTTCAACTATCAACCCAATATGGTCCGTGCTATTGGCATGATTGCTGGTAAGGAAGAGTGGGAGGATAGCTATACATGGCATTAAGAGGATAATACTTACATTTATGTATAGGTGGTACTGGTATCACTCCCATGTTGCAGGTAAATGATTCATGAATGAGATGATGCATTGGCTAAGACTTTTTACTTTTAGATTATCCGTGCTATCTGCAAACATCCTGAAGACAAGACCATCGTCAACCTTATCTTTGCCAACGTGAATGAAGAGGATATCCTTCTCAAGAAGGAATTGGATGATTTGGCTGCCAAGCATGACAACTTCAATGTATACTACGTTTTGAACAACCCTCCTGCTGGTTGGACAGGTGGTGTTGGTTTTGTCACCGCTGATATGATCCGTGAACATTGCCCTGCTCCTGCCAAGGATGTCAAGATTCTCTTGTGTGGTCCTCCTCCCATGATCAAGGCCATGACCACGGTATGTGTTGTGAAATTTATTGTATTTCATTTGGTAGATATGACTAATGGAGGTTACTACAGGCAACGGGTGAATTGGGTTATGACAAGCCACGTGCTGTGAGCAAGCTTGAGGATCAAGTTTTCAAGTTTTAGAGTGCATTCATATTCACATGTTATAAAAAAGGCATTATATTAGGTGACGTGTGTACAGGATTTATTAATTGAAATGAGGAGATGGGGGAAACGAGTACACTTGGTATCATAAGGAAGCTTTCCAGAAATGCTGCATAATAGATGCTGAGTGATAATCATTAGCGTTCTGAAATGCCTTGATGAAAAGCTTGAATGTAATATCATCTGGCTTGTTCTTGTAGTTCAGATTGTGTTCATGTGATTGCTGTTCCACAATGTTGACAACATTCTCTTGTGACACGCCAACCACTGATTCAAAGATCGTCCATACATCTTGACCAGACAAGGGATAATTTTGTTGATGCTGATGTTGTTTGATCAAAGACCATTCATTGCGCCGCCTTGCCAATCGCGTAGTGCTCATCCTCCTTCGATCTAGCCGTAAAAGACCTTCCACCAGCAAATTGTACGAAACATTGTCCATGGTCAAACCTTGCGCTCCCAGGGTCAACATGAATTGCTTCACACCCATCATGTCGTGCTCATCCACCCAACCTTGAATCAATGTGTTGATTGTCCAGCTATCAGGCTTTTGACCAGATTCAATCATGCGCTGGAATATGCTGTATGCTGCTGGCATGTTGCCGAGATTGACGAACGCCTTGATGAGTATGTTGTATGTTGTTGTGTCGGGCTCATAGCCATGATCCATGATCTGCCGAAAAGTTTTGTTGATACGACCGGCATGGGGTAATGGTTGTCTTGAAGCGTAATTGTTGAGAAGCATGTTGAAAGAGGATAAGGGTGGATCACTCGCATGATGTTGCTGATACCATCCGCTCATATCAAGAAATACGCGCTCTGCTTTGGCCATATCGTTGTTCAAAGTTGCAGCCTCCATCATCGCCTTGAAAACATGATGCACATGTTTGTATCCATCGAATCGATTGCTCCTCGCATTACGGTACAATGCAAACGCCTCGTTGAGATCACCTCTTTCACCCAATTTGCCAATGATTCGACCAAGACCAGAAAGCGATACTTGTAATCCCAATTCCTTTTCCATGCTCAATAATCCACGTACGGCCACATGTCCTGATACCCGGTTCACTGATCCATTCTTGAGACCTAGCAACCCCAATGTGATACGTTGAATGGTCATGGATGTAAATTGGATAGGCATTGCCGTAAGCAGTCTTTTGGATGCCGCAAAATCACCAAGAGCCATTTGAGCTGATATGACGGATTTGATCATGCGACGATTGTGATCCACTGGTAATCCCATGCCCTTCAATGACCGGTACTGTGATACACATTTGCTCCATTCGCCTGTTGCCAACCATCCTTCCAATACTGTTGCATAAGTGTCGAGGCGTGCAATGTTGTCAGATTGTGGTGCTACTGTTGCCAGGTGATACTTGCTCCTTTCCAGCCATGCCATTGCTCGATCAGGTTGACCTTGTTGTACCCAGCCTTGGACAATGGCCATGTGAGAATTCATATCCACTGCAAATGATCGCCTTTGCATATCGAGTGCGACACGCTGTGCTGCTTTGAGATCCTTGGCGTCGACAAAAGCCTGAATAAATGCTGCATGACCATCCTTGTCGAGCATCTTGGAAGATGTCTTGTAAAGAACGTGGGTATATGATGAAGGAGATGTCATGTCGTGTGTCGATTGCAGCATTTTTCCAAACTTTGACATTTTCTTTTCTGATGCATACGCTGCCAGCAGCATGGTTTGTGTCTTTGCCGTCGGTACCAAGGCCGCATCTGCTTGCATGACAAGATCCATTACCAAGCTGAGATGTGTTGAGGTGTATAATGCCTGTGTGCTACGTGCAACAGAGACCTGGTGAAGCATTCTTCGGGTAAAAGCATGGACAAAAGCCTCCAATGACGTAGGATCAATCGTATTCAACATTGACATGCCCATTGCCCTCCGATATCCATTCCATATCGCAATAGCTGCATCGTTGCTATGGTCTCCAAGAGCGTTTTCGCATTCGTGTAGCACTGCAAGGGCTCTGGCAAGATTGGATTTACGGATACTGACTTGGACAAATCGATTCACGCAATGTGCCATGGTTGCTTCATCCAAAACGCCTTCTCGTCGACCCTTCCTTATCACATCTTGAGCCATTTGAAGAAGATTGGTATCCAATGCCGCATCCATCAAACACTGATATGCCTTCCCATCCACAAGGCCTTGTGCCTGCAGCTCCTCAAATGCCACTCGTGCCTTGTCAAATTGTCCCGTTCGTCCATACGCCATAATAGCAATCAATACCATAGGCTTCGTCCTCTGTACTCCTCGATCCAATGCGTCCTGGTATGCTTGCACAATACGTCCCCAATTGAGCGATCGACGCGTCTCTTGAGCACGAGTCGACAAGCTGTGCATGAGTTGCTCATAGTCATCGGAAGACTGTGGTTGATATTCCAAGTAAGCATTCCACAATTCAGAAACAGTCCTCGAATTCAAACGTTGCTGATTACGGCATTGTTGAAGCTTGTCTTCAAAGCGTGCTCGTTTGTTGTTATTGTTGTTGTTGTTGTTGAAGGATTCTGAAGTGCGGGGGACCGCCATGGTTGTATATGGGTGAAGTATCCGTGGCCTTGATTTCGAGACGATCGTGCGTATAAACGGTGCATGGCCATGTCTCTGGAGTGAGCGAAGACATCTCTCACTCAACTGAACAGACATGGACATTTGCTTGTCATAGCCTGTGCTCTCTTCCACCTCCCAAAAAATATTTTGTTCAAACTCGGAGTCCCAACACCTTCCGACGACATGCTTGGCCTCTGTTTCCATGACTACAAACACCACCACACTTTGTATGGAGACCCCAACAACCAACCCCCCTCAACCATCACTTGTAATCATAATTCATTGATAATACATATCCATATATATCCAATGAGTACTATTGTGTTATGCAGGGAGTCCCCATATATGAAATTGGTTACACAATGATCAACGACTACTGGATGTTTTTGTTTTCAGGGACATTGGCGGGATGACGACATGGATCGCTCTCTCGTAAAAAAATCTCATCGATTCACCTAAATTCATCTGACACTTGCATATGATGTCATTGAGGAGACTATAGATGTCAACGGCACGCAGCTTATTGCATGATTCTTCTTTTGACGTAAGTAGGATATGTCTTCTAGAAAGTGATAGCTGTTGTAGTTGGTTCTTTGTAAAGCAATGGAAGTAAATATAGGATATGCACCTTCAATACCATGCTTGAGTAGGACATTGGGTGTAAAGTTGTGTGGAGGCTCATGTTTTCATTATCTCAATCCAACAATCATTCCAATAAACAAAGAGACACAGACATCGTTGGCTTGCTTTCTTTCGAGACAGGCATAATGGGTGTCAAAAGTCATACATATCAACTCCGCATTCATGTTCATGAGTGTGCTCTTTGAGAAAGGATATCCAATGTACACGGTTACAATGAGGTCGACTCTTCATGCACGTGACACAAATAAGCAATGCATAAAATTCAATGATAGTTATTGTATAAAATATGATAAGGTATATTTTTGCTTTCATAAGCATTGTGAAGGAGGTAGTAATGGTGGGATGACATTGCGGATACTATATATATAGAATAGATTTACATGGGAGTGGTCTTGTTGTTGAGATCATACACTTCGTTCAGCAATCCAAGCACGGGTCGTATACGTTGTTTGCCAGCACGCTTTTCACTGATTCCACCTGGGCGATCCTCTTCTTCTTCGTCTATTGTATAGTCTACAACGTCGTTCGTCGTACGTGCAAAGGAATCACCAAGTTTGCTGGGCTCATGGCCTTCTGGCACACCAAAATTATTCAATCGATGACTTTGCCGTTGTCGCCGTGTTTGCTGAAATTCAGTCATTTTGCTCAAGTACATGGATCCTTCCACATTCTCAGGTTCCCATGTTGGATAATTGGCCTACAAAGAAAATGACATGAGTACGATGGTATCCATAATCGTATGTATACCCAATCCAATCTTACCTTGAATGTTAGGAAACTCTTTTCCATCTTGCCATCATTGCTAATCATATGTTCATCCTCTCCTTGTACAGGGGCACCATAACGTGCATCACCATGCCGTGTAAAGTCGAATTGTGAAAAGCTGCATACATAACCGAGTCCATCCACATGCACTGTGTACTCCCGAAAACTATCGACAATTTGTTCAGCGCATTTCGGCAAGGAGAACCAAAGAACAAGAGGTGTGAATAAGACGCTAAGTAGTTCTTGTGCAAATAGCGTAATCTTGTAATCAAAAAGCTGACAGAATTGTGCTCGGACCTAAAAGACGAATCAGCACGTGAACAATAAAGCATAGAGAAAACCACATTACCTCATCCGTGTGCAGTTTGCCGACCCATTCATGAGGGAAATAATGAATGTGATCAAGTACTTGGCGTAATAAAGGCTCGGGCTCATATACCAAATGCTCATCAGGGATCATGCCTCGACTCACGGCAAAGATTGTGCCAAATACACCGAGATAAAAGAGGATCGTTCCATTAGGCGAGATCTCAAAGTTGAGTAATGCTTCAGAATCAAACAGCGTCACAATCGCAAGTACACCTGCAAAGGAACCTGAAATAAAGGCCACAAACCTAATCCAAGTATCTTAGTTGCCATCACCTTGTCATCCTCCTTCTATCATTTACCTAGCCAATAATGCTGTCTTTTCCTTTGGGAATTGATCCAGGTACTTGTTGGCTATAGGGACGCTGTTGCTGAGACGTTGCCGGTACAAGTGTGGCAGTTCATTGTATTCACGGAATTTCCACTTGGCATACGGCGAAAAAGAACGAGCACCGATCTCACTTGGATTCTTGTGATATTCCTATAGTATACAAGTAAGCGTATTGGCCTTGTCCTACTCGTTCAATACCACACTTGCCTCGAAATAACGGAAGAAAAAGAATACAATGAGGTATACAAAGATGAATGGCGCAAAGACAAAGTTGAGCAATCCCATAAAAATGAATCGCCGTCGTAACCTTTTATATCTTCCTTGTCAATGACATTGCTTTGCATATCCACAGCACCGGATTCGTACTTACCCAGCTACCAACAAGACTCGATTTTTATCCTGCAGGAACCGTTTTCGGAGCTGGCCATTGGGCTTGAATGCATAACTCAAGACACAAAAGGATACATTCCATTCCAAATCTCGAGTGAACATGTGCATGTTGCGAAGATAGGGTAATGGGATAGTGATGTTGAGTGTCTTTTTGTTGAAAAGGGCAATCAAATAATTCTCTTGGCGCATGATACGGCTGGTGATGTCGTGTTCACTGAGGCGAAGAGGTGATGATTGAGCTGTGTTTGGATTGGTTTCACGGATATCGCTGATTTTTTGCAAAACCGTTTGCCATGGTACTGTTTGGATATCTTTCTATACACAACAACAAAAGCATAAGTCACTCACTTGTAATCCGCCAACCAGCCTCCACTTTTCAACTTACATCTGGGATTTCCAAAAGATGATGATAAAAGTTGTGCATATCTTTGAGCACCGGGTAATCCATAATGAATCGAAATGCTTGCCATATCCACCACATGATAAATGTAACAAGGAACATTGTCGTTGTGCCAGATAACCTGCATAGTAAAAAGAGAGGGAGATTGAGTGATCCTCTCTACACGCGTTCGTTCGGAGACAATTCCACTTACCGTGACACACATTGAGGTATCACCACTTCACCAAGTGCATGATGATGAGGAATCTGTGCATAATCCACGCATCCAATCAAAAACGTCGAGAAACCAATAACGAATCCAAGAGTCCTAGTAATAGTCAAAGAGATGTCAATCCCACCTATATCGCCGATATCGCTTGTATACTTACAATAGATTAAGAAAACGAGCAAGTAGAATACAATACATTCCCCTTCCTTGATAGTAATCGTATACACGCTTGAAAAAGTCATCCATATTGGATACATTTGTCCATCGCCACATGGTACGATCAAAGGCTGTCATATGTTGTCGAGTGGAGGATGTCGTTTGTCCAGAGATAGCTGGTCGTGGCAACTGTTCCTTATGGTGTGATTCTGTTGATAAAGGACTACGGTCCTCAGGTGTCTGTTCTAGCATGAGAGACGCTGGTGCCTCCAAGTCGTCATCGTCGTCTTCTGATTCGGAATGTTGTTGACCATGTGGGTCTGTTGCCACTTGTTGATATTGGTTGTTACGAAAAAGAGGTCTCCTCATGCGATCAGGTCGTGCTGCGGCTGCGGCTGCTTGACGAGTACTTGAACTTGCATCATGAATTCGATCGAGGTTGTACTCGTCGTCGGTAGAGTAACGGCTATTTAAGAGGCGGGAGCTGTCCATTATGCCGCTATTATTAAGGAACAAAGAGAGAACAAAGAGAAAAAGAGAGATAACACAAAGGAGTAAAGAAGGAGTCAAGAGTCGCGTGGGTGACTTGATGACCTTACATATGCAACACCTACCTTAAAAGGGGAATACTCAATGTCCCCATGCAAGCGGACCGTGATATGTGGGTTATGTCATGCAAATCTAAAACTTGACAAATGATGATATGCCTTGCCTCTGTTTTATATACATTTACCGTGGTCATTGTTATCATTTTCCCTTATCTCTTTTTACTTTTTATACTACTAATGACTCCTGAAGTGCCCATCCATCGTCCATTCGCACAACCCTCTCGACGTTTTGCCAGTGATCATGTACCACAACCGATCTACCTCGGCGTCGGCATTCACATTATACCAAAACAATCCATTTCTCGTTATAGTATATCAGTACACGATGGATGTTACACCACCGATTTCTTTTCCGGTACCCTATGTAGTCATCCTCCCGATGCGTCACGCCATCAATGCATCCATGAAGCTATCGATATGCTACGTACAGTCGTTCAGAAGTATAGCACAGCCCAAAATTACAAAGTGCAGCTGATCGCATGCTCGTATCACCTTGATGATGACATACTCCAAGATGATGAACGACCCGAACATACATCCATGAGCTACTTTTGGCGTGAATTGGACGCATTGCCCTTTGTAGTCGAAACAAGTGGCAAAACACTCGATGAATGTGCCAGCTCAGCAGTGCGAAAATCGGTTGTTTGGTATAATGTTACCTTTTTTTCTTCTTGTGCACTAAACAATAATCCCCTGTTGATTGATGATTATATTTTTTCTGCTTCTTTGTCACAGGTTGACACCTGGTATCCCTGGCAACCACCTTCGAACCTATCTTGGTTTCAGACACGAGGTAAGAAGAAGACATCCTTTGCATCCACAATGACACTAGTATGCTCACCCCACCCATTCATAGGTGGAAGGTGGGTATCATCACATCCTCCATCCCTATGCAAATCTTGATTGATGGTCTATCTATGGCAGTGGACTTTGGCTACAAGATTCATATGGTCGACCTAGCAGATTACAGGAAAACAGTATGTGAGAGGACATGGAGGATATTGAATGATATGGTGGACAAATTCAAGCAGCGGAATCCTCGAATCAGTTTCTTTTCTTCAACACCACGTGGTGGAGGAGGTTAGTATTGACATGGATAATGCTAATGATCAATCACTCACATGGGTTCTAATAGTGGCTCTTATGCGACATGCCTTGTTACGATTCCTTCATTTGAATGATATCGATCTTCATTGTAAGTAATGAAAGAAAAAGGAATGGATGGATTGCATGCTTATGGGGATATGATAGGGTATGTTGCACGGCCCAAGCCTGAAGTTTTTGATATTACCAAACGCAAGTTGCACAATGTGCTCCAAGGTATCGCTCCAATGGCAGTGGCCAGCTTAACCGACGAGGAGAAACAGGCGTATATGGATTGGTCAACCGAGAACGTTGAGCGTTATTGGCTTGATGAGGATGGTCCTATCAGGAATTCGGATATCATCATTGTTGATGACCCACAAGGTGAGTGCGGAGATGAATAACAAAGAGAACAATGAAATTGATATGCATCATTGTTCTTAGTGACAGGCATTATCCCCCATATTAAACGGCATGCACCCAATGCTCGAATCATATTTCGCTCACACATTGAGATACGAGCTGATCTTATTCGTGAGCATCCCAATGGCAGAGAAGCTCAATCATGGAAGTAAGTATAAAAAGGGGGGTTTTATTGGAAAACTAGTAAGGCTCACTTTACGTTAAGGTTTCTTTGGGGTTTTATCAAAGATGCGGACCTTTTCATTTCCCACCCGATCGACAACTTTGTACCTGACCATGTACCTCGGCAAAACGTTGCATTGATGCCAGCATGCACTGATCCACTGGATGGGTTAAACAAGCATTTGGAGCCATGGTGTGTAGAATACTATCAACGTGTATTTAATCGCGTGTGTTTGGATCAAGGTGCACATATCGTGGATTGGAACAGACCTTATTTTGTACAAGTGGCCCGATTCGATCCATCAAAAGGGATACCAGATTGCATGGAAGCATATGCAAAGCTACGAAAGCGATTGGAAGTTGAGCAATTTAACGGCAAGATACCACAGCTGATAATATGTAAGTCTAAGAAAAGCGCATTTCTATGCATCCATGTACTTAGATGTATTGTGTATATAGGTGGTCATGGCTCTGTGGATGATCCAGAAGGAATCGACATTTATGAGGAGACGCATGATCAGCTCGTTTTATCCGAGTACGCCCATGATATCATTGTTGCACGTCTACCACCATCCGATCAACTCTTGAATATGGTGCTTCAAGAAGCTCGAGGTGCTCTTCAATTATCTCATCGTGAAGGATTTGAAGCCAAGGTTACTGAAGCCGTCCATAAATCAATACCTGTTATCGCTTATGATGCTGGTGGCATCCCTCTTCAAGTGAACAAGGATGTTAACGCTTTTATACTTCCCGTGGGCGACGTGAATGAAGTAGCGAACAAGATGTACGCATTATTGACCGATGATGAACTCCATACAAGAATGAGCAAGGCGGCCAAGGAGAACTTGAGCGAAGAATACTTCACAGTGTGGAATGCAATGAATTGGCTTTATTTGTTTAACGAGCTATTGGCACAAGATGCTTCAGGAGAAGGATTGGATGGTCAAGAAAAAACACGTGATCATAATTCGGGTATAGGAGACAAGCGCAAAGTATCTACAATGTGGCAAGAGAAATACCAGAGATTGGGTTTCTGAATAAAAACATTATCATGGAGGTGTTGAACCTTTTGCAAGTGGTGATGAGGTGCGCGGTGGATGTGCTGAAGAAGATGATGATGGCGTGGATTGTTGCGCAAGCGATCTCAATAAAGTAGGTTGACGTGCGCTTTCAGATGAACAACTTGAATAGCTTCGACCCAATGATAGCATATCCTAGATATAAATGAGTATCTTTTGCTATCCTCACATGCAAGGTTCTATACCTGATCTGGCTGAGCACGTCGTTTCTTTGCACTTTCTTTCAACTTTTCCCATCGTTCTCGGTATTTGTTGACGAGTGCTTGCTGTTTCTCGTTTTGAACCCTCAATTGTCGGTTTTCTTCTTCCAATTCTCGAATGCGTGCCACTTTATGATACGTTGTTATTGTCAGCCATAGATCCCAATCACCAATACAGTCGTCATACTCACATTGTTCACTGATGGGCCTTCCACCACCTCCGCTGGCTGTCAACATTGCTGCTGATGAAGATGCTCTCATGGCTGCATAATCGTGACTTTGCATGATGCGTTTGGCTTGTTTATGGACATCGCTTTTGAATTGAAGAATACTGCTTTTGAGAATGTTGCTTTCCACGGCTGCCTAAATATTACAAAGATGTGCTATGAGCATAGTACGCCCTCTTGTGGATCCCAAAGCCTACCTTTTCCAACTCATGTATTCGTCTTGTCAATTGATCCACTTGTTTCTTTAGCTGTTCATTTTCATCAGAATATTCCTGTGGTGATCTTTTTTGTAAAGTTGGTACTACATTGTGCCTGCATATGATGTCATGTACTTTACCTCGCGGATGTGGGGTGGTCGAGTGCTTCTGTCACGAAAAAATAGGACTCTACCATCTTGGATGCATCAAACCGATCACTTTCTCTATCATCTGGTGATTGCACGGTGATAGGAATGGGATTGTCGTTCTCGTTCAAAGGTGCTGAAGCGAATGCCACAGGGTTAGAGAGCTTGTCCATCAGCTTTTCGACCACCTCAAAGAACTTGTTGAAAGGATCATTCTCTTCTTCATCTTCCTCCTTGTATACATAGCAACGATTAACACACTTTTTATGGAGAGAGGGGTGTATTCATTCTTACATTTTGAGAGAGTACTGCATATGATCCACCTATTGCTGGCGTGGCAGATCCATGTCGTTGGTCTGATGATAATGCATGTCGTAAGCTATCCATGTCAAATGATCGATCATCATTGTTGTCGTTGTTGTTGATTGTGCCATGTGATGATAAGCTGCCCTCAGGTTCATTCATATCTTCAGGGTCATGTCCTTGATCAAACTGCTGCTGTTGTTGTCTAGTCATTCGTCTTTCCAGGTCTTTGGCTTTACGCAGGTGATTGGACGTTAATAGACGTAAGGTCTTGGCAGCCTACCACGATCCCCCAGTTAAGAACACTGTTGCATATCAAGTATCAATAAGAAAGAAAACATACCATGGCGTCTTGAGCATACTGTATGGCTCGTTGAAACTGACTAGCAGCCATTGCATGAGCTTCAGCAGCTTTGGCCCATTCCTCTCTGTCTTCGTAATCTTCAGCTGTGGTAGCAAACGAATGACCCTACCAATGTTGCATGTTTCAGTGAATGGTTTCGAATGGAGCAAAATGAGCTTACGGCGTTAACGGGTGTCTCTGTTGTCATTAAAGGGAAAAAGAAGTGAAGTGTTGAATGAAATTTGTCTTTATTTGGAGTATCATGCAAATAGTACAGGCAGAGGTTAATTGGACTTGACAATCATATCTGCTTTTAAAAGCTTCATCCTTAACATCAGCGCTTTGGTTGCTTTCTCATAATCTGATCCAGCCTTCATTGACCGTTTCAAGGCCTGTTGTCGTTGGTCACGCTTCTTGGAGATAAGGATCTATAAATACAATGCATTAGGTATATCCTCACCCCTAAAGCATCATTCATGTACTACCTTTTGATGGCTATCGATACGTGCAGAAATCTTGTCACCTTCGCCAATCAAGTTTGCTAGTTCCTTTTGAAGGCCGGGTACACTGGTTTGGAATGCTGTGGCCATACGCTGCAAATCCACTTTTCCATAAGGAATGCAATACTGTACAAGCGCCTTTTCACGGATCAATTTGAATAAAGCAGGCACATGGGGTGCAAGATACATGTCAAGCAAATAATCGTTCTGCATGCACACAATATCCAATCAGCATGAATAGCCAAGCCATTTGAGTGATCAACTTACCCTGTAACTTTCTAGTAACTCAAGACACACCGAATACTTGGCATGATAGAATGCATCAATCATCTCTCGAATTTGAGGTTCCAATTCCAAATAGCTCTTGAAAGATGAGTTGGAGAGCACCTTGGCCTTAAGCTCTTGTCGATCATAGGACGCCAATGCACATAATCCACCGTATACTGCAATATCATTCGCCGAGATAATATCATTGAAACTGTTGCCCAATTCGAAGGTCACTTTGGTGAGAGCATCGGCTACTGAGCTGTATTTCTCCTTGTGATAAAGCGATACAAGCGCACGGCAAGCTTCCAACTTGGATTGCACCAATTCCTTCTTTTGTATAGCTGATACTGCCTCAGCACGGTTGGCGTAGCTGCTGACATGGGTAAAGTTGCCTTGGCTCACACTCGCCTAATGTCAAAGTCAGCGTACCTTGTTTTCCCCCTTCTCTCTTTGCTTTTCCTTTTTCTTTCAGCATACCTTGATTACATTGAAACATGTGTCGAGAGTGTGTGCACTGGTGGTGGAATGATCCCGTGTTCGGATGTAACATTTGATAGCATTGGTAAAATCACCAGCCTGATAGTAGCAATCACCTTGTCGAGTCATACAATCCTATCACCACCATTTCTTAATCATCTTATCCATACTTTCATCCTATGCGACTTACTCGAATCTTCTCTTTGATCATGTTATTCTTGTATCCTTTGAGTTCAACATCCAGACTTTCGAGTATCGCCTCGTTTTCACGTTGCGTTGTAGCCAACCATGCTTGATCCACCTCGATAGCACCCAACCCACGCTTCTTGCATGCTTCGTTGAGTTGTGTCATACAAGTCGAGTACTTGTTCGTATCTCGCGTGTTGTTCTTGATGGCGTTGGCCGCCCATTGCAAAGATTCCACCTCTAAGCTGTCGCAATGCTCGCTAATGTAAATAGCACGGTCGATGGCCGTACGCCCTAAGGCAGTCGTCAGCCCTGTGTGCCTGCATCCTTCATATACACGTTTCGTTTTACTCACCAGCATAGTTGTTGATATAGGATTGGAAATCGAGGTGACTTGGCGCATTCACTCTGGCCATGGGGGGGGGGTTATGTGAGTAAAAGAGGGAAGAAGCTGTTATGCGAGCTGCGCGTCTCTTTCCGAAAACACTCACAGTGCACCTGGATAATCTTAGCTTGCTGGAAAAGAAACCATTGATCATAGTACTATTTGTGATGAATGATAATAAAAACATTCCAATGGATTACGCCTACATATTCGTATGCTGAATGGATAAGGTTCCTTTATTTTACATCACACAATGATACATAGAAGAGAAGAGTATAATTCAAGTCGAATGCATTCCTATTAAGCTGCCAGCTCATTATGTATTCTTTGTATCATCACGAGATGTTGCGATCGATATGTATCTAGCTTCACCAATTCGCTCTGTACCCACGTAAGCGTTTCCTTCTCGTTAGCTGCTGAATTGACTGCTTCAAGTACATTCTTGACAACCTGCTCAAGTGGTTATAAATAACATTCATCAGCTGCATAATACCATAGATTAAAGAGGACATCCTTCATGAAATCTTGCGATGCCAAGATCAAAGTCGGCGCCGTTGACGAAGAAGAACACACTGTCGAATCCCAGCTCAAGTGATGAGAACATGAAATGGCAACACAATAATCATCACCAGCAGCATACATCGTTCCTTTACATCTTGAGAGTCGGAAGGAAACTATAATACAAAGATACTGTCATGTTGACTTGGAGGATCACCAATTGCAGGCTAGGAATTGATCAAGTGAAGCGCTTAACATAGGCTGCTACTCCTTAATAAACGTAAATGATTTGGGCTTTCAATGGACTGCATTTGTAACAAGCACTATTGTTGGGTAGCAATACTATGGGTTTATTACCTTTCAAGTTACAAGCGTCTATTTAAAGATGTGTACAATCCTGAGAATTACCATTGCCTATCGCCTATCAGCATATACAATGATGTGGTGATGATCCAATCTCTCTTCGCGACCTTCAAATTTCGATCCTCCCTTCCATTCCAGAAACTAACCACGTGAATCACATAGAATCAGTGAGCACCATTGTATCATTGTATCCTTGGTTGCTGCCGTCATAAACATCTTCATCCATGATTGCAAGCCATTTGCTGTGCGTGCCTTGACTCCAATGCTCCAATACCATCCATGGCAGCAAACCGCCTTCCATCAAAGATATAATGCCTCTCATACATGCCATCCAATCCATCATCATCCTCGGCCGTATCCATTGATATGATCCATTCTTCATTTCAAGATTTCTCTTCACTGCAAGACCAAAACGCTGATAGAAAGAACTCTTGAGATCGCTTGCTGACATGTTTCCTCTCCATCCGGATGTTGGTCAATCACTTGCTTGGTCATTTTCTATTAGCTCAACCAGGTGAAGAATGCTTGTATTGGCCAGTAGTAGTTGATGGCTGATATGGCATCATCCATTGGAGCTCGTATCCAACAAAGCAAGTTTCTGCACGTAAACAAGGCTGCTTCTATACAATGACTACTTGCTGTTCACGTGAAAAGGCTGTAAGACAAGCTACTGCAAGTAAAGAATGCTGTTGGAGACAATGAAGTGAAGCTGCTGGAACGAATGCTGTTACGTTTGGTTGCGCAAAGGAGTGTGCAAGAGCGTGTGCTGTAGTAGAGTGACAAGGCTTTGAACACCATACGAGTCAATGAAGAAAGACTTTGCTAATTGCAGCCACTGGAATGAATGCTGTTACGCTTGGTGTTGGTAGAGGAGTGCACAAGAGAAGGATGTAGTATCAATAACGCGAGTGGTGTAGTAGGGTGCACACGCCATGCACTTGCCATTCAGCCAAAGACAATCGGATCAAGACATTCGTAGGATGGACATGATGGGTTGAACCAGGACAATCGTTCGCAGGTGGTAGTTGTATACTTGAATGGGGCAACAGTTGAGATTGGGAGGAAGAGGGAAGTGCTGAGAGTGGAAGAAGTGGAAATTAAATAGGTCGGGCACCTCTTGTTTAAATGCATGAACACTGTACATCAATCCTTGATATTGAGATCGCCCCTCTCGAACCTGAAACTTTCACACAAGATGCTCTTGGTCATGCTGATCAACATGGTCTTAAAAAAAGACCTCATGTTCATTAGAAAATATTGAATGGGAGGGTGCAATGTGGGTTTACTATGTAAGTCGGAAATGGAGGTCAGCCCCGGATTCATGATTCATCGAAATACTATGTAGCATCTTGGGATTCCCCATTTCGAACCTGAAACTTTGTCAGAAGGTTCGCTGCAACATGCTGATCAACTTCATTCATTTAAAAACCATACACTTCATTAAGGGTGTCTTGAATGCGGGAGGGCCCAAACGGTGGATGATGGGCAACAAAAGAGCGGACGGCCCACCGCTCCGAAGTTGCTCACTTCCAACTTGAAAATTGGTCAGAAGGGTGCTCTCGAGCATCCTAATCAACTTTTTCTAATAAAAACTTCACGCTTCATTTGAAAATTTGGAATGGGAGCGTCCAAAAGTTTGAATGACGGAGACATTCGCAGGGTCTGCGATTCATTAATTTCATGTTCGCTGTTCCAGCGTAGCTCAGTCAAATCGGCTCGGATCAGGAAGCTTGGATGATGGAAACGCTCAGCTGGAGTAGGAGAATCATTCACATGAAGTGGATTTTGCAACAACGCTGATTGTGAAAAAATGGCTGCTAGCGGGCAATATATGGACTATCGTGGATAGACAAAAGTATAATCCATCAATCCTTCCAGTCATGCAAGGTAGCTGAGTTACACAAAGAGGTCCCTCTGCATCTTTTGCTCTGCCAGGGTCCACCTACTTGACAATGAACGAACAAACTCAAACATGTCTTCCCAGAATTTAACCAAATCGCCTGATAAGGAAACAGGCACACAATATCGTCCACAACGGCTTTCGTATGCCAAGGTTACCAGCACTCATTCCTCAGCACGTACTCATTCCCCAACGCGGGATTCGTTGAAAGCAACAGCTCATGACAATTCTTTGCACTCGAATGTGTGGAAAGCCGGTGGCTCTCCTGCTTCCTGTACCAGCTTGTTCTTTGATTTCACGTCTCGTTCCGAAAATCGCTCCCAGCTTTTGTGCCATATAAACGAAAGCTTTCCCAACAATTGTGGTGTTCGCCTTCACTCGGATCATGCTCGCCGTATTGTTGAATTATTCATCGATGACTCCAACGTTTACCAGAAAGCTTGTACGTCAGGCCTTGTTTTCAAGGATGGTGTGCGTATCTTGCCTAGTGTACCTTTACCAGCTGATTCCCGTCTCATTCATCTTCGACTCAGCAACCTTCCTTTTACCTCTCGAGATAAGCTTACCGATGGAATTTATAAGGCTCTCTTACCCTTTGGTGATGTTCTTGATTATGGTATTCTCCGTGATCATGACTCTAAGTTGTTCATGGGACACGGATATGCAACATTAAACGTTTCAGGTTCAAAACAATCATCATCGCTCACACACACGATTTCATGGCCTAACTCCGAAGACTGGTTTTATGCAACATGGGCTGAAATGCCGCTTCATTGCCTTCATTGCCACAAATCCGGTCATTCTATGTCCTCATGTCCTACCCACCCAAGCAGATATCGCCCCTGTTGGTCTTGCGGCCAAAATGGCCACCGTGCCGCTAAATGTCCCAATCGCCGCCCTATTGTTGTCAAGCCCATCAATGACCCACCAATGTCCCCATCGTCTTCTGTTTCCACTGCTGCCAGCCATTCCGATGTATCGATGCTTAGCACTGATTACTCACCCCTTGAAGCCCACAACGACATGATTATCAGTACTCATATTACAGAATCTTCCCCTGAAAAACCATCAGCCAAATCATCTAAGGCACCAACACCGCCCGAGTCCATCGATCGTATGTTGACGACTTTTCCCATGTCTGATGAAGCCAAGGAAATCATTCGATCTTTGCATCTATCAAGTTTTACCACCCTTTATTTTAAGCTTAAAAGTCGGGGTAAACTTTTTCCGTCTTCTGCCACTCCTTCCAATTCGTCGGGGAGTGTCTCTTCCATGAGACTTAATGATTCCAATTAGCTCGCTCCCACCCTTTGTCATCTCGTTCCCTCTCATGTATATCTCCTTATGATTATCAATTTGACCAATATTGTTTCGATTTTGGGGTGCCACTCACCGATGCACTCCCAATAAAACGAGGCTAACAACCTCCATATAAATACTTGACAATGAACAAAGACCACACTTCATATAGCATCACGCTTACAAACATAAAGGTGCCTGTATCTTCAAACTTTACAATGAAACTCGGGGTTTTTATTAGAGCAATGGGCTCGGCTTGGCCAACAGCACCTTGTGTGAAAGTTTCACGTTCAATGTCGCAACTAGCCCAAAAAATATTTTTTGGTCGTCGTCGTCGAAGAGGTCGACCCC